CGTTACGCATTGTATATTACAAAAATATTACCAAATGATAAATATGTATAATTTCCCCAAACTGATGATTACATGATATGTTCATGACAAATGACAATAATATTGCAGAAGTTCTTTCTAACGTCCAAAATCAATATAAAGTGTTCCTTCAAATTTTTAGATTTTCATCCTATTCTATTCAATTTAAATAGCTTGTTGATAATTTAAAGTTAAAGTGTAATATTATATTATAATAATAATATCTAGTCTAAAGTACTACCTAAATTATTCAAAAGCTAGTTCATCTCTAAAAATCAACCAATAATTCAATCTTTATTTAACATTAATAAATTATATAGAACTAATAATAAATTTAAAATATATCCCATCGTTTTAATTTTTAATTCTTTATGTTTGTAAAAACTTAACACTACTTTATTAATCAAAATTTTTTATAGTTCAAATTATTTAATAAAAATACAATTAATTTAGAACTTAGATATTTATCTATTAAGTTAAGTATTACGAGTATATTATGTCGTTGTATATAAATATATTGTATATTTTATTAAGTATCTACATAAAATTATTCTATAAAATACTTAAATTACTATATTTAATTGAATTGTCAAACGAGTACATAGATCATGAATTTCATTTTCTGCATATATACGCATAGTTTATATACTTGAACGATAAATCAAATCGGTTTCGATTAATTTCAAGATTATGAGAATAAATTCTTTACAAAAAAACAATGAAAGGTCCGTCAGTCAACAGGCATGGGTCAAGCAGACATTTGATTAAATAAGATGAATTTTTCCTTTTTGATTTATAATGTATACATTTTATACACTATTATCTTGCTCTACCATTACTCACAAGTCAGTATTTTGATAAACGCGGTGTATTAAAAAGGTACTTGTACCATACATTGTAATATTTAATTACAAATTATACCATTTTCACTTTACGCCGATCCGTGCTGTACTCGTAGATATTAAAATAAGGTAGGTACTTATCTACGTGTAAGATTACCTAAAACGATGGTAAAATAAGTTAGGTTAGGTTACTATTCCGATTTGATCTGTTTACTCAATAAAGTCGGCTTTAACCCCATAAATATCGGTGGCATATTACATAGAAATAATAAATCATATAACAAACGCGTAGATTTGGACGCGGATATGAAAACAAATCGTGCTCTAGTGTGCTCTCGAAAATAGTCGTTAAATGTGTGGACGTTTTGATCTCAGTCGTGCTTAAATATACAATTGCGTATGGATTTTGATATGACGATTAACGCACACGGCAATCACAATATTTCACAGCTGCGCTCGCTTTGTATTGGTCCTCACGAATCGCGATGCATAACGATAACATAATATCATGGTGGTGAATTCTGCGCTCGAAGCGTCCGTAAATGAAATAACGGTTTACACACATCTCACGCTATAACCATTTTACAAACGCGTTTTATAGTCACAGCCCCACTGTAACAGTTGCAATCGACCGACGATTCGGGGCTGCAGTTCTGAGAATGAAAACAAAAAGCTCGTCAACTGCAGCAGCACCGGCGCGTTTCGTACCCGTACTACCCCCGGTTGCATGCAGCACACCTCGGGATTTCAATAAAAACGTAATAAAATATAAAAAATGAAAACAAACAATAACGCGTCCTAATCACACGGCGCAATATCAAATTAAATCCGTTTCAAGTCCGAATGCACGTAGCAGCTGTAAATGGAGCGTGAACAATCTACATTAAAAAATTGAGTATTTATGCACTGTTTGTATTATAGTGTGGACATTAATAATACGCGTTCAGGGTTCCTGGCGAATATCTAACATATTCATATGCTATTATTTAATGTTAAACAATATTGTCACGTATTCCTGATACTCCCCGTACCTAACTTTAACACTCGTGTTGCTACTTCCGCACGGTCCTTTCACCCCTTCAATATAGTTCTATTGTACCTAACCATGTAAGCTCGTAAATTAACTTTTCGGCAGGCAACCAATGCGTGATACACTTGGTATACTAAGTTATATAGCTTAGAACATTTAAGTTTGAAGAAAATATATAGATATTTTACAGTATTCGATAATAAGTTTTATCGGATAGAAATTAGCCGAACTCGCACGTCTTCACATATTATATTACTTAGTAAACTTATTGAACCACATAGTACTTATACAATATTATCGTAATATTGTTTTTATATTTTGCAATGAATTACACTAGTTCAATAATTTATAATAAAAATATATTAATAATGTATAAACATATAATAAACGTATTAAATACATTTTATTTAATCAACGAATAGAATTAACAAAAAAAATAATATTTATAAAATAAAAACGTCTATTAGATTTTGTTCTGAGAGTCTAATTGAAATTAGAATGTCAATTTCATGCAAACATTTTGTTTTATATAATAATTGTAATAAAAAAACAAATATAATATTGAGTTTATTTCATTTAATAATTATTCATTTTTTAGTAAAATTATACATAATATTCACCACTAATTAATTAGTTGATATTTTTAAATTATTTTTCAAGCAAATGTACAATATAATTCTTAACTACTACATCGATCGATTAAATAATATTTATTTATTTTATTATACAAAATGTAATCTATATTCTATAATATGTTACAAATAGAACAGTAAGTAAAAGTGATGAGCGAGGTTTGGCTTAAATGGCAAATTTTAAAAGCTTTCCAGTAAAGCCACTTAATCAGTTATTCATTTTATTTTTTCATTACATTTCAATCATTACAAATCCGAATTTCTTAGAACATGTAATATTCTAAAAACTTTTGCATTCAATTTTTAACTCAATTTTATTTTATAATAAATTATCGTGTATTTTCTACATAGAAAAAAATCAAACATGGTCTACTTGAGCCTTTGATGGTCTAAAATCGCTCAACTAGAAATTAAATAACTAGAATAAGAAAACTAATAAAAAAAAAAAATCCGTTTTAAAAAATTAAAATAACCACAATCAATAAATTATATTTTATGCTTATATATTAGACTTTATTAGCGATTCGTTGATCATTATAAATTCTTGATGTCCTAGAATAAAAATCTTCTACGAGCATATGGTATTGTTATATACATAGGGTTAGATTAGGGATGGGCCCTTTGAGTTTAAGAGCGTAAAAACATCGAACTATATATTTATAATAAATTCTGAACGCGTTCAGATTTCTTTTTTATATGACGCAAAAATACATGAAAAATAAGAAATAATATGACATCAAAATCGAATTATAGTACCCGTTTGCAGGTAGCTAGCAAAATACGAATATTTTAATAACTTTTATGGCTTGATCATTAATTTATATGTCGAAAAAAATGTCATATTCCTCTTGTATACGATATCTAATAAAATGTCAATAAATGGTACACATTCGTTAGTACTGAAGCAGAAGGTATAATAAAATTTCTTATTTCCATTTAAATCGTTAGACTTCCTCGATAAAAGTCTAACATACTTAGACTACGGAAAATTTATTCATTTCAATTCTCGATGCACAACAGCAGTAGTGTAAATTCGTTGTGGAGTGAGCCATGAGGTTGGTATATAATATAAATAAAACATAATATACCTCGTTATCTATAACAATATTTCGAAGATAAGTCTATAAGGCAAAAAACGTGTGTAAAGAACAATATAACATAAACATATTATTATGGTATCTTATGTTCAATGTTGCATAAAACTGAGAAAACCAACATTTGAAAACGCGTATAGGTACCGCCTATTTTGTAATTTGTAATACTTTAATAGTAAATACTTACCCACTTGCAATAAACGCATCGTGGTAATTGTATTTATTTTTATCCCATAGAACACATTCATCTCGATTAAAACATTAGTAATATCACAGAATAAATGAAATTTAATTTATATTTTATTCATTCTGTGGTAGTATAATGAACAAAATATATGCTTTGCGCCCTGCAACGGATTTTGGTTGCTGTGATTGGAATGATTTTATAATGTCTATAATATATTATATATAATGTTTTAAAAGAATTAAATTTACGTGTAACAATATAATTCATGATGTTTTATTATATCATATGTATATGTTAGATTATAACTTTATTACCTCTCCATTGTGTCAAACACTGCAATTGTATGATATTCTAAAACCTACGCTGTTTTTATGCACATATCATGTTTTATAATATACCTGAATAATATTATTAATAATGAAAAATCCACTGAAAATTCCTTTATTACCTATTATAGTGAGTACCTGCCTGTACATGTACTCGGTAAGTACAACATAATCATGTTTACGCACATAATATCATATTAATGTTGAATTATATGAATTATTCACATGAATGTGTAATATATTTTAACGATAAATATTAATTAATCATTGTACAACTATACAACGCATATAAGATCTGTGTTAAAATTTATCCCACAAACCAGCATCAAATTTAGTGGCTTATGGGCCAAATCTTAACTAGCCTATAAATTGTTATATTTATAATAATTAATAACCAGTTTAAAAAAATTAATTGGGGATTTTTTGTTGTGTCTTGTTTTCTTGTCAATTATATATGTACATTTGCTCCTTGTCGTTAACGTCCCCATTTCTGATTGACAGATCGATAAATAACAATTAAAAGATTACTAACTTTACCGCAATTTATATTTTTCTATAAAAAAAAAAAAAAAAAAATGAAGATTACTAGTGAACTTACTTCTTTGATGGGGTAGCTTAACTCTGTCATACCTTTTGACAGTGACGTACTGACTTAATGGAAATCTATATTGCTGTATCGTTTGTATATTTATTATTTTGTGATCGAAAACTCATACAAGTTTTTCATAGTCTTATTCAATTGTGTAATTATGATATAATTATATTAGATTTTGTCACAAACAATATTAATGTTTGTCACGTATCAAGAATATACTACGTAAAAAAAAATAGTTTATAACACGATTATAACCTATTGTACATTTTTTTTCAGGAAACACTTTCGTGGCGAACGTGGCGCTAGCCGATCTGTTGATCAGTGGCCTTGTCATTCCAGCATCTGCCGTGGTTATCCTGTCCGGTCTACAAGATTCTCCGCCGGTGTGCCAGTTTCAGTGGTTCCTGTCAATCCTGTGTTGTCTGGTAACCGTGCTTACCATGGCGGCAGTGGCGGCCGAGAACTACATAAGGCTCTGTCTGACTCCCGAATGCTACGCCAAACTTACTGTCACGAAAATCACCACGCTTCTGTTCGCCATATGGATCGTCAGTTCGATTCTAGTCACGTTACAATCTGTCTACAAGATGGGACCAGACTATTGCGCCAAAAAGGTAAGGCGAGTGCATTTTATAATATAATATCTTATGGACGTTGATGAACTGTATAATATATTATTAAAACAACTGCTTTAAGTCGAAATTTCAATAACATATCTTGGATTGTACGCAATCAAATGCTGTACTTACTCTATAAATCGATTGTATAATGCTTACTATTTATGACGCGAGTAGAACATAACTGTTATAATTTTTTTTTTTACGAGTGAGTTTTAAAAATTTTAAGAGCTACTAATTTAATATTATAAGGTTTTTTTTCGTCACGTAACTGCATAATATTTTAAGATTATTGGGAAAATAAGAGGAGAAGGTAATGTTCACTGCTCACTATTCAGTTTTTACATAATTTCCTGATCAACAATGCGCGACTTTCTTCCTTATTATATCTTTGTACCATACTATCGCATGTGAAGATGCATATTGTATAAAATATAGATAAATATGATAACTTGTATACACTTTATTATATTATAATATATGAATCATGTGCAAATGTTATGGAACAGAATTTGGCAAAATTTTATTTAGATAATTATTCGAATAATTTTCAACTATGGTTATTCGAAGAATATAATATTATTCGAATAAAAATGTATTCGAATAATTTCAAAACATAATATTACATAGTACAAAATATGTACTTTATAATAATTATAATTCTTCTATTATACTGATAAGTATAATATTATTTGTTAATATTTGAATTATAATTAAAGTTAGTTACTATTACTTTTATTAGACTATTTAACCTGTTTACTGAAATTTAAAATTTGTTATAACTATTTATTTTAATTTTTGCTATTTTTATTTAATAGTTTAATATTACTTATTATTGTTGTAATTATTACGAAAGTTATTATTATTTTAAAATATGATTAAAAAAACATAATTAATCCTTTACTTTCTTCAATTAATATATATTTGTTTTATTTATAATATTTATTTTAGGATTTATTCCGAATAAAATACGATTTACAATAGTGTAACTTAAAATACAATGCCAGTTATTGTTTTTAATATGTGTGTTTTTTTTTAATTATTAACCATGTTTATTCAAATAATCATAGTAAAAAATCATTTGAATAAAATTTTATATAGATAATCATAGTTGAAAATGATTCGAATAATAATGTTTTAAAATTATTGGAATAAATTTTTATTCCAATAATTGTAAAAAATCGTTCGAATAACGCACTACTCTGCTATGGAATAGCCGGTTCTGGACAACCCTTCCGCTTCAGTTCCCGATCACCAAAGCTCTACTCCCCCCTCCATTTCTCGGCACTCACCTATACGTGCCTTCAAGTAGCTCCACTCCCCTCATCGCCTATAATGCATCAGATAAGCGCGTTAACGCGTAGTCTGACGGAATGTGTGCGTCATCCGGACGGACCGCCTATAGACAATCTATAATTTATATATACACAATTAATATAATATATGTGTACATACATGATTAGAGTAGGTATATGCCTCGATTTATAATACAGTAGAATCTCGATTATCCGAATTTCCGTTTTACGACCCTTTATTATCCGAACTATAATTAACGTATTTGAACATTTTGTTATCCGGACGTTAAAACTCGTTTAAACACTGGTATCAATAATTTTGTCATAAAAATTTAATAAACATTTCTATGTATGAAATGTATTTCTAATTATGTAATATATGTAATTCTAATAAAATATTAATAATAAATAATAATAATAATAACAATAAATATGTAATAGGTAGGTATAAAATATTTTACTGTATTTTAAAAATTTGTTTATTGTGTTTTTTTTTTTTAATTTCCAAGATCCAAACTTTTGCGTAACCGAACTAGGTGCGGTTCCATAATTAGTTCGGATAATCGAGGTTCTACTATTTATATATTATAGATAGTAAGTAAGTGGTCTGTGCGAATGCGCTTACATGATACACTATAGGCGAGGAAATGTAGAGATACTTTGTGGCTCGGGGAGAAGCGGTATAAACATGAGGGGAAGGAAATGGATGACAGAGGCTGAAACTAGGGGATCCAGAACCAGCTATTTCATACTACTCGTATATGTAAACCATGATCAAAAGAATAAGTCACGTCAAAAACCACTTCTCCTGTCAACCCTTTTTACCAAGACATGAGCTGCTTTTTTTATCAACGTATCATTTTTCTGATAAGAGGTCAAATGCGTAGTTGAATTAAATGCTTTTTCTTCCGAGATAAGTAAAAAGCACTCGGAACAGTCAACATTATTTTCTATTTAGAAAACTTTTTTGGATATCTCTATATTTTCGAATAGCCTTAATGTTGTTTTACTAACATTTTTTTGAATTGTTGATAATATACGCATGACGAACAATAATATTATTATATTTAATTAGATTATAAACATTGAACCAACTTTATGTCATAATAAAGGTACACAATACACATACATACAACGTTCAAATAAACAAGATTTCAATAAAAAGAAAATAATGTGCAGTCACCCGTGATAACGAAAGTATAACGAATGCAATTTAATAGTATCGTGAAAATAACGATTCTTTTCCATTTTTAGACTTTTATCTAGAAGTCGTTTGATCTTATAAGGTCGGATAAATATTTTGTTTTCATATATATCACTGTACTGCAATACATCGTTATTGGTGTTGGCGTCTATATAGCATATCGAATGAAAATGCCACTGTCCCCATTATATATTATCGGCAGATTTTTTTTTACAACCGAGTTAACAACAGCAGCACTAAAGCAGCAACAACAGCAGATACAACATGAATGTTTGATTATGTGACACGCAGCTATTATAGCACAACAAAAACAAGAATCACGCATAGTAGATACAATAAATAATAAAGAATTATCGTTATTATCTATTTATATCGCTACATCGTATACGTCCCCGATTGCCATTAACTATTTCATTATTTATCCACAATGACGAAGTAACAAAATTTTTTTAGACGTACTATACTGATAACAGTTTAGAATGTATTGAACTATAATATACTCGACCCCTTCCTAAAATTGTCACTTACGTCTCCATCATATTTATTTTAAATCAAAAATAAGAGAAAATAAGATTACGAATTTATATGCAATTACACACTCCCGTGAATCGTTCGAAACTTTGATCATTTCGTTGTGACTACAGTGTGTATACCGCTATATATTAATGATTATTGGCAGACTGTCGTCGCTTTGACAAAAACCGTGTTCGCAACAATGATTGTTTTCCAATACATTTTGTTTTTCAGTGCGCTCTCTCGATATCAAGTCGTCTGCATTAAATTAATCTTAACATTTTAACAACATCAGCTCGTACAAGAAGACTTACACTTGACAATACTAATTAGTAATTAAACATAGTAGGTACCTATTCTCTGATGTCAGTCGTTGTTTCGAATCAACCACAGTTAACGTCATAACCAGAGCTATAAATTTAATGCATAACTAGTACATTACTATAATCCTGATTTTTTTTTTTGTTTTGCAACTTTTCAGAAAAAAATTAATTTGATCAAGATTTGTCTTATAATACCTAGTTCTGTACTATTAATATGCACATGCACGGACTTCATATACTTTTAAGTTATAAAAATGTTTAGTGCATTAATTTTACAACAGCAACCCTTCAGTTTATTATTATTAATACACGGTTTTATCGTGACACCTGTAGACATATTTTACTTATATAATAATGCATACCTACTTAATATGATATGATATGTGTCACACTCAGACGTGCACGATACGGATAAGAGGTTTTAACACAGATATAACAATATATAGTCGCCCTGAAATGACGCACACACTCGCGTATATTATAAATTCAATAATAATATTATAATATAATATGTTGTTTATATATTTTTGAATTTTAAGTTTAGTCTATTCTATAGAGCACTAGAGCAAGGGTTAGGAACCTGAAGCTCTTTAGAATGTGAACCAATATCAAGATCTGTAAAATATAAATTAAAATTCGATTATATTATAACAAAATAATTTTTTTTTTTTATTTAAGACTCATTATTGTTTTTAATGACTAACAATTCCCGATTAAATTGTTTAATGAAATAAATGAGTAATTTTTTTATCATGAAGTATTTTTTTTTTTTTATCTTAATCATTATGACTATTTGAAAAAATTGCTGATTTACAAGAAAAGGATAACCTCTATAGTCCGATTCACAACAAATGTTCCTCGATACTAACGCGTCAAGTGGCGATTTTTAGTTAAACCAGGAGTCCACAATTAGGGTTAGGAAATAAAAAACATGTATTTTTAAAATTATTATCAGCAGCAGTTACACATTTTGTGCACCTATAACCAGGCACGTTAGTATTGAGGGACATTTATTAAGAAACGGACAATATAGTATAAGGTATTGTACACTAATTTTCGAGACAAGACGGCAGTCATAACAGTATCAGTGACAAATAAGTGAAATCAACAAGTATAATATACAACCTATAATAGTCATAGGTAGAATATACCTATATAATAATATGAGATACATCGTAAACTCCAACGGGACGAACTCCGACCTAATAACTTACAGGTGTATAGGTTAAGTTAGGTCATTGTTGAGTCCGATATATAAATAAACAATATACATTATACATTATCCATATTATAGCACACAAAACGCAATAATATATGTTATAGATTAGGTAATAAAAAATTATTCGAACCAGTAATATAACATTATTAAATATGACTCCAACAGCCTACGGGTTTTATTACTCTAAGCGCTCGATTCTCATATAAAAGCCTTAAAAAAACTGATAAATTTTATGTGTCTATATACATAAAATATATACGTTAACGACTTATCTTGCAGCAATGCTAGACCGAGGAAGAAAACGTTATCGAGTTCAATTTGATATTTTATGACAAAAAAGCTGGTGTATAACATTACTCTGGAGGTCTACGTACCCACACACATGATAATAACATATAACTTTTGAATCTATAGACTTCTATCTTACTGTATTTCATTAATATTTTTTCAACAACGATGCATGACAATATTCAGTACATTTTTATTAGAAGATAAAATGTATATCATAGATATGTAGTAGGAAACATGCGATTGAGACGAATCCAACAACACGAGTTGTTAAGGGAATCGGGGGTGAGGGAAGTTTCAAAATGTCAATATAGATGCAATCATTCGTTCTATCTCTGGTCTACTTCCAACAAAGCATACAAATTGCTTAACACAGAGTACAATGGTTAATGCCTGCATTTTGTTATGAAAGACTTTTAAACTTTAATTTTTATAATTTAAAAATTGAATAAGTAACGAAAAAATTGATTCGTATGAACAATAGAAAAGGAACTATAATAAATCTGACGCGAGAAATTAATTAAGTTCTTCTCTTTACGTTCGTTTTTAACAAATGTTTAATCGACTTATTATAATTATGAATACGATGTAAAACATCGCAATATTTAACGGCGTTCGCCGTTATTCGCTTAAAAACTAAAACTAAACTTCCGTAAAAATAAAAATAAAACAGCGTACAAAAACAGACGATATCTTCGACTTCAGATTGAATACAATAACAGTTCGATTTCATGCTCACTCTGACAATAACAAACCCTCGACAACGCATGATCGGTTTTACCTGACGAAATATATTTGCCGCGTGTCGTCCTTACCGTTCGCGGGGGCGCGTCTTCTCTCCTGCACATACGGTCAGAAAAGGTCATTCAAAATATGCATTTTAATTAGAATTATTTTGTTTATAATGTTAAAGTATTTGAACTTGGTTACATTAACCATATAGTCTTCTCGTTTTGATCGCCACTCAACTAAATGATTAAATAAAAATCAATGCGGGAGGGGGTTACAACGCTCAAAACCTAACGCCTCTGCATGCGGTTATCGGGCCAATAAGTATATAATATACAGTTTGCGTCGGCTACGGGGAAGTACGTAGGACTTAGAACAACACGATGTGTGTACACGATTATATAATTGCATGCTGCCGGTGTTGCAGGTGAGCAGCATCGTACCGACACAGGCGCTGGCGGCCGGTGCCATCGTGCTGGCGCCGTTGCTCATCACGGCCGGGCTGTACATGCGCATCACGTACCAGGTGCACGTGGCCAGGCTGAACCCGAGCTTCAAGCCGCCGCTGGCGTTCAACTGGGACTACTCGCTGATGTTGGCCAACGCGTACAGCTTCGTCATGTTCGTCGTGTTCTGGGCCCCGTTCGCCGTCGTCCTGGCGCTGGCCACCGTCCAGCGGCCGTCCGCGCAGGTGTTCTACAACCTCGCGTGGCTGGCCCTCAGCAAGTCCTGTTTCAACAACCTGGTGTACTGCGCCGGAAACCGGCACTTCCGCAACGCGTACGTCAACCTGTTCCACTACTGCTGCTGCAAGACTACGGTGACGTTCTCGCGGCGGGCCCGCGACGGCGCCAGCCGCCCGTCCGGCGACGTCCGCGTGCACATCATACCCGGCTACAACATGTACTCGTACACCAGCCCCACCAGGTCGCGGGAGTCGGGGTCGTGCCCGCTGCAGGGCAGGCCGCGGGCCAGGGCCAACGGCGGCGGCGGCGGTCTCGGCTGCGGCGGCGGTGGAGGCGGCGGTGGCGGCGGAGGCGGCCGCGACGTGTACGAGCTGTAAGCCTGCCGCGGCCGATACCGTCACGTCGCCTACACACATACACAATATACTCAATAATACTATACAATATTAATTATTGTCCGGCGCTATATATACTTTAATATTATTATAACTCCGCTCCGAACACGCATTAGATAACGTTATTTTATTATCATTATTATTTATTATTGTTATACGTGTGCGATTTATATTTATATAACAATATGTATATATATGTGCGCACGTGTTTTTCTTCCCTCGTATTATATGTATACATTTGTGTGTGTGCGTGTACGACATTACGTACCCCCCCTCGCCCCCTACCCACTGGAAAAACGCATTTGCAGCATTTATATATACGCACGCGCGTTAAACACGCATTATGTTTATCTAAACGCCATAATGCATGTATAGTACCCCTATAATAATATTAAATTATAACTTGCGTAGTCACCACCGCCGAAATTTTAGAAGATAAGTTTTCGATTCGTCACGTGTACGTTGCGTGCAAAAAAATGCACCTGTATACTTGGAACGCGGGCTATGTGATTTTTAAAGTTGGGCGACACTTGTGTACACGTCACAGACCTGTACAACGTATAATAATTATGTCATAGACGCGTGTGATCGGCCGACCGCATACGGCGAACGAATAGGATATTTCTACTAGTTAATCCCCGCTATCTTGCCTCCCCGCTAGGTCGGAAATTTATAGCGAGGTTACAGGGGATCGCATGATGAACCGGGGTCACGGGGCCGAGTATACTTGTAGAGGCCATAGTCGAAATGTTTTCTTTTTTAAATCCATTTTCATCAAATCGAAAGAAAAATATATTATAACTTGTGTCAAATTATTTGAAAATAGATTTCTCGAAGTCGTCCATTATTAGTAGTCACATCCCGGACTCTCTCTACGATCTTTTAAGGCCAGGATAACAAAAAGATCTGTAACCCGCGATCGCCGACAGCCTATATCGTATGCAATATACCGGTGCAACGCAATCGCTTTGCATAATATGATTATTTTATTCTCTCGGCTCTCTCGTCAAGCTGTATACTTATAATAACGTGTGATACCTATACATGAGCGGTAAGTAATGTCTGTACGCGGGGAAAAGGGGGACGGAATAAAAATAGAGCTATCCGTCGTCGAGCAAAACGGTGCGCATCACACGCCGCCGCCACACATGTCAATAAACGACGTCATAATTGTACGCTTACAATGACGGCAGTAATAATATGCGATGTGGCGCGATAAAAAGTCGACTTTCGACAGCTACCTATAAACCTACATACGGTTTGGCTCGGATGCCCGGAGCAACGCGCACTTTTGTGAAACACGAAACGGCGACGACGGATTTAGAATTATATTTTGCTCCTTGAATATATAGAGATGAATTATGTGTACCTCATTACATAGATCCTAAATAAGACGGCGACGGCGACAACTTATTGTGAGGCTGCACAAGACTTTTTCTATCGCGTTTTTGTTTTTTTTTCCCCATCCTTTCGTCCCACAGCACCGTTTCTATTGCTACTCGCAGATCTACACTACACAATCTACCCGCATTTGTTGTGCATAGTAATTACCACGTGATGGAGGTTGAAAAGAAACTTTTAAGAGCACGGTTTGAGTTTTTGATGGATGCTTCGAGTTTTGAGAGCATTGTCACAATCTTTTGTCGGGAACATAGGACCGGAGGTATAGGTGTACTCGCAACTATCCTAATCCTTGTACCGAGTACCGACTAACGCAATAGGAATAGCGTTGTATAAATATTAATTTATTCTTCAATTTATCTCCCCTCTCGCCCACACTTGCATTCCGATGTGGAATTCGCCCATTGTTCCGTATATACAGGAAACCGATGCATTCCATCGTTGATTTATAATGTATAAATACACTACCCGTCCACAGACCCGAGCCAAACAAGCGTTGTCAATTATATTATTATATGTATAAACGGAATATATATTTATTAAACTATTTATAGCCCATATGGCACGTCTTATATATTACATATAGATATAATTTACTTACATTGAAAGAATCGCGCAATTTATTTGTTTTGAATCGGATCGGCAACATAATTTACGTTCAAAAATAAAAGTTCTATAAACGGCAAGTCTGAATAACATAATAGGTACACTATTATTCGGTAAAAATTATTATATGTTCGATTTAATGATGTGTGATAAATGATAACATACCGTTATCGTTTCGATTATTGTCGTATAAATATCACACGTTAGATAATTGGTAAGGGTAATCGTTTAGACTTTTTTTATTTATTAGTTTAGCCTATAAGTCTTGCACGTCCGCTGACTCGTAATAATCATTAGTAAACATGTTTGTAGTTTTGTACGTTCATAAAAATTTTAATTCGTGTAGTATAAATTTAGATGTATTCATGATTGATATTTCACTCACAGTTACATCAGCTGGTCACCGTCGGTCCATATAAACGATGCATCTATCGCGATGTTCAAATATTAGATTAGGATTTATACGTTTATATTATGAATTTATGTATAATATTCTATGCATTCTACATCTAAGCGCGACTCCATTGTAAGTCGAAATATGAACAAATAAAAAACATAATTTTTGTCAGTTTAAATTGAAATATTGTGGCTTAGTATATTGTGTGTGTGCGAATTTCAATAATTTCGACAATTCTGAACAGTGAAAAATTCAATTCGAAAATAAATCCTGAAACTACTTTATCTCTTATCTTCTACCCAATCCCTCCCACATCTGTATAAAATAAATTGCAGTAATAGAATCGTGCTATTATCTAAATATCATAATATTTATCACGTTCATATACGTCATTAAGTATAACTTATAAGAGTATTACTCATACCATTAATGGATACAATTCGATATTTTGATTTAGAGACCACTCGACCACCGAATACAAAGTATTCAATCCAACATATACAATATACATAGGTTTTAGCTACTCACGCTAACAAGTGATCAGTAGCTGGCAGCCGCCATGATATAAATTTTTTTCATTTAAATAATCCGTATGCATACTAGTACATTAGTACACTAGTATATTACTAGTGCGTAATATTATGTTTAATCTGTATTCGAAATTTCCGCACTACACATACATTCACTACTTTACAAAAACAAAAGCGATTCAATATCCACCGATGCAAACATACCGGAACGTTTCGTTTGTTCGTATTAATATATGAATATTATATTATTCAAAACGTTATAAACGACCGAGTTTCCGACCATATATTATAAACCATTAATATTTATATATAAATACATAAATAATGTGATGTAGTATTAAATATGTATAACATAGTCATTTGTGTATTATATAATACGGAATAGGTAGGTAGTAGGTGTACTCGAAAATGTCACGATAATAATAATTAACATAAAAATCTGAAATTCAAAAGCCTCTTAATCACGACTATTCCCATTCACAGTATTATTCTATATACGCAACACATATATCTAATTGTTGTATATACTTTTATTATGGTGATTTTGATTGTTTGCTTTGACTTTATGAGTTCGATGATAAATAGTAATTGTTATTCATCAAATGTCTGTTCTTCTTCTCTAATTACCCTATATCAATAATATAATATATTATACTGGCACACTGCGCTCGACGCGAAAATTATTTTTTAGATACTTCTATCGAATCGAAACAATTAACAAACACATATTCACAAACTCACGTCTTCCAATAGTATTCGGAATTCTTGAAGTTTTTATAGTAGCGTACATAATTTGTTCGTAGAATTAAACTAGAGAATTCGTGTTATAAATTTTAACTTACCTACGCTTCTATAAAGAACTTTTTAATTGTCATTGCCACCTCAATCGTATACAGTTAGAAACATAAAAATAATGTGTTCGAAGTTTACTTTTAGATAAAAAAAAATCACAATAATTATGTAGGTAACATTATAAAAATTATTAATTGCCTACTATACATCTACATGTATGAGTACATTTTTACACCCAATGACTTTGAAAATTGCAATTAAAATAGAAAATAATATTTTTTGGTTTCTTTGATTTCTGTTTTTAATAATAAGAGTCTAATTATATCGTCAAAAATACTTATTTATGTTTACATAAATAAACAGATAAACTATACTTAGTTTTGCACTCTCTCATTTGAAAAAATAATACTTAGGTACCTGACAAGTGACTTGTAAATATGATTAGAAGTGTTTAAACTGTATCTAAATATAAATGTATACCTATGAAACTAAGACACAAACCTAATAAAGTAAAAGCTTACTATAATAAATAATAAATACCGTATACGTCTTCTATTTGTTATACATTTATTCTATTTAATGTTTAAATTATAAAACTTGCAGAGAGACACTTAACCAAAACTTAAACCATGTTCATAAGCGTAGGGAGAGAGGCTGCAGAAGTCTCATTATACATTTTAAACGTATCATTTCGTTGAAGCAAAGCCCTCCACACCCCTATCTTTTGCCTAATTTATATTAATGACATTCATAAATGACTTAAATCATTGCTAGAGCCACTAAAAATTAAACTGATTTTATTATAAAATAATTCAATAGTAAATTAATGAAATTAATTTATAGCAATAATAAAAAATAAAAATACCATAATCTAGATAAAGTATAAAACATTTATTTTTTTTACCTAATAATTTATTTAAATGAAATAGACAAAAATATTTTTGGGACGAAGCCCCTCTCCTTAGATACGCCTATGCATACCCAACACACGTTTTGGTTTAAATAATCTAAATTATTATTCTGTTAATTCTTGGCTCTTATTTTACGTTTTATTTTTATGCATTGTAACTTAAATTGTTCTTGCACATTTACACTTTTATATTTACAATTCGTTGTCGTAAAGCCTTTTGGAACATAACATTTTATTATTATGTACCTACGCGCTAAATATAGAGATCATATTTTATTGATATAAATGACATTTAATAAAATATTCGCAAAATTGAACTCAAAATACGAATTTCTACAGTTTCGTTCAGGAGCTACCTATGTCTTGAGAACTTAAGCGACAAACATTATATTAAAAAATAGAGTCTAATAATTTATTTCTACCTACTACCTACCACCTAATATGCATCCTGTCTACATTTTTATTTGTACTATTTTACTTCGATTGAATAGAAATATCGCTACACATGTGTGTCACCAAATATATTTCGAGAGACTTTTCAAAAAATATAATAACTGGTTGTTAAACACACCTCTGAAAGGGTTTTATGTAATTGTGTTAAAAAGTTACCAACCTACATATAGGTACGGTTCCATTATAATAAATACATTAAATTGTTTGTAAATAAGCAATACGAGTACACTTAAAAAACACTCGTAAGATAAAATTGTTTTAAAATATATTATTATTAACAGAACATTGATTATTTTCAAAACATAGATAATTTTAAAAACTTTGAATAAAATGTTTTCAAATATAATTATTATACCTAACTATACATAGTCTCATAGAGTAGACAAATAATAATTTTGCTAACTATATAATATGTTAGGTACCTATATACACAAGTACCTATATATAAATTTATATAACATACAAACCTATCAATTTTTTATTGACTTAGGAAACAAAATTATACATTACATACTTACTACTTACCTTTGTGTGTATGTGTGTGAATATCGCATGCTACGTGCTGTGATTAGCTGTAATTTTTAAGTACCTACCTATTATAATACACAATAATATTATACCTACTCGTATTTATGTATGATTATGTTTTATATTTTATAAGTAAGATTAAGTTATATAAATATTATCATAACAAATTATATTACACATTTATATTAAACTATTTAAAATTATATACATATTACTATTATATCTAAACCTTAAAATATATTTTATTAATTAAAAATATTACTTACTATGTGATTGCTGTATGTATTGCTATACAATTTATAAAAATAATCGCATAAATAAATATTATGATGTACCTATCTATTTTAAAGTATAGGTACTTCGTACTTAACTGTAGGTACCCGATACATTAACATATAACATGTTTGATATTAGGCTGGTACCTATACTATTATTGTTTAAGTATTTAAGTTTAGACATGCATATTGTACACATAACCGCTACCTTCAGACGTTGTTTTAAATAGCCTATCACTATACAAATGAAGACTAAATTTTGTGTCAATTTAATCTGTAGATATAGTAATTTTTGAAAATTTTTATTAAAACATTAATTATTAGGTATATATGTTTATAAAATATATAGACCTAACCCCTTACATAAACCATAATAAGGTTTTGTTGCAAAATTAAACAAAACGATTTTTTTAAGTATACCTATGCTCTTTGTGTAAATCTTCCAGTGTCCTTTACTATAATATTATACTTTATAATTTTAAAAATTAATGATATAATCATGATTTAGATGATAATTGCTATTCTAATTCCGATAGGTGCTTTGTGCCCATATTATTCAATTTCACTTGCAATGATTAATACAAGTATATCATACACAAACGGTATCGCTTTTATTTCATAATTGTTTTACAAAATTTTAAAATATTTAATTCAAATTTAATTTCTTACATATCATTTGCGTTCAGATTTACTCGCAGCAGGTTTTGTTTCGTAATAACAAAATAAAATATTTTATAGACATATTGTACGTCGTTAACAAAAAAAAAAAAAAAAATCTCGTGAAATTGGGACCACAATATTTTTTCTACTGGTAATTTTCAACAACATGTTAAGTTCTTAGCAATTTTTTTTTTATTTTATTAAATATTATTATTTGTTTTGAAAGTTTTAAGTTAAACACGTATTGTTTAAAATCTAAATCTGTGATACAATAGAAAGGGACGATTTTTGAAATTAACAACTGCTTTAAAAGGGTAATTATTTTTAATGATTTAATTTCTTAAGCTTTTAACGTCATGCTGTCCAACACCTAAACAAGTAATATAAAAATTAATATTTTTCACTCAAACATCGAAATATTCACTATTAAAATGCCATTGACAACTACCTAGGTATATTTAGACATTTAGTTATATTAATAAAATAATAATAATAATATGTACTGTAATTCAGAAAATAAAATATAACTAAATAATAACTCATAGTTTACAGCAGCACTTGATTTAAAATACTCGTAATCATATTTTTCGTAGGTCATCATCATTTTATAACGGATATGTAATCCCAGTAGGCTACCTAAAGATCAAAGTTATTAAATCATGTTTAAATTATGGATGTCAACATGTATTTAAAACAAGTACATACAAATTATATTACAGCAAAACTGTTATAGAATACCCATAATATAGTTTGTACAAGTATTTTATATCATTGTTCAATATAATATATTTTGTTTTTCATTATGTAGATCTTTTATTAAAATAAATAATTGTTTTAATTAGTTATGTCTTTCCACATAGCAAAAATATTATTATTTTTGTTCCTAAAATATAACTTGTAATGTTAAAATTTTTGTATATCAATAACGCATATTACTATAGTTGTAAGCAAAAACATCTGTAATTTTATATTTAATATTTTGTGTGCGTAGAATTTAAATTAAAAAAACAAAATTAATACAAAAAAATCATTGACTACTATTCACCTATATACATAGGTACAATATTATATAAACAATAATTTATATCCTAAAATAAGGTGCTTTTTTTGTGTATGACTAAAATTATGCATGTTTAAAATTAATCTATAACAATATAAATATTTGAATGTTTAATTTGTATTTTATTTCTATTTTATACCTTGGCTTAAAGTCAGTATTTAGAAATCCAACTTAGTTATAACCAATAAGGTAAACCTTGATTTTCATTTTTTAAACACCATAACCATGAACAATAGTGGGAACCAAACTGATTGAACATTAATTTACACTCAAATAAATATTAAAGGTTTTCTTTTTGTCTTATAGTTGTTTTTTTTAATTATTTGATTTTGCAGTTCATAAGTTTTTTTAATTGTGAAGTCTATTTTAAACTCATTTTTAAATTTGTAGTTACAGAATAATAACCTAAGTCTTACTTAACTAGTCATTAAGTAATTTCCAATAACCAGCTTTAAGCCTTATTTTGAATCGATGATTTATATTTAACAGTATAATGAATCATTATTTTACTTATTATATATGATAGATAATTTAATATAAATATACAATGATGTTAAATGATTTGAATTGAGAGGTATTCATCACAGTAAGTACCTACAAATTAAAATTTGGAATAGACCTAAACAATATTGTACAAAGGTTTTAAAAGGTTTATTCAATTTTGTACATTTCAAATAAAAAAGTTAATAGTAGAATTGAATTGTTAACAAAATTTAAAAAAATCATATGCCTCATAAATTATGTTAAATTTATAATTTTAATTTTCGAATACAAATCTTATAAATTATACTAAAAATAACAGCCTAATTTACTAATTTATATAATTTACATCTCCATAATTAAATACAATTATATTATATTAATAGTTCATTGGTAGTTAGTGTGTTAATTTTCAATTAATGAAAATTATGAAATTAAATAATATTGTACAGTTTATAGAACTAAGTGCTTGCAATGTTTATTTTTATTTTAGTTCTATATTCACTGATTGTAGTGCATCAATACACCACTGTGGATAATTATTATCTGGATACATATCAACCATAAATTGCTGGACAAATTCCGGAAATTTGTTTACCTTAATGCTTTCTCTAATGCCTTTCATCAACTGCATTTGATAATTAAGATTATGCACTGATAATAAACTGCAAGAAACAGCTTCAGTACTAACAATCTGATGTATGTATGCTCGAGTATATGTCTTACATGTTGAACAGATACAATTTTTTTCAATTGGTCCAAAATCCATTTGAAACTTTTTTTGTCTTAAACTAATTTGACCATTTGAAGTTAATGCACAACCAAACCGAGCTGTTCTTGTTGGAAATACACAGTCAAACATGTCAGCTCCTAAAGCAGAACAAATTACTAAATCTACTGCAAATCCGACTCCCATCACATATTTAGGTTTATCTCCAGGTAACATTTGAGTAGAAAGAAGAACCATTTTCCAGAAATCTTCTTTAGCTTCCCCACCACTAAGACCACCTATAGCATAACCATTTACTTTTCTTTCTAAATGTAAATTTGCACTTAACTTTCTTAAATCTTCAATAAGACCTCCTTGAACAATAGGAAATATATTTTGTTCATTAGGTCTTTCATGAGCACTTAAACAACGATCTAACCAACGTGTTGTCCTGTATGTAGCTTCTTCCATTCTTTCGTTGTCTTTTGAGGTAGTTGGCACGACATCATCTAACTGCATTATTATATCTGCACCAATTGCATTTTGTATTTGAATAGACTTCTCAGGAGTTAACAAGCTTTTTGTACCATCATAAGGTGATTCAAAATTAACACCCTGTTCATTAATATCAGCCATATGTAACAATGAGACCATTTGAAAGCCTCCAGAATCAGTGAGTAGAGCACGTTTCCAACCCATAAAATTATGAAGTCCTTTGGCTTTTTTCAATAACTCAACTCCAGGACGTAATCCCAAGTGATAAGTGTTTCCTAGAATAATTTGACAGTTCATATCTTCCAGCTGTTCTGGTAAAACAGATTTAATAGATCCTTTGGTACCAACAGGCATAAACACTGGTGTTTCTACTGTATAATGTGGTAATTTCATTAAACTAGTACGAGCTCGTGAAGTACTGCAGGTGGCAATCACGTCAAATTGCAAAGGTTTTTCCATTTTAAATTGTTTTTAATAAGTTTTGGTTTGAACTGACTTGAATAATTTTCTGAAAGAAAAAAAATATAATCAACATATTTTTACTTTAAGCTTTAAAATATTTTGATTGGTAAGATACACATACATTTTTTTATAAACATATATAATTTTAAGTGTTAGTAAAAATATATTATTACTTTAATAGGGAAAATTATTTATAACATAAAAATAAAATTTAAATAAATACTAAATTAAGATGCAACAAAGATTAATACATAATAAATAAAACATTAATATTTTTACCATTTATATATTCTATCTACCCCAAGAAAATAGCAACCTCATGTGCCACATGAATAAAGCAAAATATAGTTAATAAACCTATTCATTTTTTAAAATTTTTTTTTTAATATGTTTAAGGTATTTAAATACCTAATTTAAAATTGTAAAATAAATGATTTTGTTTCAAAATAAAAGTAATTTTAATAAAATTATAAATTCATTTTTTTAAATAATTTATTTACATAAATAATTAATACTTCTATCAACCAGATAGTAAATAGTGATAATCAAAATTTAATAGTCCCACCATACTCAGCGTAAAAATATGTATTTACCAACTCATTTTTATTGAAACCACAATAAAAAAAAAAAAATCCATTCACTTGTTTCTTTAAATTATTATTATCTTTATTCCATAAAGATATAACTTCCAATGTAAAGAATAGTGTTCTATTCAAACACTTTCAGATTCAGTGCTTCAAGACAAATATAAATTGAAAAATAGGCTTAGTATAAGTGCAATTCTGTTAAAAATAGTTAACACTAAATACTTAGAAATACCTATAAAAATGTTCTTTGATAATAATAAAATCAAGAAAAAGGTAAGAACAACATTGTATTAACAAATATTTAAAATTTTAAAAATTATTTTTTAGGGATTATCAAAAGAAACACTTTTTTAAACATTGATAATTATTTTAAATTTAAATGTATACACTTCAGAACTCTGTAGTATTTTGAATATAATTTTTAAACTTAATGAAATAGTGTAGCTAAATTTAACTGATTGTATAAAATAGAAACCTAAATAAAATGTCATAAAAACATATATTTTTGAGTTTATTTTAAAATATATAATCAAAATATTAATAAAATTGGGATTTTTACTCTCTAGCCACAAAAATAACTATGCTGTCATAAATAGTAAAATAGTAAAATTGTTAATTGATTTTATTCCAAAATTACAAACAACACATTGCAAATGATTGTTTACTCGTGTACAAATGGATTCAATTACTTCAATTATCAAACACAGTAATAGGTACTTATTAATAAGACTCCTAAAATCTTATTTACTAAAAATCTGTAATTATTAACATTTGCATTTAGATTAAAGATATTGTAATTAATTCTATACTCGAACCAAAATATAATTAATAAGTTACTTACATATGTAAACAAAAGCGTATTAGTCAATCTCTACCAACAGAAAACAAATTTAATTATGAAACATATTCATCAAATCCAATTTAAAACAAACATGTTAAATATATAGTGTTGTGTCAAAAATTGATAGATAATAAATTGAAAAATAAATTCTACACGTATTTTTTTGATTTTATTTCTAGATATAAAATATTCAGCAATATTCAAATAACAATAAACGGTAAGAATGATATAGCCTTAAGCAACAAACAAAATAAATAATAATTGTTATATTCTGCGATATTGTGCTTATTTCTTATCAATGAGCAAGAATATTGATAAAAGTTATCAATATCCGCCAACCAATAATCGCACATGGAAACCACATGTGAAGCAACCGGTTCTGGACTTATGTGTAATGGATTAAATTTTAAATATATATTGTATGTTTATTTAGCCTAAAAGTCCAAAAATCTAGTCAGTTAAATATTCTTTATCGTTACGATGATATCAACTATAATATGTCTACATCCTTAAATTAGGTATTTGCCATTTGATCAATTATGCCATACACTTTAATATCATACACGAACCAAGATAAATTATATTATGTTTATATTACGATGTGGACAAGATCTGGTTTCTTCGGTTTCTTGATGTTAATAATTATAAATGAATATCTTATTAAATCAATATTACACTGTGTAAAAATAAATTGAATAAAATATATTTTAATAAATGATTATTAATTATTATAGTATTATTAATGTAAATACTGATCACCAGATAGGTACACGGATTTTTTGTACCCTTTTTGTATCCGATCAATGGAGTCGGGAACCAATACTTTATGTCTTCATAAACTTATACATTCTCGTGTAATAAGAATTTACAGTATTTATTTAGAACAAACTACAAAGCGATGTATAGAATTAGATAATAGATATAATAATATGTCTTAGACAAAATAAATTTCGATTTTCGTTGTAATTTGGTTGTACTTTAGAGGCGTACGCGTATCCCAAAGAAATATTAGGTCCACCACTAGTTCTTAAAATTGCAATTTTAATAAGTTTTTACACTATTAAAATGTAGACTATAAAAAAATATACACAAGTATTAAATCTTAGATACAATAATGTAAATTTTGAATTTTAAAATACTTTTAAATCCTAATATGCATAGTTTAAAATTTAAAAAAAAACCTACATAGAGACTTTTGATGATATTCTCCTTTTACATATTTTAATTAGTCGATTCACTCAAACACTTATAATAATTAATTAAAACGATCCTAAAATTATTCTGAGTAAATAATAAGAAAATAATATCGTAATATGCTAGTAAACGGTAAACGTTTTCCAATTATTCATTTATTCCATAATCGTAATTACTAATTTGTAATATCCACACGAATGCAATTTATATTTAGATTCTAGACCCAAATGTCCATTATCCAAGCATAATATTTTAGACAAATTTATAATTGAATTGTTAATAATAATTTTATCTATAAACATTATAAACATGAAATAGCCGCAGAGAATAAAAATAGACAATGTAAACACGAAATCGTGGAAATATAAAAGTTATTAGTTTATTACCCACGTTGAATGTTGATAAATTGTGTTCACCGAGAATAATTGCGATTCATCAAAAGTGATCACGAAACGTAAACAATAATTAATGCATTTACTATTTCATTTCTTTTCTACAAATAAATAGTTCTATGTGTAGACTGTAGAGCCGTGTAAATGCAGTTTGTTTGGTTGATTTATTATGTTTTCTTGAAGTGCGCACACTGATTCTTATCATGTAATTCTCGTTAAACTATAACTATAATCGTAATTTGTAAAACCATAGCATTCGGCGGCATTATTAAAATATTTTATTAATTTCCAAGTTGCCAATTGTTGAGTTTTTATATTTTGGATTGAATTATTTAATTTCGAAACTTTCGTGTCTAACTTTTCTCAAACCTGATCGGATTTAATAATGTCACCCAAGTGAGTATAAGACATTATATTCTATGTATATACTAAATAATAAATTTATGTCTGTGTATTATAATAGACAGACATTTCTTCTTCTTCTTCTTCTTTGGTCCAACTTTTAGTTGTTTTTTTTTGAAGGGGGACTAGCATTATCTAAAGTAAGGTTTCGCATCCATCTGTACCTCGGTTTCTTTTTCCAATGTCTATGAATTGAAGGGTTATTGAAAACTACAGGACTTAACCATTTAAAGCCCCCAAGAATAATATCCTGTGTATATAACATATACCAATATTAATGTAATCTAATTGTCATATTGTAATTTATATCCACAATGTTGTTTAGCTGGGCTTGCCATTAGTCCCAGTCTTAATAGTAAGCATGTCCTGGTGTCATTAATTTTGTCCTGGTTTATGGAAGCTGAGAGAATTTTATCTAAAAATTAAGAATAATACAGCTGTATTGAAAAAATTCATTCAATGGAAAAGTATCAATATTCGCTTATTACTAATAATAAATGTAAATGTAGTTTATGTAAAAAATTGTATTGGTTAATACATTTTTCAATAAAATCATAAATGTATGGAAATACCATTTAACTAAACTAAAAGTGAAAAAGAAAAAGATAATTCAATATGATGTCCCAGTTTGGTGATTTTAAAATCTAGCAACCCTTTATATAGTTAAAAATATATTTTGACATAATTACATTTTATTTGTTTTATATTGAAGGAAACGACGTGGAGGGTCAAGAGGTCGTGGTAGAGGTATAGCGAAAAGAAGAGGACCAAAACCTCGTCAACCTTTGTCTTCAGACACTCCTACTGCAGATGATACCGATGCCGAGGGTACGTCCACGGATGGTAATGTGTCGTTCAAACAGAGGAGGTCACCTCCACAGTCACCAACCAGAAAAAAACATGCTGATTACAGTGAAGAGAGAGAGCTATCATTACCGCGATTAAAACCTACTGTCATTCCAGAAAATTCTACATTCCTATCAAGTAAAAATACATTTAGAGAATTTTTTTATTCTTGTAGGTATATTAAGAGTTTTGTTGTTTTAGTGCTGGACCGTGATAACAAATCTGACTATATAATGACAGATGACGAATTGGACCATATTCAATGGGATCTTGAAGCAATGTTAACTAATGTAATTGTACGCAGAAATACAATAAGAGATGAACTAAGCACTTTTGCATCCATGCAGTTTGCTCGCTCTCTACATCGTATGGCTAAAAACCCTAAACTTCCTACAATTGTAAGTTTATTTGTTGTGGAGCATTATATTTCTTTAGTATTATTGCTAAAATAAACATACTCAATATTTATTTAAGGGAATATTTGTATTTATTTATTTTTCATTATTATTACTAATTAGCTTTTTTACCCAATGCTCGAACATCATATAAAGTTTGTAATATATAATAAAAAATATAACTCAATAAGTATATAAATATTAATGAAATATTTAATATTTTACAAACATATTTAAAATTAAAATATCAATACATAATATTGAGATACCAATTAATTTAGAAAAAAATAAAAATTTTAAATTGATGTTATGTTTATTAATTTTTACAGAGACCAAGAGCTGCTGCTGAAATATCACCTGTGAATGAATGTCGTAAGATGAAGGTTGAATTTGACCCTACTAGCAAAGTAATTTTATTTATTTATTTTTTTAATTTCTACACTTTATTCAAGTTATAATAAACTGCTCAAGCATGTGCAATGTCTACACAGATCAATCTGTATGCACGAAAGTAATTAACTTTTAATATCCAAAACAGTGAATCATAATGGATACTTATTTATACTTAAGTATATTAAATATAATTATTTAATTTTAATCAATTTATTTTAGGAACTTCCGCCAAGCAAAACTGAATCAGCAAATAAATTTTGGTCATTGGTTGAACCATATCTGGCACATGTAAAGAAAGAAGATCTCAAAGTAAGAGTATATTTTTATTTTTTATTTTTATATTATGTTATTTGAATGTAACTTAATTTTCAGTGGTTAGATGATCTAGTTAAATCGTATAGCCCCAGTAAAAAATTGTATGAAATTCCACCTTTGGGTGAACATTATGCAAAAACTTGGGCTAAAGAAGAGTTAGAAATGCAAAAACAACAATCATCATGTTCTCCACGTCCGCCTAAAAAACTTAAATTTGCTGAACGTATAGCCCCTGATGTTGTAGAACTAGTGGATAAAGCTAATTCTGCTATGTAAGTTGCATTTTGAATGTTAAAATGTTGTAGGTGTGTATGATAAATAAAGTGGTTAAATTTTGTACAAAATTCCTTATATGAATACATGAAAAATATTGATTGTGTATTAAGGTATAGTAAGCGAATTGAAAACTGCAACTGATCACTGTTTATTGAAAACTAGTATATAGAAATAAATATTATATATTGTTAACTCTCATCAATGGTCCTAAGTTGTTAGGCACTAATTTTAATATATTAGTAAATATAGTTTTTGTTTATCAAATTTGATAAGTACTTAATTTTAAAAAAATATGTAAAAATTACTTCAAGTTATAAAAATTAATATTCTCACTTCAAAATTTAAATCTGGAATTATCTGTTTTATAATTTAGCGTTTAAATTAATTATATCTAAAAGTTATCTAGTTATCAGTATAATACTAACTTAAGTAATTTTATACTTGCCATTAATTTAATGTTTAATCACAAAATGTCCATATTCTTCTACACTATCATAAATTCATTTTTTATCTAATACAAAATTCAAAGCAATATAACTGTTATTTTATATTTATGAATTGTTTTAAATGATTTTTAATTATTATAGACAGGATGGTAATGTATATATGCCAGTGTATCAAAGAGTTGTAACAGCTCTTTTAGATCATTCAAATAATTCCTTAGATGATGCTGAAGAAAATTTTCCAGAATATGATGGTGAATTATTTACTTAAATACTTGTTCATAAAAATAATTCATAATCATTTGTTTAACTATTTTAAGATGTTGAAGAAAAACCACAAGAAATGAGTAATGTTTGTAAAGAATTTTATGCAGAACAAAGTGTCAAGAAACAATTGAATAAATTAGGGCTCATTGGTCGTAATTCTAAACCGGTACCATCACCGGAAGATTCGCTGCCTTCTTTGGCTATAGCTGATGAGGTATTTATCAAAATACTTTATTTAAAATGTTTTCTTATTAAATTTTAATTTTATGCAAACATATTACTTTAGGAAAATGATGAAGTTTTAGAAGAACTAAACAAGTGTGATAATGCATTAGCTCAATTAAGAGAAATGAACAAAAATCATTTAACTCTCTTATTGGGAAGATGTCGTAAAGATTATTATCAACAACTTATAAAAAATAAAATTGAAAAAGTAAATAATGAGGTATGTTGAATGTTTGTACCAAATATCTAAAATCTAGATATTAAATAATAGCTATTTGTTTTAGATTTTAAATTTTAAGACTCAGCAAAATGAAACATGGTCAAAGGAAAAAAAAATTGCTCAAATGTCTGAAGAAGATGATGAACTGCATTTTTTACTAAACCAACGTAGCAATTATCTTGGACAATTGCAATCACTGACATCTGAATTCAATAATTTGAACTTTAGTCCATCTATTTCAGACGATTCAGAATCGAGTGATGAAAACTGCGAACCATCTAATGTACATATTAAAACTGAACCATCTGAAAATGATGCTAGCGTAAGAATGAACAATCTAATAAATGATGATTGCCAGGTTGAAGAAAGTGTTGAAATTAATATTAAAAATGAAATTATTAATGAGAAAATGGATGTTGAAGAATCTAATGACAATAATAAAGGTAAAGAATATGATGAAAATGTTGTTAATGAAGAAGTTCATGCTGAAGAAATAGAAATGACTGTAAACGAGGAAAATCAAACAGAAAAGGACAACGAAGTAAAAATTAACCAAGAGGAGCAAACAGAATTGCAAACAAATGTTAAGGTCAATCCTCTTGTTCAGATTAAAGAAGAAGAGAGTAGTTGTTCAGAGAAATTTACTGTTGAACGACGGCGAAGAAAGTCTAAAAAACATAATTCTGAAAGTGAACAAACATCCAAAATTGAATCAAGAAAACCAATTAAAATTAAACAGGAACCTGCTGACTATGATCTTGAATTAGATTCTTCAGAGGATATAATTGATGGTGTAAAAAGAGAGCTTCGACCTAGAAAGTTAAATGAACCACACATTTATTTTGAGCCATATGATGGTTCTACAAGCGAAGGAAGTGATTTTACTGATCTGTCAGATTAATTTTAATACTAAGCATACAACAAGTTGCACACTAACAACTTAAGTATAGCAAAGGTCTCACTATGTATAATGTATAAAAAAAAGTTGAAGTCTGATTAATTTTTTCTTTTTTACAATATGTACATAATTTTACTGCATCAGAGTATAAGATGAATCAAGTAAATTAAAATAATGATAATTAATAAGAGATAAAAATACAATATTTTGCTTTCATTTTTAACTTCATGCCATACAGACACAGATTGTTATGTATAGTATCAGATAGATACACATAGTCTGTCAAGTGCATTAGCCGTTAATTCATAATTCTTAATTTTGTTTATTTTTTGTAGTTTTCAAAACTAGCCAAATACTATAAAATTATATTATAGTAGCCATTAACAAAAATATTTATAAGTGTATTAATATCTAGTACTTATTATGTTAAATATTAAATTAAAAATGTATTAATATATCCATTTGTTCAACAATTTACATTTTAAATTTTTATCTTGTTTTTATTATGCATTTAATTTGTATACTTTATTCTTAACACTAAGGTAGTTCATTTTTGAAAGAAAACATATGTTTTTGTTTTGTTATAATTTGAGATAAAATTCTGTACAAACTGGTATAAAATATAAAATATTTTAAAGTATTAATTTATAATAATTAATATTGCACTATAAATAATTTACTATGCCTACACTTATCAAGTTCAGGAACGTACCTGAAGGTAGCCAGATTTTGTTGGGCAATGATCAGGAAACACCTGTCTATCATTCCTCGTCAATTCAACTATTTGTATGCTTGTCAATTACCATGTAGTAAAGCTGTGAATTTGCACATGTTGTGGACATTTCTTGAGTTGAATATGGAATATAATATACTTAAAAATGGGTATATATCTAAAGCCTAAGTTTTTGTGATCATAGTTTGATGTATATTTATGCTCAAAATTTGTTTACATACGTAAAAAGTATAAAATTATATTTAAATTAGTAAATTACATTAAAAGCAACCTTAAGAACCAACCATAAATATTTTCATCAAAAATTGTATTATAAATATCCAATAAAATATATTTACAAATTATACCTATCATAATATTATAATAACATTTTTCTTTATATTATTATTTTCACTAAATTAAGTAAGAAATCAATATATTTTTATTTTAATGTAAATTTAATATGTCGTAGCAGTAACTTTGGTATACTAGACACCTGCTATACAGTGATTTTTATCTAGCAAGTAGCAACTTATAGATAGATACAGTGACACCGATGTCATCTGAAATACCTATGAGTAATACCTTTATTAATAAGAAATATATACACTTCTACATAAATTCTTATGTAATAATACTACAAAAGTTAATATAATATTATGTAGGTATATATATATATATAATGTATAATATGTTTTAATTTTTAACCTATGCTTTAACTATGTGCCATGGCAACATGATTAAATGTTAAATGTTGAATAGGTATAGGTAGAATTACCTACTACTTACCTATATTATATATATATACATAAATATTTATTTTATTAACTGTAATTATTTTTAATATTAACTATAAATGTTTAAAACTGGTCAAGTTAATCATTTTTTTTTCAATTAGTTAAATTTAAGTTATTTTAATTCAAAAACTAACTAAGTTTGACTAAAAATTGGTTTCTGAAATTTACCAAATTTCTAACTTAATTAGAAATTGGTTTGGTGAAAACACTAACTGAAGTTAGAGTAGAAGTTGTTATTATTTTTTTAATTTACATTTCAAATCTATATTTTTAAAAAACCCATTTTTTTCAAATTGAATGTATTACATAAATCAATTATAAAGCAGGTAGGTATTTAAAAAGTAACTTTCCAACTTAAATTTAACTTTCTAACTAGTTAGTACCCAGTTTTGCAAATAGTTCATATTTTATGTTAATACACAATACTTTATATTATGATATATTTACGTATCAGCTATCCCAATTCCATAATCCTAGACCAATTGGATGATTATACTTTTAAGGATAATAATATATCAATAATAAATAATAATTACGATATGAATAGCAATAAATGAAATACATTGTGTAGTAAATATTACGCACAGCATTGTGGCATACTCGTACACCATATTTCCGTGCACAAATAGCATGCCACAATACCTATGCAGTAAATACTATTTTTTTTTTTTTTTTTTTTTTTTTTAATAGCGCAGGAATGAACATTGTACTTAAGCTATCGGGGTACAAATTGATAATATTTCTGGTTGCCACTTTTTCCCTAATGCTTATTATTTTATAAAACTAATAAAGTTTAACTCTTTTTATAAGTAAGGACATAATTTGGTTATGAGTACCTACACATAACTAATGGCCATGTATTATACGGTTAAGCATAGACCTATAGTTTATAGGTCTATGCAAGTATATACTATTAAACAACAACGTTTTACGTTAATAAATAAATTATTATAAGGTAATATTATTTATGATAAATCTTATATAATATATTAATATAAGAGTTTGTATTTTCAAATTCTCTAAGTTTGGTCCATTGTTTCAATCAGTGCATTCACATTTTATTTGAAATTTGTTTTTAATCTGGGTTTTTATATTTTCATATGTTACGATATTTAGTATGATATGGTTGTTTGGTTGTGCAGTTTCTTTTGTTGCTTGATCCGCCATTTATTTCCCTTTTAGATTTCTGTGGACCGGTACCAAAATGAAAGTGACATTTATTCCCCTAAGTTTTAATTCATTGGTTTTTTTCTGAATGATTTCAGCGATGTCTGCTGGGTTTGATGTATTTTCTAAACTTCACAGTATACTCATTAAGTCAGTGAGTATCAGGTTGTTTGTTAACTTTTTATCTTATTTTTGAATTTACTCTGTTATTTTGAAGACAGCTACCTATTGCTTCGGCGGAAAATTTGGAGTATTTGTTTGGCAATCTATATTTAATTATTGTATCTGAGTGTATAGTTTCAATAACTAGTATTTATAATACATAAATATAATATTATATTAATGTTATCGGAGAATAGAATTTTTTCCAGTTTTGAAAATACTTAACTCATAGAATCATTCCTAATTAGAGAATACTCCTATATTTATTAGCTACCTATTAAATTTATTGATTAAAAATATGGCATATTTCTATGCAATAGTTTTTACTTGTTCGAGATATTTTAAAACGTACAATTATACTATTTAAGTGATACATATATTTATCTGATATAGACGTTATGTATAGATATATAGATTTTTAAAACAATATATAATTAGAAATGAGATACAAAATATACATTATTTAATTAAATTAAACACTTGACAAATTAAATTATAATTATTTGTCATATTTTATCTCATTATCTGGTTTAAATATTAAATCATAAGAATATTATGATAATATTATATATACAAATTCATCACTATGAATAAATGAATAAACAAATATAAATTGTTAAATATTTCATTTCAAATGTATTTATCGAAAGGATTTATAATCAGTTATCCATTTTTAAGTATCGTCGAAATGTTTAAAACAATACGCTATTACATATCAACTTATTGTGGGTTCGCAGTATCATCTGACAATGATTGTAACCTGCAGAGGAAGGAGGATTTAGAGGTAAACAAAATAAAATATAAATGTTATAATTTATAATGTAATAGTGTAGCATACCATACTAGATGTAGCCCGGGTTTAGAAAAGATATAGGAATGATTTTTAATCTATATTAAATGATTAAATATTGAAATAAAAAATGTATTTATGCATTTTGTTTTTCATAAGATATATTTTGCGTATTTCATAATTTTAAGAAAGAGCTTTAAAAATTCATAATTATTTATAAGTCAGTCAAAATTTATTTTAAAAATTGAGTGAGAACAAACTCCAAACCAATTTTTTTAAATAACTGATAATTATTATTTTGCATAATATCTTCCGACGTTCAATAGTAATGTTTGTGAATATTAAGTTATGAAAATTCCAAACTTTTGAAGATAGGTAAATAAATGTATATAAGGAAATATAATGTATCGTAATAATATATAATAAACTAAAAACTAATGTTTTTCATTTCTATCGTTAGGATGAGGAGTTTTTTGATGCGGAATCTGGAAGTGAACTTCCGAGTATCTACAAAAAAATACCTGATAATATTTTGGAATTACATAATGAAAAAAACTTATTTATGGAGAAAAATATTAAAAAGATAAAAAGTTAGTTTTTTGCTTTAAATTCAAATTAATATAATGTAAAATATTTTTTGATTAAAAACGTCTCGTATAATTTAATATTTTCTAGAACTGTATAGAGGCGAAGAAGAAGTACAAACATCTAAAGAATTAAAAGTATCGAACAAATAATTATTAAATATTAATTACATGAATAATAATCATTATTAATCATATTGATATTAATTATTTTATTGGTTTTGATTCAATTTGCAGTTGCAACGTTTAGATGAACGTTGCCCAATGAACTTAGCAAAAACACTTGATGTTACGGACATGCGTGGACTGCTTGAGACTGTTCAGAAATTACAAACAAACTTAGAAAAGCAACAATCAATAATTGAAAAAAAGAATAGTTATAAAGATCGTTTAAAGGACAAGATTAAAGAATTAGAAAGTTAGTTTTTTTTATGTATTTTAATTATAATGAGAAGTGTGAAATATTTTTTAGTTAAAAATAATTTATATTATTCAATGGTTTTTAGAACAATATAAAAGCGAAAAAGAGAAAAAGAGATCTCAAGAATTACAAGTATTAAACAAATAATTGTTGAATAATAATGAATAATAATTCGTTTTGATTTAATTTTCAGTCACATCATTTTGAAGAATATTCCTCAATGAATTTAGCTCAAACAAGAAAAGTCAAGGATATGCGTGAACTGTTAGATACTGTCCAGAAATTGAAAAATGCCGTGGAAAAGCAGCAATTTAAGATAGAAAAAAAGAAAAATTGTGATGAAGAATTAAAGAGTTTAAAATTAGATATGAATACTGTTAATAACAATTTAAACACTATGATTGCAAATGTCAACGATCTTAGAATTCAGATGATGTTTATAGAAGGTAGTATAATCAGAGATAACAAAATTAAGCTTTAAATTTAAACTAACGATCGTTTAGGAAACAACAAAACTTCCAATAGCAAGATTGACAAACTGAAGAGTCGAATCAGAATCCTTGAAAGTAATTAAGAAAATATTAGATTATTATATTACATAATCATTAATTATGCTTATGTGGGATGTGTGTGTGTGTGTAGGAGAAGTAACGAACAATTCTGTAAACATAATTGGAATGAGTTATTCTTATCAGTCTAATCAAGCATTGCCGTCGACTAGACTGAATTTAGGAGCAACTGTTTCGTTAGGAGAGAACAATTTTCAATGTATCCCAACAAACATAGTAATGTCGCCTTCATCAATGACGACAATGAAGTCAACATCGCCACCCCAAGTTCCGAATCTACCTCCACCACCACCGAAAGTTCTGAATCTACCTCCACCACCACCACCAACTCCAATTTCGGCAGTTTTTGGACCGCCACCACCACCCCCACCCCCTCCAGTAAAGTCTAGTTTACCATTAACTTGTACCGAGAACAAAGAAACAACAGCTAAACCTGACAAAACTACTCCAATATACTATAGAATACCAATAACAGAGGAAATTCTTAAGTCTGTTGTTCTAAAACCCCCCGGCCAAAGAAAGTTCCGTAAAAAGTTTTCGACGTGATACCAAACGACGACAAAATTAAACGTTCGATGATAATGATTGTACAACGTTGTTAACGGTTACATATGTATAATTATTCATTATAACATACATTAAAATATTCATTGATTATAAATTATTATAATGGTTGTTTTAATTATATGCTGACCAAAGCAATGCAAATCAATGAAAAAGCGCGTGCCAGTTATATTCGATAAGAATGAATTGTGATAAATTTAACAAAGTAAAATTAAGATGACCATGATGAAAAAGTTTAAAATTGATAGCGAAAAATTGTAAATTTTATTCTTAAATTTTTAAACTTTCTTCTTCTCTTAAGTCAAAAGTGAGTTTCTGGAGGTCGAATTCACATAGACTTTCGCTTCTGTCCAATTACTTAAATGTATATAATATGTATAAAGGTAATGATAAATTGTAAATGATTTAATACATTAAATTTTATATACATAGTATACCTAGTATAAATTATAAAATGAAGTTGCTTTTATTTTGTTCGTAATAAACTCCAAAATGGCTGAATAGGTTTTGATATGGTTTTCGCTGTTGGAAAAGCAATTAACTGAAGAAAGTATATGCGTATACCTAGTTTATTCGTGTAACTTAATTAATAATATTGTTATGATACAACCAGATTTGTGCCTCAGAGTCGTATAGGGTATACAGTCATTTAAATAGTCATTAAATTATTGAATTTAATAATTATGAAAATAATTAACTATGAATAATATAATGAATCATGAAAATTATCAACTATAAATATAATGAAATATGAAAATTATGAATTTTAAATTATTTATATTTAATATTTGTTTAAACATAAAATAGAATAGTTATGATATCAAGAGTTGAATTTTAAATTGGCCTTAAAACAAGCACACTTTTTTGTTTGGAATTTGCTTTTACAATGGCAATTAAAAAAACTTTTCCTCCTTTTAATAAAGAAACAATTTGTATTAACGTTTTCTCAACTTCGTGTTTTACTCGATTTAATTTGATAAAATTCGAAGAAGTCGGTGTAGCGTTCTTTTTAATGTAGGTAGCTAAACGCATGCATTTAGTTGAAATATAATTGTATATTATTATTAATTATTATGAATAAACAACTAGGACACTAGGTAATTAACAACTGTGAGATATAAGATAGGTAACAAAATAGTTTCTATACTGGAAACACTAACGCGAGACGCGAGTTGGCCAGTTATTCGATAAGCAGTGGCGCAACTAGGGGGGTGCAAGAAGGTCTTTAGCACCCCCAAGTTAAAATTTAGCACCCCCTGTTTTTTTATATCTAACTATTATTGTTTTAGTGAAATACTATGAATTTTTGTTTTTAAATGATAGACAATTTCCTGGTTAAATGTATAACTATTTTGGTCGTATAATATAATTCGTTATAACTTATAATTAATTCCATATTCCGATATTTCTATAATTGTTTGACAATTAACGATAAAGTATTACGGATATATTGCATACGAGCTATTTTTAGCCAATAGATTGTATCAAAATCCCTAGTATATAATATTATATAATATTTCGTACACTGCAGTGGATTGCAATATTACTGTAAACCCGCATGAATTTTATAATAACATTTTATTGGGTAAATCTTTAATCATAATACATTAATGATTAATAATTAATATCAAATCTTGTTGACCGTCAACTGTCAAGACGTCAAGTCACTAGTCAGACATTTTGTCTATTTTTTGCGTTATTCGGTTAACACGTTTACATTTATTATTATTTTAAAATCTTCAGTTTATTTAAAAAAACTACAAACGTAGACTTAGATGACCCAGGTGTGCCATGTTCGTCGGGCACGTCAAAAAATATCATAGGCGTTAATGATTTATAATTGTATAGGGTATTTTAAGTGTAAAGCTTGATGTATTAAAAGCCGAAATGATGGTTGTTAATAATTGCCTAGCACCAAACTTTACACTAGAAGATATGAAAGAGAAAAAAAAAGATTCTTTATATAAACTAATGCAAATTGCTATCACAATTCCGGTAAGCTCTGCTACATGCGAGCGAAGTTTTTCAACAATGCGACGAAAAAAAAACTGGTTAAGATCAAGCATGCTTCAGCAACGATTTACCAATTTATCTTTATTGAATATTGAAAAAGATTTATTCAATCAGATAAACACGGAAACTATTTTGAATAAATATTGCATGAAACCCAGAAAACTTATGCTGATTTAAAATGTGTAAATTATTATTTATTTAATAAGATTAAGAAGTTAAAATATTCCAATATGTTACCTATTGATATTGTAGTAAAAAAAAAGGTTAAAAAAAATTATAAATTTTGTTTATTGTTTTTGTTAAATGTTTTAATATGTGTTTTAAGTTTTGAGGTATTGATTGATGTGGGTTATGTGTAGGGGAGTGTGGGGGGCTTTGCCCCCTACGGGTTTATGATGCATTCACATATTTAGCACCCCACGTTTTAGTGGTCTAGTTGCGCCTATGTCGATAAGTACAAATAAACGTTAAAATAGGTACAGTGATAATTTTATATTTTATTAGCTAGTAATTGTAAGATCGCTATAGTAGGTATAACTATAATTTTTATAATCTAAAATACCGAAATATTGTTATAATACCTAGTTACTATGATTAAGAATCTTGTACAGGGTAATTTATTTCACACAGAACACAGTTTATAGTTTATACTATAGTTTTGATATACCTACATATAATTATAAATATTTTTATGTCAAGTGTTTGTCCTGATGACGGAACTAGTTCCGTTATGTGTAGTCTAGGTATCCATTTCGTGAAATGTTGTCCATATAGTTGAGTTGCGTAAAATGAAAAAAAAAGCGTTACCATTTCGCGAAACGTACAATTACGTGATATGGATGCGACATATTATATATTTGTATGTATATTTTGTACATAGTATAAATTATTTGAACGAAAAATCAAATAGTTTATTAAGCATACGTTTGATCGCTTCATAATACTTTTAAATTATCGATTATTATCATACTTAAAATCACACGATCAGATAATCTATATACTTATTTAACATGCAATATATTATATTTTTATACTATTTCATAATAAATTATATTTTAATTCCAAAAATATTATCAAGTCATTTAATAAGCTGTTACTGTAACGGTCTACACCGGGATTTGTCTCGGTATCCCTCCAGGTTAGTCCGCTTCTGCACATCATCGTACTATACTACTATCAATGGTCTGCTTCTAGCCGACAAACGGCGCCGTGGTCTGGTCTTGAATTACATAGATAAAATAATAGATAATTAATTAAAATTTTATCCAGCCAAGATAATACATAATATTGAATATATTTATCTAGATATTAGACAAAGTATGGCAAATCCTATCTAGATACTCGTAGAAAACATAAATTATTAGGATTATATAAGTGACTTATAATACAATAAAACTATTTCAGGTATGTTGAAAACAATTACGGTCTGCCAGCGTTTTCCAAACTTTTTTCCTACCGGTCCCTTTAAAGATAGTAAAAATAATTGCAAACCCCCTTCATAAAAATAAAAAACAATAATAAATAATGTAATATATTATTTTTAATTTATGGTTGCGGACCCCCCCCCCCCTCACACGGGTATACGTGCGGACCACTAGTGGTCTGCGAACCTTAATTTGGGAAACGCTGATCTAAATTATTGTCAAAAGCCTCATCGCCTAAAAATCCATTGGCAGTATCCAGCGACGGTTAGTATACATCTATTCATAGAAGTCATTTTAAAAAATCCTTTGATAATTATTGGATTTTTAGGCGATGGTACTTTTGACACTTTTTGAATTTGGGGACTGAACGGCGCAAAACGCTCTATGGTCAAATCTGGGTTGATTATCAAATAAACTACCTTGGTAATAGTCACCACTGATCTAAGGCTTTTACGTCACCACTGAAGGTTTGGTGCATCTGTCGACAGGTCGTATCCTCCATCTATCCGTAGATGTCATTTTTAAAAATCGTTTAGTTATTGGATTTTCGGGTGGTTGTAGTTTTGGTGATAACGTTGGTAATGTATAACCTTGCCATTGGGTCCTATATTTTGCCCATTCATCGGTCGCAGGTTCATCCTCTATTATTCCGTGGCAACTCCACTTCTTAGTCGAGTATCTAGTGCCGGTGGTAGCCGACCAGCCTATAGTCCGAGTCCGGGGAGTAAATGGCGCTAAACACCTCGTGGTATGGCTTGTATCGAATGTTTGATCACTTAATTTAGTTATAGTAACTATTGACCCCTTTGTTCTATAGCTGGTTGACAAACATTGGTTGACTACGGTTGGCTGGTTATTATTGTTTGTCATAATATTTATGTTTCCAGATCCCATCTTACCCATCGTGGACTTCTTGAGTATAAATTGCTGATTATCCAGTTCGACAAATTGATTTAATGATTTTTGATTGTTTTTCTTGGCCTCAAACCAATCCTTCTTCCATAACCTCAATTTATTCTTAGACATCATTGTTGTTGTTTCCAATGCAAATCTGTGTACCTGTTTGACCGGATTCCACAGATTATTTTGTTTGACCATATCTATTTGATATTATGAAATCGTCATAAACATAGAAACCATGCTATAATAGTAACTCGGTCATTTAATTGTCATATGACTAAATTTAAATATTTAAGATATTTCATAAAAAAAATTGTAAGGTCACTTCAATTATCCGACTCTACACTTATGTGAAATAAATTAAATCATGACATATTATCTTCATGTGAAATATTTTTTTAAACATGAATAAAAATCGTTTGAAATAAAATAATAATAAGATAGTCGTATACCAACGAAATAAATCAACTATGGTTTAACAATGAATACTTACTTAGTCGAGATTGCTGAAAAACTTTGTCATTCTTCTTACCAGCGAATGTACTTAAGTCCGTGATCAAACTACCTTCAATCTTCGTGATGATATTAAGTAAAACATAGAGAAAAATTGCCCATAATAATTGTTGGTATATCATAACTGTTGTATAACACATTTTTAAGCTAACAAAGTATAAGACTGAAAAAAATTGACTTATTGCTAAACAACCATTATAGGTTCCCATGGATGTCTATAAAGTAAAAAAAAAAATAAACCCGGTTATAATATTTAGCCAAAATTATATTTTAATTTTTGATTATTATAGTTGTAATTTATTCACGTTTATTTCATTTTATTGGATTGTTAATAATAATATTTATTAAAGATAATGTATAGACAATAGTTTATCAAATTTAAAAGTAATAGCTTAATTTTATTTTTATTAAAATGCATCCAAAATCTATTTCATCAATGATTTAATTTTTCAATCAAGTGTGTATTAACTACAAAGTAAATAACATTGTCTAGACCAGGGGTCTCCAACCTTTTTTTACGGCGGGCCAAATTTGATATACGCTTTGGCATCGCGGGCCAACATTTTTAGAAATGTGTTGTCTAAAAAAAAAAAATGTTGTCTATCTAGGGTTCTAGGAATATCTGATAGGTTATGAAATTGAGAAATAAATAAGAATAGATGAAATTTATTTAAAAAAATGTATGTTTATTTATATAATTTTTTAATTTATTAACCAATTTAATAAAAAATAAATTAAAAACAATGAAAATTAATATATTATTTTCAAAACATTAATTAGCTTGGTGGGCCGTAGGTTGGAGACCCCTGGTCTAGACTATAAAGATAATTAAAAAATATGATAGATAATATACAGACATACAATCATTACAAACTTAGTAGGTATAAATTCAGCGTACGTTGAATTTATCATCATAGCTATTGTTTTTTATTTAACTTTGATGTATCATATTATAACCATTTATTTTGAATACATTTTATCTATAACATGTGTAGTATAATCAGAGTGACCAATAAGCCCAAATATATAGGTATTATATCTTAATTTTATCATCAAAAAATGAATTTTTTCCTATAAACATTAATATATTTATATATTTTACGAATTCATACTTTAAATTATTTAAAAACGAAAAAAACAACCAGAAAAATTTAATTAATCAATTAGATTACTCTATACGAATATTATTCTTGTTTATTTCGCTTAAATTATGTGTTGCGTTATTTATTATTATTTTTATTATTATTATAACCTGTAATATACTAATATACACTAAAAACGGCAACAGTGTAAACTGAACACGCATGAGCTTACACACAGAGTGATTCCTGTTTTTGTCGTCAATCATCATACATATCCGCTCATCAGTCATCAAGGACCAATTACGTGTGCGCTGTGAGCAGTAGATATGTTTCATCGCTATGATTCTATGCGCCTCCCAACTAGACCTTAAATGTTTGAATACCGAATGAAAATTTATTAATTTAAATTTTAAAATGTTAACATATATAAATATATTAATTCTATAGCTCAACAAATTAAAAATAATTTATGACTATTAAAAAAGCAACTATTTTAATTTTTAATTTTTTTTTTTTTTTTGAAAAGTACCTACCTATAATGATTGTCTATAATTATGTTTTTACAATTATTAAATGAAAAAAAAAAGTTTACAAAAATATGAATGTGATGAAACACTCTGTATAGTATACTTTATACTAAAAACTTAAAATATTGAAATATATATAACGACGCTTCTTGCTATTAGTTGGCAGTTGACGGTCACGTGTATTCACGCGTCATGATATAGTAGTGTGCTGTGCTGCAGCCAAACACAAATACTTAAATATTGAATACGATTCATGCTAGAAAAATGAAGAAATTCAAATACTTGTTGGCGGCTTTGATAGCATTTGCATTGGTCATTTATCAGAAAAATGCTATCGATAATATCGTTGTGCCGGAAACAATGTCCGATAACGTTTGTTGGGGAGCCAATTCCGGCCAGACGAAAGACTGTGACAACACCAAAGAAGTTCGACCATTCCTAATTAACATCACGACCGAAGTATGTGAGATTTCGATATTTCAATATTATACTTATTAATAATTAGTTGATGGTAGTAATGGTACAGTTATCATATACAAATCATAAGAAAATAATCATTACCTATTATAATAATTCATAATATTTAGTATAGCCTATAGGTAATACCTACTAGGTATCTTCAGATACGGATCCAGGGGAGGATCATGGGAGTCGTGACCAAAGTTTAAAGTGGTAATAAAGTACTTGAATCCTTACCTCAGAAAACAGAACAATGTGAAACAGATTTATACCCAAATATTCATGCTCAATTATTGTAAATACTCACTAAATTTTCTGAAAGTACATCTCAGCGGAGTAATCATTCTCTACTATCAGGTTTCTTAAGACGTAGTTTCGTTCAAATATAGGAAAGAACGCCTCACTGATCTCATTTTGTTCAATATTCACAAGAATATAACTATAAATACTGATGGCATTATTTCCAGATTCGAAAAAGTAAAACAAAGGGGAAATCGTGTCATTTAATTAAAAAAATTAACAATAATTAACCCTTTCTTAATTAAGTTGTAATTTTAATTTATAGTTTACTTTTGTTATTTTTTAATTGTGTATTATCGTTTTGTCCTTTCGAAAATATTACCCCCATCCAAATTTTAATTTTAGATTCGTCCCTAGGTATCGTGTGTACTTGTAATCGATACCAATTAATTATTAATAATTCATAATCTATATAATTGTAAGATATCTAAAATAATTTAAATTTACTATCTATTAATATCAGCAGATATGTATTGAATAAACAAAAATGATTTATATAGTATTACATGACTGTGGAACGTAGACTCTAATTTAACCCCTGAATTCGAAATTAATAAATAAGCATTAGTGTATTACTATTCATTAGACATTAATTCACATAATTGAATGACCGGGTGTCACGTAGTCACATTTATCATAGATTAAATATACTTAGTATATTTAATATATGCATTTATTGACCATGCGAACACAAATGTATAGCAATCTTCCAAATAATGGTATTAAATACTAAAATACTTTATTTTTGTTAACTACTATTTACACATAATATTATTATGTGATGAGTATAAAATATATAATAACTATAAGTATAGAAATCCAAAAATATATGTGCGGTATTCTATAATATTTTTTTTACGAAAGTTTTCTCCCTTTTAATATCTATCAAGACAAATATTTGATTTTTTTATAATTGAAATATATTAATATATTTCATTAAGTCTCATTTTAGGATATTTTCTTATTTTTATTTTTTATTTTTTTTCCGTACGAAGTTCATTTGTTTTTCTAAATTGTTCTAAATGTTATCCTAAATTCGGTCCTGATTAATCACAGGGCATGGTTTATAAACGTTTGTCTACACCATTTGATATAACCCTAACGAAATCATTTCAGAGTTGTTTGTAATAAATTAAATCTATTTGCGAATATCACAGGTCATCGTTGACTTAAAGTATAGACTCTCCAACGCTAGACCGTTAGTAAAGCCGTTACAGAGTGTAAATTTCGAATACGGCTTCAACAGTGATTACTTGGCGAAGATCATTGATCATTGGTTGAACCGATACGATTGGACGGCTAGACAGGCGTACTTGAACACATTACCGCAGTTCAAGACAAAAATTTTCGGTCTAGACTTGCATTTCATACACGCGAAGCCACCAGCAAAGTCCTCGGCCAGAACGATACCTCTGCTTATGCTGCACGGGTGGCCCGGTTCTGTCGTCGAATTTTACAAAATCATTCCTATGCTAATCACTCCGATCGCCGATCGTAATTTCGTATTCGAAGTGGTAGCACCCTCGTTACCAGGTTATGGATTTTCGGATGCGGCCGCTCGACCCGGCATGGGTCCGGCGCAAATGGGCCAAATGTTCGTCAAGCTCATGGAAAGGTTGGGCCACAAAAAGTTTTACGTTCAGGGTGGCGATTGGGGAGCAGCCATAACTGAAGCGATTTCGAAGATTTTTCCCGACAGGTGAGAGATCCCTGTATTACGTATAGTAACATAGATTACTAGATGTCACTTTTTATCGAATTTAAAAAATGTTAAGTGAAAACTTCTAAAATTTACATTATTTTATCATTATTATATTGACAAATCATTACAAGTAATAATAAGAATATAAAAATTGCTTTCTAAATATTACTTGTACCTCTTGTTTTTAAATATTAAAATCGGTAAAAAAATAATGTTTTCAATAAAAATACCTTATAATTTTTTACTCTACTGAACAATTTTAATTAAGATTTACTTTATAAAATTTAAAATAAATGAATATTTCCCATTTTTTTATCGTCAATAATTATGTTGTTAACCAGACATGACCTCATGTCGCAGCCTTATCGTTGTACGTAATCCAAATATAAATAAAATTGTATTTATCGTTTTGCATGAACATGCACTTAGTCATTATACATTACTTTCACCAAATATATATTTATCTGTTTTTTTTTTATTGTATATAATGAGGTCGAAATTCATAATGTTTCAAAAAAAACGGGGATTTAACTCCGAACATCGTTTTTTTCAAAATCAATAAGAAAATAATTATTTGGCCCGCTAAGAAATTTTTTTTTATGGCCCTCGGTAAAAAAAGATTGGTCACCGCTGAATTATAGCATACTTTCATATAATATATTTACCGTTTCTTTCCATTTTAACTGTAGAATATTTTAAGTATTTTTATACTATTTATTTGCATGCATAATTTTAACGTTTAAATCATACAATAAATCCCAAACCCTAATATTAATATATTTTACTTATTAATAAATTTATTTTTTTCAATTTAATTAAATTTTTATTCAATCTTACCAACATTTTTATACATGTAATTATTATAAATTTTACCCTAGAGTCTACGGCATGCATTCGAACATGTGTTCGACTATTTCATCTTTGGGACTATACGATTACGTTCGATTGGCGTTGGGAACGTACTGGCCTTCTTTAATTGTTAGCTCCGAAAGTGAAAAATCCCGGACATATCCACTGAGCAAGGTGTTCTTTGGGTTCCTCGAAGAATCCGGTTATATGCATTTGCAAATGACCAAACCCGATACAGCAGGTGCGTTTTTTATTTTTTTAAGATATTATTCTACATAAAATTTTACTAAATTTAAAATTATACATGCAGGAGTTGCTTTGAATGATTCGCCGGTCGGCTTAGCAGCTTACATCTTAGAAAAATTTTCCACTTGGACACATATGAATTACAAATCTCTACCAGACGGCGGTCTATCGAAGTTCAAGATGGACGAACTATTGGACAATGTCATGATTTACTGGGTAACTAATTCCATGACCACGTCAATGCGCTTATACTCGGAGTACGCCAATAAAAAATACTATGCTCTTCCGCACACATCGTACGTACATCATTACACATACATATTTTACATTGAGTATTCGTATTATGAACTAATACATTCCTATTTTGTTTTATATTATACATTTAGGGCAAAAGTTAAAGTACCAGCAGCTTGTGCTATTTTCCCAAATGAAATGCCGATAATGTTGGCATTGAAGAAACTTTTAAATAATGAATTCGAAAATCTAGTCAGAGCTACAGAGATGAAGGATGGCGGACATTTCGCCGCGTTCGAACAACCCAGAATGTTGGCAGATGACATTTGGTCGACAGTTTACGAAATGGAAAACATAAGAATCAATTCAATATAATATTATTTATTTTATTTTTGTACACCATAATATTTTCAAATTTAGGAACATTTTTTTTTTAAATTCTATCTAAGGTATTCTTTTGTAATTTTCGGTCACCGATAACCGGAAGGAGAGATTCTAATTTCGACGGCTTTTTAACTGTATTTTCTGGTGATATTCGTCTGTGTCCTGTAATAATAAAACATTTTTTAATTTTTTTAAGTCTATAAAATGTATGATGAATAACATTTATTCAATAAAATGACATATTACGGTTATGTCAGAAGGGCGTATTGAAGGCTATTTCTGCAGTCGTCTTCTTGTATTATATACATCGTACCATAAATATAGATAACTATTTGAACTAATTATTTTTAACAATTTAAAAATTCAAAAATACTTATTACGCGTTTTAAAATTAAAATACCTATCAAATTATATTAATAAGAGAATACAGATACAATTTACTACACAACTACACTGCTTTAAGCTATAATTTTAAAATAATTTTGATAAATTTATTTTAATGTTAAAAATAACGTAAGTGTATTAGAAAAATGTATGAGTACATTTATATTGTATATAACTGTATAGCAGTCATTTATCTAAAGTCCTAAAGATGTGTGAAACCATTAAAGTTAGGTTTTAAAACGATTAGGGACATAAAACAAATAAAATCAATGAAAATATTAGTACCTAATAAAGGTTAAAAAATTTAAATATTATATAAAAAAAAACTATTTTTATTAAGTTAATATATTAAAAAATGTATAAAAATAATATAATCAAAATGTTATGTATAATATTAACTAATTGAAATAATTTAGGTGATTTTATAAAAAAAACTATGTTTCCCAAAATATTTAACTTAATTAATATTATTTATGTAACATTTAAAGTAGGTATAATGTTTTTAATATTCTTTAATTTTTTCTCAATATTTCTATACTGATCTATTTTTGTCGTATTAAAATAAATAACATTTTGGTATTGTATTTTAATTTTTAATTTTTATTACTAATAATTTTATTAATTTTTTTTTTTACATACAAATAGCTCCATATGTTTATCCTAGATTGGGTTTAAAAATAATCAATTGAAAAAAAAACTAACTTATCCAACTTGAGTAAACCTAATAAAAAATTAAGAAAATATGATGTATTTATATTATACTCGGTTAGAGCGAATAAAAAAATATTTGTTTAGATCTCCCACAAAAAAAAAACAGAATTCTGCCTATGCGTCCCTGTTAATTAGCTTTCTCAACTTAATCCTAATTTTTAATTTATTCTAATCAGGTTAGATACCTTTCCATTTATGATACGGTCTACCAGACTCTCCGTAGGATTGTATCAGCAACTCGGTAGCTCGTTTCGGTTTAAAGTAATTGCCGGCAAAATCGTCTTCTGCCGATTTCTGATACTTCTGAAATGTTGATATAATATTATTTTGATATATGCGTTTTAATTGTTGACGCAGTAGCATAATGCTAGTGACCGCAGGCCACACATGGCATGAATATCAGTATCGTATGTAGTATGTACACATTACTATATGTATTATGTACAAATAAAAAATAAAAAAATTCTCCAAACAAAAAGTGATTGTGGGTTTATCAATATATTGTATGGCTTAACTACTGTGCGTGCGTGGCCGTTTCACCTGATCGTAAACGGCTGGCACATCCGGTGACGACGACCGCCGACTGCTCTCCGAACTGGAAGATTTGTCGAACGACAAACCGGCCAACGTGTTGAATATGCCCAACGACATCTTCCTTCTGCCATTTTCGAACGTGCTAAACGCCGCCGAACCGTTGGCGGGTTGTGTTAACGTGCCTATTATATTATTTTTAATATAATATTTATGCAAAAAGTATGTGCTTTATAATAAGCCACAATAATATCGGAAAGCGTATAAATATAATAATATAAGCGCGGCCGAAAACATATAAATTGTAGATATCAACTATATAGATTCAAAGTATAAATGTTGTAAGTCCCGTAATCGAGACACATTTCAAATATAATGTACCACGTTCAAGAGCCAGTAATAAGCGAAAAAAAAAATCAGAAGTCGGGTTTGAATAAAAATAAAAACAATTTAAAATAGCCCTCAAGTCGCACACACTGCGGATGTAAGCCACGCGATCGTATATAACACATAATTTAACCTGTAACGGATGGAACGTATACATTGCCAACAAATTTTCAGAGTTTTCTAATCTAGCCGGAGCGGTCAACGAGTTAATGGACTGCCTGCAGCCCGAAGACGACGCACCTACCAGTCCAAAACCCGAAATAATTTCTGGTTAAAAAATAAAAATAAAAGGTCTAAAAAAATCCCTCCCCCAAAATTACCTGAAGCCGGAGGCAGTTTTATCCTCGTTAGCTCCGGCAATATCCAACTCTGCGTGTCCTCCTCCCATTCCGCATCTTCTTTCAGCCTCTCCAAGTTGCTAAAAGAAAAAACCATTTAAATTATGGTTTTATTAGTTTTTAGGTCACAGACCACGATAACTGCACATATACGAGTATTATTATGCGATATGTACTAGGTATACCTATAATTGCATTCTTTCGATAATGTTGGCACGATTTTTTCTAAAATTTGACTCTGCAGTTTGATCTGTCGCTCTTGTTTTCTGATTGTTTCTAAATAATCCGTTCGCTCGTTTTCAAATTCGCTTTGAATGTCCGCCACCTCTCTGTCCGACGCTTTCAACTATAAACCAAAACCATGAAGCCGTAATACATAAACACTCGAGTAGGTATTAGTACTAAAGAATTGTAACAATTTAAAATTATTTTTCTACGACTATTCTGCTATTTTTATTACGAAATTTGATTTATGTACTAGACACCTCAAATAATAAATTTTATTTTGTACTTAAATGCATTTTCAAACTATTCGAAAAAGAATATAACACTTTTTAACTCCTTTTGGTCGTTTTAAGTTCATTAAAATTAATTTTTATGTTAATTATAAGTGTGATATGGAGTGTACTTAATAAAATACATGTTTAATGGATTGTAAATGTGTTAAAATATTTATTTTTTTAATAATATACGTATATCATTTAAGTTATAATGCATGTTTAAATTTTAAAATACAGTCACAATAAAAAAATATAAATAAAAAAAAATTAAAAAAGTATATCAATAAAATAAGTACTATACTCGTACGTTAAGCATTAAATATAAATTAATTTAAATTTTTAAATTTTATATGATTATTAGTTAATTGTTCGTATTTTTAAGTTATAACTCATAAGTTTCTTGTACGATTATGATCGACTAGGTAATAATTTTAAAAGCCATTTTTCTTAAAGATTTTACAAATGACATTTTTCTAGCCCCTAAATTTTAATAAATAATTTAATTGAGCGTGTATCAATTCCGGCAGCTATACTGCTCGTAATATCTATACTTATAAACTCGCCCAGCTATTTATTACACCGATTCTTAAATTTAATATAATATTTATAAATATTTGATACCATAAAAATTATTGTCCATGAAAGTCTTGGCAGTTGGTTCGTTGTTTAAAGTACATAGTATTTTAAATAAACTATATATTAAATAAATAAATTATTCTATATATTAACAAATTTAATGAAATAAATTATATTGAAATAATTATTCTAATAAAAAAATCATTAATACATAAAATATTGTCGTTTAAAACTTGTGGCTGGATTATTGTTTCATACATTTTATTTAAGTCTTGGTGGAAAAAATATATATAGATATTATGAATAGTAGTTGATAAATGATGGCGAGTAGGCTTCTCCAATTTAAAAAAAAAACAAAACAGTATATTTCGATTGAATTGATAAATTCCTAATAAATTATGTATAATTCAGTACCCCATCCAACCGTCCAGATTGTAACCTGGTTTATTGTCATCTATTTACCTATCTCATAATAATATATTTGTATTATGCAATATACTTTTTGTCTATACTTCTTCAACGCTTCGTTCTTGGCCCTCAACTCTTCCTGTATATCGTCGTACACGCCCAACACCAAGTTCGGTCCGTCTTCGGTCTCGACGGTGGCCAGTGCCTTCGCCAACGCGTTTAACCGTCTCTCGGCTGCTTTTTTCTTGCGCAATCGGCGTTCCTGGAGCTCTTTGTCGTTAACTCGCTCACCGCCAACCATACTCTCTTGCAGTTTTTTCAACCTATACATCAAACAGGATATTATGATACTGTGAACTTAACTATAATACTTTAAAGTGGGTTTGTAATATTTTAATGACGTCCGTCAAAGTGCGACGATAAAATATACCTCTTCAATATTTCCTGTTGTGACGAATTTAATTCTACTCGATTGCTCTTTAACGCTTTTTCGACGATCTGCTGCGGGGATGATGTCCTGCAAGTATTGTCGTTCTGCAAATAAGGAAAAACTACCTTTTTATACTAATATAGTATAAACACACATGTATAATGAGTTATTTAAAATAATATATATAAATCATCACAATATAATATGGCGCAAAATAAAATCGCATAAAATCGTAAAGCAGTGTTGACCGAACCTTTAAAACAGCGGATGAATTAAATTCTTTGAAAATGTAAGATACGCACACTCTATAGTTTTATCTTTACAATATTCACACTTAAAAATACGTATAATGCATTTTACTTTTTTCCTTCTAAAATTTTACAAAATACATCGTGTACCTAAATGTATAATTTTACATGTATTGAACCTTTTTGAAATTTGCTTCATTATTCTTTTGATTTATTTTGGCATATAGTGTCATAATATTATTATTATATTCTTTTTTTACGAATTTGTATAACATTTTAATATTAGTTAAATAGAACTTACACTAACACCAACTGTACCGTAACTACCTTTATAACAATCATCACTTCATCAGCTACTACATCAACGCGTAAACGTAGTTGTAATAAGTTGCAACATATTTATGGAAAATATAACTATGAATAATTGTATAGTTGTAATGCAATGATAATCGTTTAAATCAGCGGTTCTCAAACTGTGGTACGCGTACCACTAGTGGTACGCGAAAGACTGTATGGTGGTACGCGGAAGGCCGCATGGTGGTAGGACGGAAAATTAAAAACAATTATTAAATTCTTAGCGTAGCGATGATTTTACAGTGTCGTGTGTTATTTAATTCATATCTTAATTTATCTTAAACACTAATAAATTTAACTATGTAAAGTTTGTATTGTTCTATTTTTAATCATCAGTGGTACGCAACTGATTGATAATATACTTAAGTGGTACGCGAAAAAAAAAGTTTGAGAACCGCTGGTTTAAATGACTTTATTTACTATTGGATGTTCTAGATTAAATTATATAATATAGGCTATTAGGTGTTAAAAATGAGTATTTAACAATTGTTTTCAACTCAAAATAATATTATAATATTCAATACACTGCGTCAATGAAATGTGACTTGTCGTAAATTCCTGAGATAAATTGAATTCAAATATCATTAAAATATAATTCGTGATCACGATATAGCCAATGTGCATTTTTAAATACACCTTGAAAAGTTGAATGTAATGTTAAGTGCTTTTTATATCGTATACGTAATTTAAAAATTACAGTTGCAAATACCTATATTCCTAATTCAACTAAATTACTTTAATAGGAATTTTGAGTTACATTACAAATAATAGTTTATAATAATATTACCCATATCTATAACTCTTTTATTAAGCATAGTTTTTTTTTTTTTTTTTTTTAGCTGTTTTGGTTTTACTTATTTAAGTATAAATATATCAACATAAAAATATTTCATTTACTATCTTAAGTGTCTTATGCAGTGAATTGAAAATATTTTAATTAATTTTACTAATTTATTTTTTGTAGATTATTCCATATTTTTGAATTATAAAATCCAATATGTATTACTTGAATTTTTAAATATGGGATAAACACTTTTTTAAAGCTAGGTACGTATATAAGCGTAGAATTTTGTTAGTTGACTTAGCATTCAATTATAATTTAGCAATTTTAATTTATAAATATTAAAAAGAATAAATTGATAATTTGTTAATTTTGCAGGTGCCAGTTAAAATTGCGAAAGTCAAAATCGCGAAAATAAAACAGCGAAAATAAAAATCACGAAATATTTTAACAGCAAAAACATAAATAGCGAAAAGTAAAAATTCTTTTACTTTTATTTTTTAAACAATAGGTATAAATTAAAACTATCATCTCTGCAGTATTATAAAATAAATTCAAATTCATTAAAAAAAATTAAATATAAAACAATTATCGTCACAATACTATAAAATTAAAATTAAATTTGATATGATAAATTATAACTTATAAGCAGTACCTTTTAAGTATTCTAGTTTTTCCCTATTTTCATAGTCATCAACAAATTGTTTAATTGTATTCCTTTTACGTTTTCTGGACGATTTGACTACACCTGCTATATACTGATTTATTATCATTTCGCTTAAATTTTGTTCCTTTTGAATTGCTTCAATAAATTTCCATAATGTTAGACGACATGAACTCAACAAATTATTAAAGTCTCTATGCCACCCTTCAACATAATTATTTTTTCTTGGTAAACCAGATATAGTAGACGTATAACAGTTTCATTTTGAAATAGGAAATCTGGGGTTTCTCCTTTTACGTCTATTTGGACGACCGGATAGAACCGAAGTGGTTCTAAACTTCTTCATTATCAGTGTAATACGTACTTTCACATGTCTCAAATACATCGATTACGTCATTTTCTGGAACAAAAGCTAAGGCAGATAGGTAACGAACTTGCAATGAAAATTCCGAGTCGGTTTTATATTTTTCTACCATTCCGGAAATAGTTTGAATTTTCCGCCAAACGCATTGCGTTTGATGAAAAAAACAACCATTTTGTTTGGCATTGGGAAATTGTATTTTAAATGCGTTTATTGAACTTTGTTCAAAATCAGTCATTATTGTTTTGGGATTTAAACTAATGTAATGTATTTAGATTGTCGAAAATAACCTTTCATACGAACTTTGCATTTTATCTGGCATTAAAGAGAAAACCACTGGTATAACCAAATTATTCTTTATAACATGAAGCGTGTATACTTGTGCGAATAATGGAGAACATGACTTAAAAGTCCCATCTGCAAACCAATGATCAGATTTAGCCAGTAAATCTAAATTTTTTTCTGTGGCAAATACTAAAATCCGATTTTCAATTGGTTCAATATCATTTATTAAAAATTGACGACCATCAATAGTTTAGGAATAATTATTGGGTATTGTAATATCAGTTAACGTTAATGGGTTAGCTGGAGCAGAACTGTTAATCTGTCGTATTCGACATAAAATGCGTTTAATATAACTTACTGGAGGGAGAGATCCGTGAACTACTTGCGAACACAATGTTGACGCTTCGGAAACGATTTGATGTGGATTATTTTGAGATGACAGTGCTCGAATTTTCATTTTATATATACAAATGCGTTGTTCAATTTCTAAATTCGAAATTACATGATTATGATCACTGGGTCCTTTGACTATTTCTTCGTTTTTTAAATTAATACGTGATTTACACAAGTCGTCATTACATCTCCAATACATAGTATTTTTATATTTTTTTATCAAACCTAAACAAATAATCATTATATTTTAATAATTTTTTGTTTTTTTGACTTAGAATAAATTCCATTACGAATGATTATGAAATTTATATACTATGGATATGATACGACACTGATACAGATCAGGCAACGAACGACACAGTAATGGTTAAGTTCAATCGATTCACGTACACTTCCCCGTCCAATACGTTTCCCCATAGGAAATTTCCCCGTCTAATACGAAGTAGCTTTTTGTCATACCGGTAACTTCGACATCACCAAAATATTGTCCAATAGTGGCCATTGAATCTATATTAGGCGAAGTAGGGCTAGATATCTTGTACGTAATTTTTACGGCCTTTTGTATCTCCAAATCGATAGCTAATTCTGACGGCCGTTGACCTACTAATCAAAGCTTAATATCGGACAATTGATCTCAAAATAACATATTGTAGGGGGCCATTGACCCCAGGGAAGAGAAGTCGCGATTAGGGCCATAAAATCTATTCCTATTTCATAGCACCTGATAACTTGCGCGAACACCACTAGTAAAAAAAAAACAAATAAATGCATTACAGTTGTGGAAACTCTAGATCTAGAATCTAAATTAAATTATACACCATAATCTCGCCGATAAATTAGATAAGTTATAATCCCAGCCCTAATTATAATATATATTTTATCAAATAGCCTATAAAGATATACGTTATCGATATACAATATACGTTATTCTACATATATATATATATATATAGGTTTTCTTACTTTTCGCTATTAGTGTTTTCGCTGTTAAAATATTTCGCGATTTTGACTTTCGCGGTTTTCACATAGACTCTAATTTTGCTAGTATTATTAATTTTTAATAGTGTATATAACAGCAACTCGTAATTTTTTCAACAATTTGTTTTGTAATTTACTAGTATTTATAAATCCAGAATTAAAATATTTAAGTCGAGCTTCTCGGGGTAAATTATTGGGTAATTACTATTTATTTTCGAAATAACATATATAATGTTTTACATAGATAATATAATTTAATTTCGTAAACTTTAAGTTATAAAATATTTAGTTTTGTTCAAAATTGTGGTTCAACATTTAAGGTTTCGGTAATCGGTATACATGAATTCGAGACTCATCAAAAGGGTAACATCGCTTGCACCATCAACGGTATTTTCAAAACTACAGCAAAATTTTAATACGTATTTACATACCATGTTATATGCACGTGTTTTATATAAAATATCGAAATAATATCTAAGTTATGTAGCTAAATTGTTTATCTAAAACGCCGAGCAACCATAATTTAATACTAAAAAATATATTTAAAACACTTTTACTTGAAACACATTTTGCCGTTAGGTTATTAAATTGTACATGTAATTTTAAACATATAATATACAAAATATTATACACATGCGTCTGTAGTACTTTTCATATTAAAAGAACACTAAATTATTAATAAATATAATACTTTATTACTACGCTCTATATGATACGTACTTGGTTCGAGATCTTTGCCAAGTTTTTGTCGTACTTTTCTTTCAACATTTTCAAGTCTGCTTGCATTTGACACTTGGAATTATATTCTTCTTGGTATTTGTCCCTTAGTTTAATCATTTCGTCTTGATACTCCAGTCGCAATTTTTCTTTCTCGGAAACATCATTCTGGTCGTTACTCGTGGGAAATTGAGCAGTGGAAGCTTCGAGCAGTTCTTTGAGTTTTTTTATCTGTTCTTGATACTGACGCAGCATCGTGTCTTTAGGATCTTCGTTCACGTGCGGTTCGTTGTATATGTTCTTGGCGCGATTGGCGTACCTTAATGTCGACAAGGTCTCGTCATAGTTATTGTCAGCAGGCGACAAACAAGCAACCATCAACGTTTTCGTATTTCCGCCGAGAGAATCCTATATAACAACGAACATAATTTATTTTAAAAAATGATTAGAAGGCAAGTAGACATTATTTTTGATCTTACAGATTTAAATTATTTTTGTTAATTATTTTTTACTTGTAGCAGTCGGGTGAGTTTTGAATCCCTGTACGGTATGTGTTTTGCTTTTCCGTCAACCAGGGCTGATATCACGTTGCCCAAAGCCGACAAAGAGAGATTGATTTTCGTGGCTTCTCTCAGTCTATCTCCCGAGGCTCCGGTTTTCGCCTGACGTTCGCTGCCCGCCAAGTCAACCAGACTTAGCTTGCCTCGTTTTATTGACTTAACGTCATCCACACCTTGCGACATTGACATCATTTCCACGGATATGGTAAAAATCGAATGGCTCCTGGAAGAGTCAGCGTTCATCATAGTGGCTCCAGTAGCTCTATTTCTCCAACCTTGGTCCATGAGTTTTTGACATTCGATCACGTCATGCACGGCATGATGTGATAACTCTAAAACAATATACATGTGAATAGCATCATACAAAACAATATATTATAATTTATAATAAACTATAATAACGGGAGCTTACCGTGTACGTAGACTCCTCTCTCCGGATTTTCCTTCAACTCAAGTCTCCGTTTGGTGTCCGTACTCAACAGGTCTCTCACTTCCTCGTTATAGATCTCAATATACGAGGCCAGCACCAAAAACTTAACGTCGTCCGTGACAGATATTGCCTCGAAGACGTGTTCGAAAGCTCTGGGTATGATTCCACGTTGATTCGGTGGCGAGTCTACACCCTGCATCGAGAAACTCTTACCACATCCAGTCTGCCCGTACGCAAACACCGTGCAGTTGTAACCCTCTAATATCCCCTACATATAAATCATAGCGTGACGCGCACGCATTATAAAATTTTATTAGTTAATTGTTACATAATGCTTACTCGAAACGATTTTTATTGGTTTTTTTTTTTTTTTTTTAATCGAAATTATTCTTTCGTCATATCTCAAAAACAACCACGGAAAATATCATCATTCGTCATATATGTCATAGATATATTACTTACTTCTACAAAAGGATAAGCAATGTCGTTGTATATCTGCTCCGTGTTTGAATCGGGCCCGTATACACCGTCGAAAGTAAACGTTTTCGGCGGCGCCGAACCGTCCGTGGGATTGACAATTGAACAAGTGCATTTCTCCGAGTCTATAAACACTACGTTCTGAAACGCATTATAAATGTTTGTTATAGAAAAACTTCACACGTTTGAATGCTTTACATAGGTTTAATTATACAATAATTACTATAATCAGATAATGGATTATGGATACTACACACATATTATAATCATCACCACAGATTTTAACCAATCCGATATATTCACTAAAATCAATAAAAATTTAGAATTTCAAGACGTTCAAGCAATTGTATGGTTGTATGGAAAATTCCAATCAGTATACGAAATTTCAAAATAATAATATTCTTGTGATTTTAAAATTTCATATAGGTACTGTGCAGCAAAACCGGAATATCCCATACGATCGCTCGAACGTCAAGTGCTTCTAAACTTTTATGGATTTACGTGAATATTTATATTATATACTTATATTATAATATAAAAGGTACAATACAGACTATACAGACATGTGATGGTAGCTGTTTTTTTTTTTTTTTTACTCAATACGGAAACCAATAATTATATTATAACATCAGGGTATAAGAAAACAATAATATTTATGAGACATAGTTTCTAGAAATTGAAAGTTTTTGCACACTTTAATAAACCATGTTGTAGATATATATTAGTTTTTAAACAATGTACCGATACTTGGATTATACTACTATTACAATTTCTCACGAACCACGCAGTTAGCCGGTCAGCGGTCTATTTCTGTTTGAATACAGGGCAACGACACAGTATAAATAGTATAATATACAGTGGGTCACCCTCTTCCACCACCCCCACCGTACATCATTTCAGTTTTCAGCATTGAAAAACGAAATTTTGGTGCACGTAAAATCACTTGGTATTATAATGTAATGCGCGGCGATGGGGTTAAGAGCAGAGATGGGTGGGTGGTTTAGATGCGCGAATTGCGTGCTCGGCGTGTTTGCTATTCACACACTTAGAGCGTGCTACCTAGCTCACTAGGTTTATGGGTCACAGTGGTGCGTGGATATCGTTTTATTAATGGTGCGGTCGAGTATGATTTCCGGCGAAATCTCATTACAGCTTTAATAGCGCATAATTTATATTTCGTAAATATATCATGATATTTTATAGGTCAGTTATGGATGCAATTAGACCACCGTCTCACCTTACTATTTAACGCCCGTTCTCTCGCGTTCATCGGCCGACACCTCGCAATGACTTTTACGTTTTCCGAAGTCATCGCTGCACATTGACTGTAGCGCCACGTTATTATATTGTACATGCAACAAAAATTCATAATTGCTGGTTATAGTGATATTATAATTAATTATTAATTATAGTTATACATTTCGATATATATATATATATTTCCCTAGTTCCCTCAGATCAAAAAATGTAAATAATAATTTTACATTATGTTTGTAAGCTATTTTAAAGTTGTTTATAAATGTCGGTAAAAATAAAAATTTGGTAGGTAAATATAAAACAGTAAGCATATTTAAAATTATGTTTTATCATATTAGGATCATAATTACAAAAAAAACAGATAGTTTAATATTATATAAATTATTTATTATGCATTTACATTACTCAACTATCTTCTAACATAGACAGGGGTGGATTTAACAATTTGTCGTCCTATGCCAAATTTAATTTGCCACATCATTAATTAACTTATCAGTTTTTTCTTTTAATTGTTTTTTATATTGAGACCTACTTAAATTTTATCAGTTCATATATTTTAATATATTATGTAAAATAAAAATAAATATTATATTATATTTTAATCTACATATTATATAATATCAATATGCTTGCCAAAAACTTGTAAATACCATTGTCGTTACTCGTCGTTCTTAATAATTTATGTATTTGTGTATATTTATCGATGAACGGGCAATAAAATTATAAACAGATGAACTTGTACCGATACCACCCCAATAAAGCAAAATAAATGCTTTACGACATATAGTGTTGTATTTTAGTATCTGTATTGTATAAACAATTATTAGAAAAGCTATGATAAAACATAATCGTCGACATCGTCGACGATCCCTGAATAAAAATAAGTATTACTTTTCTAAAAATAAACGAATACAAAATATATCTTAAAAATTATTTTATAGCATAAAAATAAATCGAAAAAGTTATGTAATTTTATTCAGTGGCGTATCCAGGGGGGGGCACGGGGGCCATGCCCTCCCCCCCTCGCTGTCCTTATTTACTAGATTTTGTTTTAAAGATTTAAATTTATTTGTATGCATGAACGCATACTACAATAATACTATTATACCAGCATTACATACACTTATAATTTTGTTGGGATTAACCCGTTTTTATTATTAAATTACTATTACTATTTATTATTATGTGTAGGTATATAATATATATATATTAACTTAATGACTGACTGAAAATATAAACAAATTATTTGCACTATAAACATTAAATATTTGGTTTATTTTATTTTTTTTGTTTTTGGTAGTAGGTAGTATATATGGTAAAATTTTAGACAGTGTGTCCCCCCCCTAAAAAAAATCCTGGATACGCCACTGATTTTATTACATAAAAACAAAATAAATATTCAACGCAACCTTGCCACATAGTTTGCAGTAACTTAAATCTAACCTAATGCAAAGGCTATAACATATTTTGACAACTGAAATAATACATTTGTATAACAAGTAACGACACGACTTTAGATTCATCGTTTTGTTATTTTCGAACAAATTAAATATTTTACGACTGTATCACATGGACTGCAACATGCTAACATATGATTATATTTTATATTGTATACCTATAGATAGGAACCTGAAAAAATCCAATAACAATTATGTTTATGTTTTGTTTTTTTTTTTTTTCATTATAGCAGGTAATGTATAGGTACACACACATACTATATATAATATTATATACCTAAAATACAAATTAATCAAACACATTTTTTTTTTATGTAATGTAATATCGTATAACAGGTCACGCAGCTCAAGTCTTCTTGGACCTGAACATTGGCCTCTTTGACCCTGAGTTTATTATTACTTTGAAAAGGCTTGACGAATTCAAATCTTTTGAAATATTAAACATCAATACGAAACATATACAATTTTTTTTTTTTTTTAATCCACGCACCACACTGCAGGTATCTCGTCGTTGGCTAATATTATATTTTATTAAAAATGTTAATAGACGTTTATTCGTGTCTGATTCACATGCGATTTTTTTTTTACGTACATCCATAATATATTATGTGCAGTTCGTTATAAATATATGACTCCAATTTTCATTAAATAAATTCGTGACACAATACCACAATGGAAATGTTTTTCACATTGAGTTATCATAACGAAATAATCAAATCGTGTTCTAATTTTAATTTTCTATCGCCCACACCGACCACATACTACGGTCTATATTGATAATAATGTATACATACAATATGTATGTATTCTACTGATAAAAAAAACAATAGATTATGGAAATAATTCCATAACGATTTTGCCATTAGAACGTGAAAAATATACGCAAATACACCACAAAACAAAACCTACAATTATTTCGTATTTATATCTTAATGATACAACAGTATAATTTACATAATTTTATCAATTTTGATCAAATAACAAATGCATGGAAACATATCTTTATTAAGCATTAAATAAAAATAAAATTACGGTTTTATGAAGAAAATGCGAAATTTTATTAGAACTTATTACTGATAAATCAACGTAGGAATGGCCCTCATCGCCGAGTTGGATCGCGTCCTCCAATGATACAACATACGGGAGAGCCAGAGCGTGTTTATTGTCCCAAAAGTAGGATTTAACACTCGAAAAATATTATATTAGGTATAAAATAGTTAGTTTTTTTATTATTCTAGTGTTAGAAATGTAAATAATTAATTTGAATTAGTACCTAGGTAATTATAATTTTAAAATTGATAATGGTGAGATAATCCGTGGTTATTGATGTGTACAATTTTTTGTGGAGATAATCAATTTTATGATTGATTTACTTGACTCACAATAGTGTAACATTAAAAAAAAAACCCTGTCGTTGCAAAACGAATAACTGTATTCGCTTCGCTCGAAATCTAAATTCTCAAATGGTGTGTAGGACGTGGGAGTATGGGTGTGGCCCGCGGGTTGTGTTAAGTAGGTATACAGTTTTTATGAGATCTTTAGATCTCTTCCTCGCGGAATTTCAACTCTGGTTGCTCCTGTGATGTTCGTGAAATTCGAGGGTATGCACGCGCGACCACCACAGCGTTGCAGTCGACAAATAAAATTGAAGTAATTAGACACAAAACGGTTCGATATACGCCGCTTTCAGTTCAAGGTTTTTACCTGAAGTGGAAATAATAAGACCAATCAAAAGAATAATACGTATACTTATACATGTGATATTGTACAAATAAATATGCGAACTTGGAACGCGCGTCTGTACACCGCACCCGCCCGCCATCGGTGAAATAGGCGAACGCGCATTACATACGGTCCGACCGTCGTCCATGTAATATTATAATAACGATAAGTGGGTTTCGACACAGAACGTTATTCGATTCGCGAAAATAATCAATAAAATATTATTGTACTATCATTATTACGAGTATGTATACGTATAAGTTAACTCGTTGTTATACACCTGTCAAACGCAATCACCACTAACACGTACGACCGACGTCTACACGAATGTCGACACTATTATATAGTTTCAACCCCGTGGCTAACCTCGTACTTTAAAATTCGTGTGCCGTCGTTTTCCTAATTTCGCATACGGTTACAAACGTCACTTTGTGATGGTCACACACAATACATTTCGAAGAACGGTATATGTCAGGCTATGTCTCACATAGTATTTATGAGCAGGTCAAGTGTATATTTTATAATGTTATTGTGGTGCGAATGTAAAATTGTGCCCACTCCCCCCAAGCAAAGAAAAAAATTTATTTACTACGCAACACGTTTCACATTTACTGAAAACCGTTCATCGTTTATCAATATTTACGAACGAGTTATTAAAAATAATTTATAGGTGTAAACTTTTTGCTATTAAAATGAAAATTATTGGTTTACATTGAAATTGAAGAAATGCTAAAAAAATAATACAGTACTACCTACCTAAGTATTCCCAGCGCAATATTTCAACGAATATCATGACTTTAATGAAACAATTAAAAGCATATTAAAATATTACACAGTACACATGATGTTGAAATTTTTTGATAAATGTTTCACTATTTTTAGCTTTCTTAAAGTTCTATAAATATGCAGTTTCATATATTTAATAATACTTGTAAATTACAATATTGTGTTATACCAGTTACATGCAATGTAATCAATAAAACTGGTTATCTCGCGAAGCATTTAGTTCAAAACCGACTTAAATATTGAAATATTATCGTATTTATAAAATTTTGAAATATTTAAGGCAATCATAAAGCATCTTTGAGGTAAGTTCATGTTAGACATTTTCTAAAGCTGTAAGAGTCATTGTTTCTATCCAGTTAGTGTTATTTATAGCAATGTTACTAATTACTATGAATAATTCCAAACCTGATAAATTGATTATTATAAATTTAACATCTATACTTTTTTTGTTGAAACTATTCTTTTTCTAAAACATTACTTCCAAAGCAAAGTTTTTAGAATCAAGATTTGGCTTATCTCAAAATCTTTTTTAGAATGATTTATCAAAATTTCCAAACACTAATGCTGAGTTGTATAAAAAATATATTACCTAATTTAATTGACCAATCAAAGACCACTAAATCATATTTATAGGACCATTAGCACGCTATTGATTCATTTAAATATCAAATGTTATGTTATTATATACTTATGCAACTTAACATAAAACAAATCCAATCTAAACTTAATAGTGAATTTAAACTTTTAAAGAAATATATAATTAACAATTATACCTATGTATAGATAAACATTTCACCATTAATTATATTTATAATTACTTAAGTACTATTATAATAAGTAAACGCAAATACTTGAAATGTGTGAATAATATAAATGTACATCCAGCTTCCAAACACAGGTCCTATCACTGCCCAATAGCATTATGATTTATGACACAATCAGAAGGTATAGCACTATAGCTCACGAATTTAATTTTGATACCCTCTCTCTCTGGTGTCTTATTCCAAAATAAGCGACAAAACACGGAAAGGAGATCGAGAAAAAGTACAATTTGTGGGTGGTAAGTTACCAACTCCCCGTTTTTCAAACGGACGTGTTGTGACGGACGTCAGTTGCGGTGCAGAACGACAGTTACCGAGACGTTGAGCGTCGACGCGGTCCACGGGTACCCACCGATGACGCTGCTGCCAGTTGCAAGTGCATCCCGTCAGCCGAACACGAGCTGCTGGCCGTCATCGTTCCCAACATTGCATTCCATTGTAGGTACGTGCACTTGCTCCAACTCGAGTCCAAGTCATCGCCGCCGTCCAACTGTAGGATATCGCGCGAGTCGCTCTCGTTGTCCTCGCCCTACACCACCAGTGAGTCACGGTCATCGAAGCCCGCAACCTAACTTCAAACACGCACTTGTGGGTTCGAGAACGCAAATAGGTAGCCAGTACTCTGTAGTCCGCATTACTATATTATTATAATATATCTGAATATAAATCACACATTTTGTGCAAAAAAACACTGTTTTTCGTTCAATCGTTTATTATATGCGTATACGTTTGTATAGATATATTTTGTAGATCAATTTTACACGGTTAACTCGACAACAAAACTAGGAAGTCTATTATTTTGCTGCATCCGTACTTAAGTTTTAAGCACACCATGACGATTCGATGTTGAGAGAGGGCACTGTATAGTGTAATAATTTAATAGATGTGATAAACTTGAATTCAAATCAACTTTTTTATCAAACTAGAGTAGTTTTCCGAAACTTTATTAATTTTTATGTAGTTTTTCTTGTTGTCCGGAGAAATAATTATAGAGAAAAGCATATTTGATAAGCAATTCTATGTAACTATGTACATGACGTATTACGATTACCTACGAATAATGTAATACTCGTACAACGTCAGTGTTTCAATAAAATACGAGTACCTATACTAACAATGTAGTTACCGATAAATAACATACCTACAGCATGGGCGTCCCCGGACATTTTTCTAGGGGGGAATTAATTAAAAAATAAATGAAGATTTTTTAATACACTTTATTTATAGTCTACCATATATTATTATGTTCCGTCATTATTACATTTAAGTAGATACTATTATTATACATTTTATTTATACAGCATTATTATTTTTTGTTATTATTACATTAATAACTATTACAATTAGGTAATAAATTTAAAATTCTAAAGGGGGGGCAAGTACCCCATCCCCTTGGGGACGCCCATACTATACGGCTATACTAATAAAGTAAAATGCGATAAATAATTGAATTTAAAAATTATAATTCCGAACAGTATTAGAGAGTAATTAGTTATTTTTCGTAAATAGAAATATCCGAAATATTGTGAAGCTTAACCAATACAACAATATTTAGGATAATGCAATAAATTATTTTAAACTAACGAACATTTAATAGGTAAGTAATGATAAAATTTGTAAAAAGTCCGAGTATTATGAGAAAGTACCAATTAGATTAAAATAAATGTAACATAAATTTAATATTTGATATGTGAAACTATTATTATATATTAGCCATTAAGACTACTATAAATTATCTAAAAAAATACCTCGGAAAGAATGGAGTGGCATCCAAAGCAATGGATTTGGAAATTTTCCTATTTGTACCATTCATCTACCTATACTCGTATATGTACGGAGATAACATAACGGAAAAATATAAATAAATAGGTATACCAAACCTGTAAGGTCGTTGCTCTGAAGTTCGAAAACACTGATGTTATATGACGTCAAAATACTTTAAGTCTATGTAGTGTAATGTGACCACTGACCATTTAGGTATGCAGCAACTATAATTTACCTCATTTGCCGCTTTCGTGTCGGTGATTAATTTTATCGCACGACTAACACAAACACATCGACAAAAAATACAGCCCTACAAATCCAAATTAAACCGCGACAGTTTAAACGCCGCGTATTTTCGAAACCATAAACGATATACGGTAACCAATATATTATTACGAACGGTATTTTTAGGCTTTAGGTAATACGGACGAAGTGATATTATAAAATAAATAATATACACATTTACAATATAATAATACATACACGTCAATGTTCAGGTGAAATTTATCGACGTCCTAATTTCCCACTATTGACGACTTTCAATTAGATCACTGTTCCGGTAAAAAGCAGCGATGGACACAATATCGCACCGTTGCACACTAGGTTGCGATGTGTTGCAAGGGTACTTAACAATAAAACTTCCCCGAGAGACCTACGACGGCGGCAAACACGCGTCAACTCTAACTCGGGGCTTTTGTCGGACTACAGGTGGTACAATATAACCACATATAATGATAACAATAATCACATACACGGCGGTGTTGTGTCATGGGGGTGTGCTTATTAGAACGGTTACCACGGGATACGGTACGAAGGGTGATACTTAGGAGGGGATGAACGAATTAGCAAACGCGACTTACCAAACCTCGACACGACCAATTCACTATGAATCCATTTCGCAACGGCTTCCGGTAAAGGCACAATTTAAGATATAGGTTATAGGTGTATCTTAAATCCTAAGTATAGTTGTCCACTGGGTGTCATAAAATACAATTCAAATAAATAATAATAAATTGATTATACACATTATAAATCATAATAAAACGTTTTATTTAAAGACAATATTATCTGCCTGGTTACATCAAGTTATTAGTGAATAAAAATAAAACAAATTATATTTTTAAAAATAACTCAGTAGTACAAGTAATTCAGAAAAAAAAAATACAAACTAAAATATAAATTAAATCTAATTTAATGGCTAACTGAATATTCAAAATAAATGTTTCAGCTTTTTAGAATTACTTTTGTGACTTTTAAAGAGGGCAAATAATAATTAATATTTATTATAAATAACTTTAAATTGTTGAGTTACACATTATAAACATAACTAAGTCAAAAATTGTAAAAATCAAGACCATAATAGACCTAAAACAACATTTATTAAATTCTAATGAGCAATTCAATTAACTAAACTTGTCTTAGTATTATATCAGTCTGTTTATGGATTTCAAAATAACATCTCCTTTAATTTTTTGGTATATTTTGTACATTATTTTACTATCATTAACATAAAAATATAATAGGATTTCACAACTACATTAAATATATATGGAACATTCAACCATCTACATTGTGATATATTTTGAGAGGATCTGTCCTCAGCTTAAATTGATTAGACTTGACAATGAAATTTAATTTAATTATAAAGGCACTAAAAGTAATTGTGAACATAATTTACTAATATGTTTTGATTTTCCATAAAAAATAATAATTGGCAAAATCACCAAAAATTAAATAAAAATTATTCTACACAAAAATAACTTAACCTAAGTCATTCTTTCAATAGTCATAAAATTTGGTGTCGTGTGACAGTAACTAAAATATAACATTCAAGTACAAAATAATATGACTTAAATCTAATACACTAGTTTGTAGGAACCCATAATTAACACCCTGAAAACCTGAACATTTTGGGCTTAGACCTTTTTGCAATTTTTTAAGAATTATTATCTTCGTAAGATACTAAGGTACTTGATATGCATTTGTATTTGGCACATTAGATAGTTGATTTTGCTTCTCTTGTTGATTGACCTGTAAATAAACCATACATTATATTATAAATATTTGTTTAGTTACAATTAAAGAGGTAGATATCATGGAAATAAAAATAATAATTATTTAGTGAAGTTTGATACATAGTTCTAAACATGCAACACAAATTAATGAATTTTATAAAATATAACAATAAATCTATTGCTAAAGGTATATTTACTTCATTTTGTAATTCATCAATAACAGAACCAGATTCTGATTTAAGACTATTAGTATAACCTTTAGTCCGATGTCTAAACTGATGAGTAATTAAAAATTGACTTGTAGCAAATCGTTTCTTGCATATGTCACACACATATGGTAACTGGTTATCCTCCACTTCATTATGTGTTGCCATATGCATATCGTAATAGTGTTTAACAATAAATGATTTTCCTAATAAAATAACCATTAGAACTTTAAAAGTTAACAGTTTTTAGAAAAATTATCTAAAAACTCTAAAATGTAAAACTAACCACAAACTTCACAGACAAGAGGTCCAGTCACTCCATGCGTAGTTCGATGCTTGTGAAGATTATCTTTACGACTAAAATGTTTATGACACAAATCACACCCATACAATCGTTGACCAGTATGACTCAACATGTGACGCATTAGATGTTCTTTACGACTAAATGATTTAGAGCATGTTTCACAGCTGTATGGACGTTCCCCTTGAAATATAATTATTTAATTAATAAAAAAAATTAATTTGTTTGTAATGGATTATATGATTATAAAAATAATGAAGATATACAATATAATAGGTAAATCAATCATTAAATTATTTATTTTTCCCATTTTATATGTTAAAGAATTAAGACAATGAATATAATGAAATATTTATAAAATAATATTAGTATCAAATCTTAATATTACAGATTCTATAATAAGATTTAATAATATTTTATTATCTCAATAAAGTTGGCTAAAGAAAATATTTATTAGATACAATATTTACCAGTATGAAGTTTCCTATGTTGAATTAAATGCTCTTTTCTTTTAAATTTTTTCTCGCAAACATCACAAGGAAATCTTGGAGGCATCATATCTCTTGAACTTCTTGTTGGTACATTATGAACACTTCTATTGTTCATAGCTTTACATACTTGACTATGCATCACAATTTCTTCCTCAGATTCTAATACTTTCCCACATGCAGTGCATGTTGCAAGAGCACCATTCATTGGTAAAAACCCATTTATATATGTCTTTGCATCATTAGACTTACTATTATCCAAATCTGAATCTTGATCGTTACTTCAAAAAAAAAATTTTTAATTTTAAGTACACATAGAATAGAAGTAATTAAACATGACTAAAAATGTTATTAATTAAATAAAATATTGTCTTAATAATAACTAACTCAGTTTTAATTAATTGTAAATTGATCTCTGGTTCAACAGTCACATAATTTAAAGAATGTATGTTCAATTCAGAATCTTCTTTATCTGAACTAGGATTATCCTGGAAAATTAACAAGACATCTTATTAAAATTATATATGGAATATATTTAACAATCAAATAAACATATTAACAACACAACCTAATAAAATGTATTTCAATAATTTAATTATTAATAGTAATTTTCTATTAATTGAAAAAAAAACCTTATAGATATTTTTAATAATTATGAGTAAAAGTGGCATAAGTACACTGCTGCCTATAGAAGTTGGGTTTGATTGATATTATGTTGTAAACTATTTCAAAATTTATAATAATTTATTATGTTATAAAATGGTTAAGAATTATGAAACAGCTCAATCTATAATGCTTACAGGTACAGAGTAAATGGTTTGAACATTTTCACTCGCATCATTTTCTTCATTAGATGAATCTGTTTGAACCGACTGATTTGAATTATTGGCTATCGTATAATTATACTTCATGGATTCAATTCCATTAGTTGTACTAGTTATAACTTGCTATTGTAAAACAAACAAAAATTATTAAATTAGAAATAAATCATTAATTTTTTTATTAAAATCAATAATTACCTGCATACTATCATATTTACAAAAATCTAGATATCCATTGTTTATATCTTTTACTACTTGTATTGAACCAGATTGAACGAGGTTGGACAGGCTTTGCATTGAAAGCATAGATGAAGAATGATCAGAACTATTATTTCTCTTTGTACTTACAGGATTATTTTCTAAAGATTCACGCACATAAACCTAAAAATTTTATTTTTAAATAAAAAAAGTGGTAAGAAGAAATTTATTTTGGTTAAAATATACAAAAAACTGTTAATCAAATACAAATTAAATTAAATTTTTTTTTATTATACTATTATTCATCTATAAATTTAAGATTGCTTCAAAAGTAACAAATAATAAGGTAGGTTCCCACAGTGTCATTTAACAATACAATTATATAAAACTGCCACTAGTAATTATTTTACATGTAATTTATTACATTTTTTAATTAAATATAAACAAAAACAACTTACTTTTCCTTGACATTTTGCTTGATCAGAAACACTTAACGTTGCACAGTAACTTTTTAACATAGATTCAGTATTTACACATTGATCTATAAAATCGTACAATTCATCCATTTTTGCTATACAGTTTTCACATACCCCTTTTGGTAAACTATCACTTTCTTTGATCTAAAAAAATTTATAAAATAAACATATTCTGTTGGTTATACCAATAAAACTTTAATATTGTAAAACATGTTGTTTAAATATTACAACTAAATATTGGCATAATATAATGTTTATAACTATTTAGAAGACATTGTGTATATTATATATTTACTTACAATATTTTAAATATTATATTAAATAATTGAATAAGGAATATAAAAACATAAGAAAGATTAACTTAATTTTACTACCTAAACAATCTAAAATTTATTAAATTCTTAATTATGAAGGCAGAATAAACAAAAATCATTTGAAAACAAAAAAATATGGCCAAAAGCCTAAAATAATCTAACATCAACTGGAGTATATTGAAATCAACTATATTAGTTGAACATTATTATCAACTGTATAGCACAGTGTCATCTCAGTTGTCTTACACATGACCAAAAATTAGTCCGACTAGCCATAACTCACCTGGAGGGGTATACATTTTTTCAGTTTGAACTGTAGCTGCCGTTCGCTGCTCTCCTGACTCTTGAACAGATGGTGTTTCTTGCCGCCTACGCACATGCATAGCCGGCACAACTCGTAAAAGTCAACCTTTTTGTAAATGCTCATTTTACGGGAATTCCAAATAAATAAGAAAAAATCCAATTTATCTTATACACGTTCTATTTATTCCGAGGCGGAGATTCGACAACCCCGCCATTTGCGTCGCTATTTTTCAGTTTTTGGCGTGAAGATCAATTCACGAACGCAATGATGTTGTTGACTGTTGTCTGTTATTATTGTTGTTGTTGCTGCTATTACCATCAATGGCCACCGAGTGCACCACATGCATCATTGCACTTATTTTGCATGTTTGCGCTAACCAGTAACCCGAATCCCAGTAAGCTACAATCGCAACAGCTGATAACACCGGCGGCCACTGCACGCTTAGCAACCACAACAATAATATTATATTAAATTCTATCCAACCACAGTCTTAAAATTTGATAAAAACTATATTATACAGAGTGATTCACAAACCATTATTCCTTTGACAAAACATTTTTCAAATTTTGATTGATGAAACTTTTAACTATTCCTAATTCCTAAAGGCAACATTTACAAATATTTGGATTATTTATAGGGTTTAAGAGTTGTGACGATGCCAACGTTTGCTTTACAAATAAAAGTCCCTTTTTTTCCTACAAATTATTAAAATAATATGTTGATAAAATAATTTTTTTTATGAATATTTTCAATTTTTAATTATTTAAAAAAAAAATTGAACAATTAATTGTTGCGTTACTTAACTGTATATTAAAGTTAAAATTTTAAAATATTATGATTTATAAAAATGTCCGAGTAAGATATAATAAATTGTGTACTTGAATACTTGATACAATATTACATCTGTTTTATAGTTTTATATATTCGTATAATTATTTTTAAGCACTAGTATCAATAGTTTATACATATTGATAAATAATGACTAAAAGTAAACTATTCGTTGATTTTTCGATTTAGATGTATAAATGTAGTCAAAAACACCATCTAAATAATTTACAGTAAAAAAAAAGATGGATTTTTATTAGAAAAAAATTGTTGGTGATCACTCTGTATGGCAATATTGTTAATGCTAGCAAGTAGTCAGCTGCTGCCATTTTGTTTTCAACGAAATAAAAACAACCAGACCAAATGGAAAACAATGATAAATATCAACTTGAAATCCAAAACCATATAACTCGCTAATTCGGCGATATGTCTGTCAAGATTATAGTTTGTGACTATGAAAGAATTTCAAATAGACACATATTTTTTATAATGTTTCATGTCTGTATTTCTATGTGGTTTTGATTGTTTGAAAAATATACTTAATATACTTATTGCTTACAGTTTTTTTGTTATCAATTATCAATCCCTCGTAATGTGGTTACACTGTCGGCTGTTATCACAATATACGCCCCCTCCAACTCGACTGTATACCCGGAACGTCAGAACAGAACTAAGGTGCACTACCGAGTACCATCACTGATTTTTTTTTCCTAATTTTAATTTGTCTACTATAAAATTATGATACTTTAGGTCTTATAAATTAAGAACAATTATAATGTAATGTTACTGTTCACGATTAACAAACAAAATAATACGTCAACATCGTAGTCATTTGGTTGGTTTAAAATCGTCCTCTGTATGTTTTATAAATGTACGTAACTGAAATTTAATTTAGTTTTAATTCGTTCGCGATCACATTATTTTTATTACTGCAACCCATGTTACATATACGTCTTTAATATACCGTTTGTATGTGCATTTATTATATCAATTTTGTGTAATTTATGAATATATATTTACGCAAGTAAGTAAATCGAACTCAAGATCTTGCTTTCGGCAATAATAATAATTGGTATGCTCAAGAAATAATTTCTACAAATTACATGCTTACACTATTACTATGATGTGCAGCAGATAATTTCATTAAGTATCGGCTAATTTGTAATATTTGGTAAAGACAGATTTTTTTCAAATGTCTAGTGATATGTCTTCGAATGCGGAGGATTTGCCATTAGATGCTGGTAAAGCATTTCGCATGAGTGAAGGTGATTGGGTCTGTCCAAACACTCAATGCGCAAATATTAATTTTGCTCGTCGCACCCATTGTAATAGATGTAATAAGGAACGTGAAGACTTACCAGTCAAGAAAAAAGCTGGTGCTGAAATTGGTAAGGCAGCTGCTGAAAAGAGTAAAGGTCTGTTTTCAGCTGATGACTGGCAATGTAGTAAGTGTGGCAATGTGAATTGGGCACGTCGATCTCAATGTAATATGTGTAATGCACCTAAATTTGCTGATCCAGAAGAACGTACTGGTTATGGAGGTGGTTACAATGATAGAGGAGTTGTTGAGTATGTTAAACGAGAAGAGTCAGATGATGAGTATGATGAATTCGGACGAAAGAAAAAAAAACAAAAAAGAGGTAGTGGTTCTATAAGCGAGGATTCCAATAGTCAAAATGGTAAAGAAGATAACAACGATAGAGGAAAAAATAAAACATGGTCAAATGCTATTATTGAAAATGATGATGATGATGATGATGAAGAAGACGATGATGATGATGATGATGAAGATGGAGATCTTTCAAAATATGATTTGTCTGAATGGGATGACTTAGCAGCCCAAGCCAAAAGAGATAGATCAAGATCTAGATCACCATTAAAATAGTTATGATTTAAATATTTTGTAAGTATCAATTATTTTTTTTTTTATTTAACTTATAGATGTATGAAAAATTATCATATTTATCTAATAAAATATTATATGATATTATGTATCTAAAACTTATGAAAAATATAAAATTGTTTGTAAATATGTAACAATTTTAATAAGTAGGCTTATAAGTTGAAGATATTAATAACTATAATATTACACAATTTTCTTTGATACCACCCAACACTAGAACAAAATTATTCATTTTAAATGGTTTATGAGTACTGTTGCAATTATACATTTATTCAGCTTTTTTTATAATAATATTATGTTATTTTTTATCTTACAGTTTAAGTTATGGTTATTTACAACGTTATTGACCAGTCTACAATCAATATTTTCCAATAAATCAACCATACCACAAATCAATTTAGTAATTAGATCATATGTTTATCTGACATTTTATTTATTTTGAACACTATCAATTTATATTTAACCGTTAAATATTTTTATTTTACATGATTATATAATAATTAATGTAATGTATGCATAAAAAGCCAAAATACTAAAACTATGTCATTAAAATAAGTTGTACAGCTTTTGTTATTTTAAATATTTCCAATTAACCTTTTGTGGATATATTAAAAATAATATATTTTCTTTATATCACAAAATTTAAAAAATTTTATCTTTAATATTTTTACCAATTTTGGTTTAATTAAAATTTGTGTTAATCTATTGCAGTCAGTATTCATTTTTCTATCCAGTTACACATAACATGTAATATTGTATTCACTTTGTACAAATATGTTGAATTCTATTTAATTAAAGCATTCACTTTCAAGTAATAATTTGTCATTAAAATATTTACATAAACCTTATTTTTAATTGCTGATGACACATATTTCAAAAATTAAATATCAAGTATTAATTATAAATTATTTTATTTTATTATTGAAAATAGATTTAAGATAAAATATCAATAATATGATATGTACTTATTTAATTAATATTTTTGTATTTTTAATGGAATTGTTTTTACTTTCATATTTGTAATTTTAAAATATGATAACATTATTACTTGCAAGTATTCTTAAAATTTAAATTTAAATTTTGAATTTTCAGATTAAATTGACTGAAATAATATAATAATTACTTGTTAGTTAAATGCATATTGAGTTGTGTAATCTTGAGATTATCTGTAAAGTATAAAAATTTAAACTATCAACATTTTTAATACAAAATTATTATGGATATCATGTATGATTATTTGTCATGAATAATAAAATTTAAATGATTGCATTTTTATGATCATAGTTCAAATTGTTTGCATCATTGATTATTATCACAGCCATAAGTTTATGAAGAGATATTTTGTTTTTAATTATTATAATATTATGTAACTAAATGTTAAAAAAAAAATGAATACCTTTATAAAAAGTTATAGTATGTGCGTTTTAATGTTCAAGAATCGTGTTTTTATTTCACATTTATCACATTAATTATATATTTTAATATTTATGACTCATCTTGACTTACTTATTGTTTCTTATTGGTGTCTAGATTTTTTTAATATAAATCAAATGTGAATGTATTTTCTATCAGTTAAATATAACCTTATAATTTAAAACAAAGAATTGTGATTTTAATTCTGGACAGGTAGATTAAAAAGAAACATGAGTATACAATTAATTTTTTTTTACACAAAACAAATAAAAATGTGATACAAATTTAATAGGTATAGGCATCTAATTTTTAGTTTATTACACTCAAACAAGTTTTACAAATTTGTATTGTAAAATGTTAATGAATTAAGATTAATTATCTACAATATGCTTAAATTTTCAATATCTTAGATTATTATTATTCTTAGTATATAAACATCAAAGGATCAACAACTTGAGATTATTTATTTGAATTTTTATTTATACACAAAAATGCAACTGGTTGATAATTAGTGATGGGTATAATCGAATGATTAGTAAGCGAGAGAATCTCTCGAAAAATTATTCTAAATATGAATAGATTTATAGTACCTAAATAATTATTTGTTGATCTAATATTAATTAAAAATGAAACTGTAATTTAAGAATAATAATAACCAGGATATATTAATAATTCATTATTAATAAGTGCTTTAAATAAAATATTATTATACTTTTTTATGTATTTGAAATGAAATGTTATAAATATATATTATAAATGTGTATAGCTACCAAATCCAGCAAATTTTGACAATGCATTTTAAGTTTCAAATAAAATAATTTTATACAAGCTCGTAATAGTAAGTATATGAATAATTACTATTTAAAAATATAATAAAATCTAGATATTTTGGGGATAGCCAATTTCTTTATAATATGTATACCATTTTTCAGATTTAAAATATAGGTACTAAATCAATTACCAGATAATTATTTAAAACATTTCAAAATTCGATTATATATCTCAATTAGGTATGCCCATCACTAAAATGGTAATTTATTTAAATAAAATGGGAAACTACCTAGTTCTCGTTTGGAAAATAACGGTCTGTTGTAACCTAACTACCAGGATACTTAAATGAAATAAAAAACTTAGTACTATCTAAAAATACTTAACAATTCAAAAAATTACAATTAGAATTAATACGAACTAAGCCTAAAGGAGTAGTGGTGTGTGCATATTTGGTAAATCATGTTGTATGGCCGTATACACATTAGGTGCATAATATTAAATATCTAGTACAGTATACTTGTTCACAATTTATAGGTGACAACGAATACAGTGCAGTGCTGAGTACAATATGCGTTATACGTGTCTACTATCTATTTATATATATATATATATATATATATATATTGGCCATAATCTATTATTGATTATTGTACACAAATCGAATAAATAAACATACCTGCCGACTGCAATGAATAATTATGCTTTATTTTTATATCTACATAACAATAGGTACACATTCTGTACACTGTCGGTATGCGTAATATGGTAAACAAGTGTTTTAAGGTAAACTATTATTTATATTTACACTTCACATCGATGGTATCGATTAAACACTGAGTGCGTATTAAAAATAATGAAAAAAAAATTTACGTAAGTAAGTACCTATCTATAACATTGTTCAAGTACGAGTGTGCGTAACTGTAACACAATATTGCCATTTGCTACACTCTATTCCACGATCGTCGTTCGGTGGCCTACCGTTTGGCAGGACTCGTACACCGATCGTGCAACGGTGTAGGCGCCACACCAGCTACAACTCCAGTGGTCTTCTACCTCATACGATTCGCGAATTGCTTCCTATATGATATTAGTCGTTTGTTTTGCAAACACGTTTATAAAAAAAAAAAAAGAAAAGAAAAGCCAATCGATAAACGCTGATCTTTATACACGTGTAAAAATAGATTAATTACTAATTACTCACGTTCGTGTATCTATTTGCACCGTTCAGTGAAATGAAATAAATTTAAACAACAAATAAATATATTTTTTAATTATTCAAAGTAGATACATCGCACCCCCGACCGACTTGAACATCCGAGAACCATGGTGATAACTTCGGATATGTCGTCTGCAATGGATCCGAAGGATCAACAGCAACTGGTCAGTGTCCTTATTTTATGTTTACACGGTTAATGTGTACGCATATGAACAAAATAGATACCTATGTCGTACGTATTATTATTAAGATTATAAATTTGTGAGAGGAGCAAAAGAACACTCATCATACAAAATTTATTTAAAAATGTCGATATATGAAATGTTCACCATTCCATGAACGTATGAGCGAAATTATTTTTTTTCGTTAATGATTTGTACAGAAATATTAACTGCGTTGATCAAAACTATATGCAATGTAGTTGGTGGTATATGTACTCATGTAAATAATATTTTTAAACCATGTAAATATAAAATAAAAATGGCTTATAAAAAAAATATAAATGTGTTTATATATAGATTTCGTAATTAGATGTCTAAATAATTTAATTTTTGTTTAAGTAAAGTTAAACTATGTACTCAAATCCTGTACTACGTGGTATAATACATAAAACAGTTTATAATTAAATAATTAATTTGGTAGGACACGATTGGGCATTTTGAGAGACATTTCTTGCACATTCGCTTTGTCGAAATTTTGTAATTTATTATTTTCACGTACACGTACTAATACATCATTTATTATGATACTAAACTTACACAAGCCATGAGCCGAGCCTAACAATATATTATAATAAGTTAAAATATATTAAAACATAAATACATTCGACCAATATTCATTTATTTAAATTATAAAAATACTGAATCTCTACTACAAAAAAATAGGTATATTAATTTAATTTTTTATTATCATCAACAATTTTAACCACACGATAGACTAGCGTGATCAAACGACCTGATTTTGGTGGGACAGTCGCGATTTTCATGCAGATATCATGCTATAAATTTGGTGATAAAGTAAAATAGCCTATTTTTACTCAACATCCCGATTTTAAATAATTTTCATTTTATTCAATATTTAATATTCATTTTTATGAATCATTTATTATTATACAAAATTATTATGTTTTGATTATAATATAGTTTTTTTAAATATTTTAAAATTTTATTTTAAAACGAGTAAAACAAAACGTTCATATGTATTTTATAATAAACTAATAACAAATATCTATGTCTGAAAAATCTGAAAAAAACACTTAGATTGTTTATTAGTTGTAAAAATTTCACTCTACCTTTAGTCTAGGTTCAGAGATGTAAATGATTTTGAAAAAAAATTAAAATCTAATAAACACAAATCTGCTGATTATACTGTTTCTACTATAATATTAAATAGGTCTATAACTTACGTTATTTTTAATACAGCGTTCTTTATCTAAAGATTTAGATGTAACTACAGCTAAAGGTTTATACTATCGATGAAAATCAAATAGTTTTTATTTAATGGTTATACATCAATATTAATAAAACAATCTTTTGAATCGTGTAGGTTTTCTTTTATATTCTTTATAAACTAACACATTTATTCAACATGTCTTAAAAATGGTGGGTATATTTTATGTTCAATCGTACCCATAACTAAATGATAAGTTTTGAACATTTTTTTGTTTTTATGTCACTCCTTAATACAATTGTAAATACACGTGTAAATGCAGAATACGTTGAACTCAAAAATCTTATGAGTTAAACATAAGTTAAGTTCGTATATATATTTGCACCATCAGCAACACTTTTGATTTCTTACGAAAAAAAAAATGTTTCATAAATATGTAATAAAAATGAGAATATGTATTTTATAGTTTATTGTTTAAAATAGTTGTAGGTACCTGCAGCTATATACAAAATATACTGTAAATATTATCTAACGTCACGGCCCGTGTACCGCAGTGTCCTTTGTAGGTTTGTAGCGCAAAGAATTTCTGATTTACACAACTTTTTATATATAGGGTGTCTTATACTTCTTTGTACCTTTTTAGACGTCGAAAAATTCTCTAGCTTATTCAAATTGTAATACATTTAATATTTATATAATATATATAGGAAAATCGGCTATTTTCGGATATCTTTGTATACGGTATATCTACTATCTATAGTAGGTACATAGAAAGCAATAATTTCAAGGTGAGGTATGTCAGTATATCAACTAAAAATAGAGGGCTTGAAATAGAATTTTATTATTTTATAATATCAAAATTAATAAAATAAATATTTATTTCAATCAGTGTTTCACTAGTGCAGTCGTTAATACACTTGATGTTGGTCGTTGGCACTGTAGGAGATAGGAGTACAACATTACAAATTTACTATTTACAAATAAATTAATATGTTTTTAATTCTTAACTAAATAAGCTTATTTCTTATAAGAAAATAGTTGTAGGGCTATCGACCTACATAATATGGACTTAAATGTCTAAAAAACCAAACTTAAAATATGCCTATACTTATGAACTATAATCTAAAAAATAACTAAAAAAGAAAACAATTATTCATTAAAAAAAATTGTGTAAAATATAATTAAAAATTCCATCTATTATATTTAATATTTCACAATGTTCATTATATTCTTTTATGCTCGATGACCATTGTGATCTGTGAAGTAGAAACAGTGTTGTAAAAATATTATTGAAATAATAAATATAAGCTTTTATTTAAATGGGCTGAGTAAAAACTGCAGGTTGATGATGTAATTACTACAGTAATGCAGTGTAAATTAGTATAAAAACATAATTTTAAGAACTGTAATTGAAACCAAAATCGTTTAAATAATGTTAGCAAAAAAGAATAATCAATACGAGTGTAATAATAACTTGGTATACGAAAAAATTTTAATCAGTTGTAAAAATGTATTGATATGGACGAACCATAATTTCTAATACCCAGCGAAACACCCTGTATATATAATATATATCTATAGCCCTATAGGCTATATAATAATAATAATATAACACCTATATATACATAATAGTACATTAGTCGGCGACGATTGGACACGCCGACCGTATAACGATGTCAAAGCATAGTAAATCTCGGGAAATCGCATTTTCCGCGAGTACCTATATATAATATATTGTATATATGTATACAATTATCTAACGAACGTTAGGTACATGAATCCAATGAATGTACGTAAATAGGTGGTATACGCAACACGATAAGCTGCAGTTTTTCAATTTTCTCGCTAAAAATTCGGTGGAGTAGTTCACGTTATAAATACTTACGTATAACACAAATATGATATAAATATTCGTTTTCACAAAGTCCTTTATCATAAAATATATTACAACTAGTGGTATATATACCAGGGATTGACAACTCAAAATTACTAGAGGGACACTTTTTAGAAAATTAAAATCTAATAGGTCAAAATAAAAAGTCATTTGATCGCTAATTTACTGAATAATTAAAAATACTACGTATAACAAATATTCGTGTCGTTTAGGTAAATACATTTACTGAGTACGGCGCGCAGAAAATCGAGTCGTCGAGGTGCAATCACGGTTCCTACCTTCGACCTTCCTACCTACAAAATAATAGTGTAATATAATAGATCTGTTGGTTGGCGCACGTTGGATTCGGGACGCAACAGCTAGTCTTCCGTCGAAAAGCGTGCACGAGCGTCGCGTCGTCCCTCTGAACGATATTGCCATTTGCTGTGCACACACATATAGGTATATTAATTATTATTTATAATTAATCTGCAGTTATAATTTAACATTGCATTATATCAATTGAGGCTTATAAAACATGTATATTTAAGGCGGTGAACATCACATCGAGATCGATCATTATACACCGCCACCGCGCCCGTAACTATATAATATAAAATGTCAGTCGGTGACTTGAACTTGACGACGGTAAGCACATCACAAATATATATATTGTTTTATACACGATTAACATTTTAATTGATATAAAAAATCATATTGTTTAAGTCTTTTAGGTAACTGCTATTTCTACTACCTTTTTTATTTTAAGTCGTTAATTTTTTTTAAGCATAAATTCCTACGAACATTGTTTGATCATCGCTATACCTATTATAATAATTATTATTCACCGTGTAAAGTGTTTTTGCCATTTCCCGTGTTATAAGAACAATTAAGACGAAATACTTAATTGAATAAATACCTTTACTAATCAGTCGACATATAGTATATTTAATCAATCTTAAATCGTAATAGAGGTGTATATAAGTCTATAAAATAATTTTAAAAAATAACGACCTGAAATTAATGATACGTCCATATATTTTTATAACCATGAATGATGAAGTAAATTTACCAAAGGACAATGAGTACATTTGTAATTTCTTTTTGAAGTATATCATGAACACGTTTTGTGTATAAAAAGCTTTCGGTGGAAAATTGTTAGTAAATGTTTGTTTGTCGTTCAATATTTTCGCGGTCAATTCAGACGCATTTTTTTTTTTAATTTTAAAAGAAACTCGTAATAAAAATCATAACTATATGTACTTATTTCTAACTAAAATTTCATATACCTTTACTTAAATTTAATTCAAATTGATATTATTGAAGGATTTCTTTGAGTCAACTAAAAAAAATATGGAAGTATATATTGGCAAAGCGTATATTATTTAGTGCTTGTTATAGACACCCATAATTAATACAAAATGGAAATTATATTCAATAGCCATTTAGTTATTTTATTTACGACTCACTTTTAGTTAAATTATTTAACTCAAAAGTAATTTATTACGGATATACGTGATTTAAAAAAAAAAAGTAACAATACAAATACAGAAACGACACGGAACCAAAATTTCACGCAAAAAATTACTTTATTTATAAAATGAATGATTTGATTTAAATTGATCAGTCATGGCCATGAATTGTGCACATAAAACCATTTATCTATTAACAGGGTTTTAGGAAAACTTAAAAATTAAAAATACAAAAATATCTTATTGAAATGAATTATTATAATAACTTTAATAACTATAATTAATAAAATTAAAAAAAAACAAAATAATAAGACGTTATATAGAATATAGATTATATTAATAGCTTAAGTAATAGACCATAGAAATTGTTTTACACGAGGTACGAAAGTTATTGAAACTAAGTATATTATCGATTTATTTGTTACGTTTTAGTCGAAAGAAGTTTCCAATCGTCCATGAATTTAATCGAAAACTGTAGACAGTAGTGTAACAAATAACAATAATTGAATAATCGATTTGAAGGGCAATAGGATACAATTACTATACAGTCATTGTTTACTCTTTAAACAATATAATACATAGGCAGAAATATAGAATAACTTGCTCACTATATAGTCAGTATAATCACTATACGTCTATACTTGTGTTTGTATAAATTTATTTGGTTTCTATGCGACGGCCACCCCTCAGGCCTAGTTATGATGAATATGATCAGCAATAATCTATTATAATCGTAAATCGAGGGACATATCTTTGAATGTAAAATTGCGTACCTACCTATGTATAATATTTAATTTATTGTAAGTCTGTTATATAAGTAAGTTCAAAAAAACGACAAAGAATCTAGAACGAAAAAATAGAAAAATAATTTTATTTTGGTCAATAACCTTAAGAACATAAGTTAGCTGTAAAAAATATGAATACGATACAGTCATAATACCAAATTTGTTTTACTAAACATACGGACATTTATGAAACTTTAAGCTATTATCAATTTTTAATAAGTTATATTTTAATGTTTAATATTTATTTTTACTTGTTCCTATTTTAAATTAGATAAATATTGATATTTCAATCACAGAAGAAAAAAGTGCAATAACCAAATAATTCTATTTTAAAATGCTTTTAGAAAATCATAGGCTAATTACTTACATATAGTTAGTTTTATATACTTTATAATTTTAAAGTAAAGCTTATTAATTATATCATTATATACTATTATTAAAGTTAAAATAAATAGTGGTTTTTATTTTTTTTATTAATCAACTAAGAAATTTTAATTTTATAAATAAAACTTATTCTAATTATTTACATTTTATTGATGCTATTACGGTATAATAATATTCACAAAATATTGATTTATAATATATTGTAGGCTGTGACTTAAGAGTAATTTTTAATTAAGAACCACTTATTTAGTATGTATATATTTTAATTTATTAATTATAAAATATTTAATTAAATTGATACAGTTTAAATTTATTCATATAGCCTAAAATTGACTCAAATGCTAAAAAATCTGTAGATACTTATTATAAATTATGATATACTGGCAAGTTGTTCTCCAGTATTTGTTACTAGAACTCATCAAAATTATAAAGCATAAATACATTATTCATTTTCATACCTAAATGGCTCAAGGCTCACGGCTATACATTATTTAGAATCATTTTTATAAATACAATTTCAGATACTTCAGATTAAGGGCTGAATACTTGAATATATAAGTTAAACAATAATAGGTACCACTTACCTACTTACAGTTCTATAGTCTATACAAATATTGAAAAGTTTAAAATGTAAGAACAAAAACATTGCACAATATAAGTAGGTCCCTATATAGTAGGGGTGGCGAACCTATGGCACGCGTGCCAGAGGTGGCACGTTGATCAAATTTTAAAAAATTATGCTATATTAAATAATGTTAGTTATAATTTATAAGAAATTCAAAGAAACAAATTATGTTTAAAAATTATAATATTCCTTTGTAAAATGTATGATATTACTATATTATTACTGTATTTAATGTATAACTTTATTTTTATCCTTAAAAAATATCATTTCCTTTGGGTACGTGAAAAATTTTCAAATCAAGGATTTGAAAAATTTGACACTTGACCTAAAAAAGGTTCGCCACCTCTGCAGTATATAATAAATAACAACAGTTTATTAATATAACTGCCATAGTCTATAATAATGAATAACTAATAAATAATATAATTACCTACAGTTCAAGTCATGGTTTCGCGATTTTTTGTTATACATACATTTATTACATCCCAACAAAGTATAAACATACCATTAACAACTTGTTTAGGTAAAATCTGTTTGCGTACATTTACCTTTTTTACGACTAGTTTGCGCACAGCGCACATACTTTTTCTTTCCACGATTCATCGTTTGAGACAACTGCACATTTTCCTTTTCACTTAAATATAAGCTTTATTTTACTATCTGTTTCAGACGTGATTAAAAACAATTGATATTTTTTTTCGAACTAATCGTTAAAATTTTAATAATTATAAATACTTGGTAGGTACTTATGATAAATTGTTTTTTATCACTCGTCTATTATTGAGACGAGCGTAATTTTTAGACTAATTAGTAATTTTAAAAGATTAATTTAACGGGGTTCATACACAAATTTTTAAAATAATTCTTACATTATGATTATTATTATTATTACCATAGTTTTCAGCATTTTGGTATTCCCGGCATATTAGTTTATTCGTTTATGTGTATATTGCTTTCGGCACTAGATATAATATTTTAAATTGCTTTTTAGTTATTTTACTACTTCTTTAATAAAATTATTTGGTTTTCATAGGTACTTGTATAGTTAAGTTTAACGTTTTTTTATGTTTATTTTGTTTTATTTATCAAAGTACTAGCGAAAAACTTTTTATTTTTACATCCAGATTTTAAAGTTCTAAGTCCTCTAACCTTAAAATTGTCTGCAAAGCAAAAAAGAGAAAAGGTTGGTAGAGTTAGGGTTCAAACAATTTTATATGTGCGTAAGTGAGTTGCGCTGATTTTTAACCGTATTTATCGGAAAGATCGATAAGAACTACATAATGTTGTTGAATTGAATATGATTAAATATTGCAGGTTTTAAATTTGTAATATTACTTAATATAACTTAATGTTATATACGTACTATGTAGGTTCATAAACACAATACCATTTATTGTAATTTTAAGTAAAGTATAATACGCACGAATTAAGCCATTAAAAAATATACAAATTATACATGTAAAATCTATGTTCTATAGATTATAACCAATAATTATATGATGTATATATAAATATTAAGTACACACATAAATTTCTTTAAACATAGAATTTTTGTAGTAATTAGGTTAAATATAAGTACAATTCAAATTAAATAGGTACCATTGTTTTTAAATGAAATAAATTAGAATCTACAATAAATCATTTATTACGTACATGCATGCAAGATAGACTATACAAACGATTTATACATACTATACAGCACCGACTTTTCTTCTATTAATTATTGCATTTTCATAAACAATTGATAATATTTTTCAATAAGAAGAAATGGATAGAACTATAGGAGATAATAGATATAACATTTTTATCAGCTATCCTTTAGGTAGTTTTCGGGAGCTTTTTTCCCAATTTAATATTACGCCTTAGAACCAAAATAATATACCTATACATTACTAAGTATAGAAAAAGATATCAACATTATAGACCTATACAAATTTCATATTTTTTATTTTTTTTAAGGCTAAGCCATTAGACGTCAACAGGTATGCGACCAAAAAAACCATCGCTCAGGGGATGTTGGACATCGCCTTGTTGACGGCCAACGCTAATCAACTGAAATACATCCTCCAAGTGGGTGAAAAACACGAGTTTTACAAACCTTTGTTGGTACTGATTGCTATGTCTATATTTTTACAAGTGAGTTAGTGCACCTATATAATTTTTTTTAAATTGAAAATATTATTATAAACAGTAATATAGACGCTCATTAGACCTGACTTAACTTATAATAAAAGTATACACGAATTACCTAAATTAAAGGTTGAAATTGTTGACGCGCGAAAACAAAATAACTATCATTTTTAACAGAAAAATCTTAAAATCAAAAATAAATTCTAAATAGTTATAATTATAATCTATATGTTAAACTGCATTATCTTGACTACCATTATAATATTATTGCTGCTGAAATACTACGCGTCCTATATAGGTGTTTATGGGAATGATATTTCTGTCACTAAACCTGCTTCGGGACTGTCGTTTTCATTTGATCGAGTACAAGACGTCATCGCTGTTCATCAACCAAGTGCCGGTCGTATGCACGTTTATGGTGTTCACAATCAACATAATAATAGGAGCTTTTGATTCCGGATTAGCCAGCATCGTACCGACATCAACATTCAACGCGCCGTCCGTCCCGACCATCAATTCCAATTAACAAATTATGCATACAGCAATTATAAAAATAACAATGAACGTACACTAATATAAATTATAATATATACTATATTATATTATTGTACTGTAAATTTATTTGCCGAATACCAGACGATATTAATTAAATGTAATTAAACATAATATGTACGAGCGTCTATCGGGGGAGAAGACAAGATAGGAAACTTGCCCCTCTCCCCTTGAAAAAATATCAACTAATAATATAATAAATATTATTATATTATTACTTAATAACTCAGATATCATAAAATAAATTGTTTAACTACATTAGGATGTGATATAAGTATAAAAATACACAATATATTTAGATAATATACGATTGTTGAACAGTTATCATATTAATCGTGATATTTCGTTAGGTGTATAAAGTTACTTAGGTATATGTAAGGTTATAGATATTTTTGTTTTGCTTCCGTCCTTCTTTAAAATATTACTAAATGCCTATTACCCATGAATATATTCCCAGTTCATCATATCTCAATGACTTAAAAAAAAAAAAATTAAAAATATAAGAAAAGACGACCATCGACGTGAAATACTATACATTACTTATTAGTTATTATATTATTATTAGGGAGCGTATAAAAATTGAAAAATATCCGAACATTATGATATAGTATACTATGTGTTCTGTTCTATATATAGGTGCTCGTTGGTGGGATATTCCTTGTTGTTGGAGGGCTGGACATAAAGAAAGAAAAAGACCAACGAAAGTGTTTGATTTTAAACGACGTTTCCGTTATCATGGTTTTCCTGATAACTACGATCAATATAACCATATCAGGTTTTGGATTTGACGTTAGTTCCCCGCTGAACACAAATTTGAAAAAACAAACCTAATAAGTTAGCTAAACCTCTTACACTTTTTCAACCCCACCCCCTTCCAAAAAAAAAAAAAGTTTTCAAGTAAAATACTTAATAATACTGATATCATTGTACATTTTAAAAATATAGTTTATTTAAACATAAATAAAATATTGGTTTTCTTTTTATCCTTAATATCAATTCTATAATTTATATTAGTACACAGGTAAGTACAAAACTAGTGCCCATACAAAATCAAATCATTGTATACTTAGGTCCTAACTCCTAGGTACATATTTTAAAAATATATAGATATTTTAAATTTTAATTTAAAATGGTGTATCTTGAGTTAGTCCAGAAATTACCCTTATAAGCTTTATATACTGGAGTGTGTTCAAAGAAAAATATTTTTTAATGAATACTTCTATAATTTTTTTTATACACTTCCTTTTATGCTCTAAGCGGAATAATTTATGTATAAGTTTTAAAATCATGTTTTAGTTTTAATTTTGCATCTGTCATTACCTTTGGCTTTTCGAGCCTTCTAAATGTTAAACTGTAATGATAATTTCTGATAGAATTCAAAATCTAATTGGAATTTTGGGTAGTCAAAAGTGAAAACTTTAAAGTACTTTTTACAACAATCAAAAGGAAAAAACAAAAAAAAAAAATTGAAATTCCTAAGTAGTTTTTGACAAAATATAATTATGTTTTTTGTTGTAGTTTAAAAATGAATAGCTATATAGAGATATTTATCCCAAATAATAATATGCAAATTAAATCTATAGGTAATTGTTATATATATATCGTTGGCGATTTGGACGCTTTAATGAATGAGCACAGTGAATTGTTAAAATTATTCAAAACACACATGCACAAATTACAAAGTGACAATTACGGTGTTTATATGGCAAAACAACGTTTTCTGGGTCAGTTAGTATATATTTATATATAATAATAATAATAAAAATGATCAAACTATATATTTTCTTATGAAAAAATAAATGATTATTGTAGATAATTTGGTAAGTAAATGCATAAGATATTTATCAATTAATCATTAAAAAAAAAAAAATAAAAAATAAAGGAATGATATAAATTTTTGACCATCCAATGCAAGTCGCAACTACATAATTAGAGATCAAATTTGCGTGGAGTCAAAATCATATAGCTATTAGACACTATTTTATTGGTAATTGTTTTATTAACTTTCACTATGTATTATATAACCATTAAAATAATAAGTAATGATAATATTATAAGAAAAACCCATTATATTTTAAACAAAGTAGCTGAGTGTTTTAAGCCGTAAGCACCCATCTAACATTAAAGTTAAGGTATCTACATCAACAATAATATATCTTATTCGTAGGATAGGCATATTGCAAACAAATTTGATAAGTTTTTTATGTAATAATAATTACTGTAAATTGTATTAATGAGATTATTGTATAATAAATTATACCAATTTTCGATAAGGAAATGAAAAAAATAGTTTTTATTGTTTGCCGCCACCACTATTGGTCGTATTCGATTCACAGACATAATATAATATTATGTATCTCCTGTGGTATACCACACGTCCTGTTTTTTTTTTTTTTATCTCAAAGCGTAATGTAGCAGCTATAGTAATGGTACATCGGTGACCCATAATAAATTAGCAACAACAACAACAACAACAACAATAATGCAGTGAAGTTATGTCGTTTACAATGTTATAATAACATACGAATAAATGATACTCATCACATTATCGCGAATAGAGTGTAGACACTAGACGCAATAAACCAGATTTCGCATAATGACGGACGTGAATACTGCGACAGACACCAGCACCCTGGAGATAGACGACGGCGGCAACGGCGAAAATAGCAAACGTTCCGCCGCTCGTTTGTTGTCCAGGTCACTGAGCAAGATCAGCAACGCAACGTACGACACAAAGAAGAACATGGCACAGCGCATGATGGACATCGCGCTGCTCACAGCCAACGCTAATCAGCTCCGGTACATATTGGAGTTCCGTGGGAAAAATTCTACAAATTTCGTTCTACTGTTGGTGCTGATCGCGTGCAGTCTCATATTACAAGTAAGATCTGTATTATAAATTATGTATTAACGATGTAATGTAAACGCGAGAAAACCTTGTGCTTTTATACGCGTAAAACTGTATAGGCAACAATTTTAACGGGCTTAAAAAGTTATTTATACATTTTAAATTTGATCAGGTAAAACAATAAGTACGACCACTTCACGGATGGTTCCAAATTAAACGTCTAATTTTACTAAAATTACACAACAGACTCTCAATAATTCGAAGAAAATATATGTATTGGGCCCCTTGATAAAACGAAAATAATATAGTTTGGGACGCAGAGGGGCAAGGGCGCTCACAGAAAAATTCTCAAGCGGAGGAAAACTTTTTAATTATGTTCATGAGATAGGAAGGGGTTTACAATTTAATATTATACTATTATATTTTATATATCAAACTGGAAAATTATGAAATAATAATTATTTAACCAATTAACCATAGAAATTATTTATTGAATTTTCATTTGATTAATAACATACATTTATTAAAATATTAATTTACAAATAAAAATTGTAACACCATATATTTATTACTTGTTCTATGTATTCATTCGTTTTATCATCAATTTTTTCCCTACGCTTATCAATTATCATGCATAATCCATCAAGTCAATCTTCACTCATTGTAAATCTTGGGTAAGCAATTTTTCAACATTTTATAGAGGAGTACTTTTTAATTTGAATACTTTTGGCTAGAACATCTATAATTTGAATTTATTAATTGTATATAAGTTCAAATAAATTTAATTAGGATAACTTACATACTCGTATTAAGTAAAAACATAAAACATACCTAATACCTATACTTACGTAGTTTAGTATCGTAAAATAATAACGGCGACGATCATATTCCTATCTATCGTTTTAAGAAACCAGATTGTTAATGATAGGATTGCGTAAATTTTTGAGCAATCAGAAATTGATAAAAATAAATGTTATGTAATTTTTAAAGCAATTATTAATACTTCGAATAACGAATAAGAACTAGATTATGGACAAAAATGTAACGCAAAATAAAATAACTGATATGTTCAAATACATATATAAATATATAATACATAATATAATGTATTTAATATATAAGTACCTACCTGAAATATAAAAAAATAACAAATAATAAATGTAAAGTTAATTAAAAATTAATAGGTATGAATATAATACAAACTTGAAACTATCTATAATTAAATATTTTATTTTTCCTCACGCTAAATCGATAACCACTATAAATTGAATTTTAGGATCAGTACCTAATCTTAATTTCAAATTACCGAGTCTACTAGATGTAATTTTAAATAACTAAAAAAAAAATTATATTATTTAAAATATCTAAATTTTTAAAAATTTTGATTATAGTTAAAACAACTTCAGAGAACTTCGTTTTATGTTTTAAAGCCTAATTTTAAATAAAATTTTATAAATTCCTAACTATAAAATAATTTTTAGCGACGCTCGTAATTTTGAAAAATTTCGTCTAAATTAACTAAGATGTTTAAAAATAAAATGTGTTTTATTTGAATGTATTTTTGATATTTAATCTTTTATAAGAAAAAATTAAGAAGGCTCTAATAGTTTTGATCAAGCATAACAATTTTCAACTTATAAAAAAAAACTCAAAAATTTCAATTTCTTATAATAGTTGAAAATTAGTCTTAATATTTTTAAATTTAAATGAGTACAGAAAATAATAATTTAAGTAAATGTGGAATATTTCAAAATTACAGGGTTAATATTTTTTGAATTAAAACATAATAATTAAAATTTTTGAATAAAAATGAGTTAATATTATAAGCTCTGCAAAATGTTTTTACTATTATAAAAATTATTTTGTATACTTCAACTGTTTTATTGTTTTTACTGCTCGGCATAGGTGTTTGTTGGAACTGTTCTCATATTCAAAGGTCGCATGACCTGCATCAGTAGCAGCACGTCCATAGACAAGAGTTCGTCTAACGAGGTTACAAAGATGGATAACATCAAATTAAACAACTACGTAGTCCTCGGAGTATTTCTTATAACTGTCATCAACATATTCATCGCAGCGTTTACAGGAGCACCGAATTAACATTATACTTAACAGATTAACACAATATGGTAGCACACTGCATACCACCAACAAAATTTTATCTATACTGCAGCACAGCAGTAGGTAGTATCCGATCCGTAATTTTCATAATTATAAAAATTTGTTGAATAATTATTAGATAAGAGACATCCACATTGTATGGCACAACTTACCAACAAATATGTAATGGATTTCAATAATTTTAATTAAAAAAAAAAAATATATATATATATATATAAATTAATTTCAAATGACATTTTTTATATTATATTTTGATTAAAAATGAATACAGTATGATAAGTATAAAATAAAATACAGAATAATTAAATAAAACCAAGGGTAGAAAACATAGAAAATGATATTAAATACAGAAACTAAATAAATAAAAAATTAGGGATTTTAAATGTTTTTAATAAAAAATAGATTATTTTGGTAGGATAATTCAGCTTGTTCAAGGGTATTCTAGTTTATCTATACAAACATATTGGTTCTGTGATAGGTAGAATGTGAAGTTTTTCATTATTAAAAATTAACTTTTACTACCTAGCTAAAAATAACATCAGAAATTCTAGAAAATATGATTATTTGAATAACAATTCTCAATACATTTATTTATTGATATTTTTAATCAAAGAAAAATTAAATAAAAAAAAAATGTTTTCCAACCCCTGATATAAATTATCTCGTGTAATAATAAGTAAGTAATCTTAAATAGTTAGAGTTAATATTTTTTAATTGATGAATTTATTTTTACCATTATTTTATCATTAAATCTTAATAAATTGAATATACGATAATAAATAAATAATATTATGTAGAAAATATACCATAAATAGAAAATATATCATAAAAAAATTTCTATTAATAAAAAATTATTTAATTTAAACAATTAAAAACATATTAATGTTTTGCGCAATTTAAATTCTGCATAAGTAGTAATGTAGTCTCACAATTTTTTTTACTGTTAACTTAATGCTCTAATAGTATAGTGTAATATTATTAGGGCCCAGAATTATATGCATTTGTACATTTATTTTTACTAGTTTAAAAATTAGCTAGACATACATTTTAAATCTTAATCTAATAAGAGTTAATTAAAATTTTATTTGTATATTTTTGTATATGTTGAAAAAAAAAGTTAATACTATTAATTGACTAAGGATATATTCACACTTAGATTATTTTTACCTATTTATTAACTCATTGATCTTTTGACTAATTTGTCAATATTTGATAGAGCTCACCAGTATTTGGACAATTAACACCCAACAATTTTGTCGATATCGAACTTTCTGTACTTGATATTTTTAGAACACGGATAATTGACACCGAGTAATTAAGATTAGTAAATAGAATTATAGTAAGACTAATAATCTATCAGAAAGTTGAAACAATAAGATTCAACCATTAATTAGATTTAGACATCCATGTATATACATATATTTATTGAAGCTTTGCAGATGATGAACTCCACAGTAATTATATATTTAAGTTTATTCTAAAACCTATTCAAAAATTTAATTTTAAATATATTTTCCTAGTCTAAAATAAGTGATAATATACATAATATTAATGTTAAGTTAATAACTGATTAATAGAATTTTCCATCAATTTAAATTTAAATTTTAAATAAAAGAATGTACAGAGACTATATCATAATCAATGTTTGAATCAGAGTCATCATTTTCATTAACCACAGGAATAATTTGAATAGAATTATCTGCAGAATTATCAACATTATCATCATTCAACGAAATTGGATCATCAGTATCAGATATTGTATGAACATATATTGTTTGGACATTGTCGTCTATGAACGAAGCTTGATAATTATTGAAATCTTCATCTAATTGATCTGCCATTTTACTAAGTCCTAGATAATTACCATCTTCAACAGATATCTCTGGCTTCACTTGTGGTGGTACTCTTGGTGATACTTCTACTGGTGAGTATAAGTATTTCATTACTTTTTTTGGAGTTCCTAGGTCTAATGTTTTTTCAGATTTTGGAGGATTGGGATAACTCTTTGAATCACAAGAGTATTTCTCCTCAGGAAGTTTTTCCTTTTCATCAGGAAGCCCATATTTTGTATAATCTATAGGTACACTATCTAATGGTTTTAAAAGATCAAATTCTATTACTTTAGAAGTGTCCGAAGTTCTTGAATTGTTTATTTTTCTATCTTTAAAGTCTATCGAACCAATTTTGATATTTTCAAAATTTTTTTTACCAGTATCCATCTTTACTTCAATATCTGTATTATCAACATAGAGAGAATCTATCTGTTCAATTTCAGAATCTGTGAATATATTTTCATCTGTAGGAAATTGAGTTTCAACTATAACTTCTTCAATTCCAGACTCAATTTCAGTTTTTTCTTCTTCTGTTATGTCCATTTCTTTTGAGAGAAAATTTTCTTCTATATCATTAGTTGAGTATTCTTCTTCCATATCTTCTGGAATGACATTTTGAGTTTTAATTATATTGACGACTTGCCGATCAATAAGTTTTTTCAAATGTTGACATTTCTTTACAAGCTTGTTACGTCTACCAAAAACATCATTTTCAAAATGTTCAATCAATTCTTTTACACCACCTTTAACACCGATCTGAAACGAATCACAAATATTAAATTAATTATTACATTTAATAATTTATTATATTTTTTTTCATTTTAATTATTAATAGGTAGGTATACTACTATATAGGTATCTACCTTAAGTTAGTCATAAATTAAATTAATTTAAGTTCAAAAGGTTAAATAAGATAAAAAAAAATTGACTCATTATTTAAATTAAAATAGTTTGGTAAAAACTAGAATACCTTTGTTATTTTTAGATAATTCTACCTTTACTACGATCTTCAATCAAGTTTTGAAAAGTTATACAAAACTTTCCAACTAGTTAATTTAATGTAATACAAATTGAAAATAATTAATTACTTATTTACATTATGTAAAATTTCTAAAAAATACAGTAACTTAGATTATAAGCTGCCAAACTGATGTAAATACCAACAAAGATATGAAAAAGCTACTAAGTTAGGTACTAAAAAAATATATTATAAATATTTGTATTAATAAAATAATTATATGCTCAATTTTAATTTAATGAAATTCAAAAATTTTTCTTACTGATGAAAATTTTAATTTGAAATATTTGTTGATTTGTTATTAGTATATGATTATATAAATTAAATTGAATTAAAAACAATTATAATAAAAACTTTTACTTTAACTTGTTGGTGCTTGGATTTACAGGTACCCAGTGTTCAATAAACAAGTACCAAAAAATTTATTAGTTAACAGTAGATAAGAATTCAATGGTAATTTAGTAACATAAATTGGATGGATGTATAGATTTTAAGTTAAATAGATTAATGTCATCAACAGCATAACTCTTACATTGTAGTTTATGTATAGGTATATTACAAATATATTTTTTTTAATACAAGAAACTATAATATGAATAGTGTTGAAAATATTTTTAAGAAACTTAAGTTACCTTTATATATATATATTAAAAGAATTGAATAAAATATAAAGTTATTAATCATATGTTTTCTAAAAAGTGAACAGTTTCATTTTCCACACATTTTTTATTTAAAGATTTCATTGTAATAATATCAATAACACTATTATAATTATAAGCAAGGTTTGAATCTAATAGAAATTTAATTTTATACTTTTAAAATTTATTGTAAAATAAAACGATGTGCAAATTTAGTATTTTATAATATGAAATTTGAATTTTTATAAGTTTTGCTGTTTAAGTGCTATTTTAATGTTCAATTTTTTCTTTTGTATATTGAATAAATTATACAATTTTTTAAAGACTATAAAACATTAAACAAAGCACTAAAACTAAAAAAGATAATAATAGGTGAAAATAAATGTTTAATGCAATCTTTTTTTTTTTTTTTATCTTAGTGTAACTCATTAGTCTTTAAAACATTTTGTTAGATATCAGTAATGTATATTCAGAACACAATTAATTTTTTTTATAAAAACTATTATTCATTATTTCACATATAACATAAATTGAGTGGCCAAAAAACCATCAAACATGACTACATAAGGCCAATTAAGTATTCTATAATTAATTGTTCGTTTGTCCATTCTGCTAGATTATTCATCACAGTATTGGTAAATATTATGTATTCATTTTCAATTATTTGAGTGAATAAAAGTTTAAAATGTATATTCTACTATTTTGTTTCATGCATATATCACTATGTTAGTACCTATTACACTGTTCTTAAGTACTTTAAGTTCCAAACCATAAATATAATATAATATTATAAAAATATAATACTTACCTCTTGAAGACTATTATTAATTGGATCAATATTATCTGGACATGGACTATCTGCTTGAATATCAAAATGTTTTTTCATAATAACAGCCAATTTTTTTACATAGTCAATAGCTACATCTGCTAAAACATATAAGCTCTCTTCATTTGCTATACTAAATCCAGCATGGGCTGTGAATACAACAGCTCGTTTTACCATTATTTTATTCCAATCATCACGATCAATTTGATACTCCCATTCTGAAATGCCATTTGCAAATCTAAAACGTTCATTTGTAGTAAACTTTTTACGTGTCTCTTCAGGTTGAGGAAAAGGAGGCAATTGCTTGTATTCAACTAATCCTGTAGGGTCATCAGGTGTTTTTATAACTTTTAAAGCTAAAAGATCCAATTGATTATAATATTCATTAAGATTAATATTGTACATTATATCAGGGTTAACAATATCTGGATCTTCTACAAAACATTCAGTATTTTCTATTTCTGGTTCTTCATCAGTATTTTTGAAATTAGTGTTTTCTAATAAATAATGTTGAGTATAATCACAATTTTCTATATTTGATATCTTAATATCTTGATTTAGTTCACTATTCTCCTTTTCATCAAAATCATTCAAAAATAATTTATCATAAAAACTAGCTAAAAGATGTATTTGTAATTCTTTATCCTTAGTCAAAATAGCATCATTTAAATCATCATAAAATAAACTAAGTATATGATCCGGAAGAAAAATACGAGATAGATCAGGTAAACTGGTTGAATATGATGGACTAGACATGCTGGTTGAATATGATGGACCAGGCATGCTGGTTGAAGTTGATGGACCAGGTAAACTAGTTGAGCAGGATGGACTAGTTGTGTTGGTTGAACATGATGGGCGATATAAGTCATTCAATGTTGAGTTAGTTACATGTTGTAGTTGTTTAATCATTTTTGCAGATGATAAATATGATTCTTCTTTAGTTTGTTTGATATTGGAAATTGGTTCATTAATTTTAGAACCTGAAGTAGAATTTTTTATTTTTTGAGTATCTAACTCTAGTGTTTTTGAATTAATTTTCTTATCTCCCCTATATACTTTAGAAGATGAGATATCTAAATCTTCATCAATAGAATGATCACTATCTTCATCAATTACCCATTCACTTTCTTTTTTATCACACAATGTATTTTCTACCATTAAACACATATTAGCAGGCATCATTTGATTTTCTTCATCAATATCAACATCATCTTCTTCATCATCAACATTAACATTTTTTTTTACTGTGACTTCTTGAATATCCTTAAAATTTTTATTCTGGTATGAGATTTTTTTGTTAAGTATGTTCGTAGTGCACGGTTCTTTTTCATAATTATGTTCCATGATTCAATAAGTAAAATAAAAATAATTTTACGAACTTATATTTCCTAAAAAAAAAAGTAAAAGTTATTTAAGTATAATGTATTTAATTAATGTTTATTATCAATAAGAAATAATTTTACTAAAAATAAAAATTACAAGCAATAATATCACCATATAAATAATTTAATAAATAGGTAATACAATACTAATCAATATTGATTTAGTTATTTAACCCAAGAATGCTAACCATTAGTCAATTCAATAAATTCTGATAATCTTACACTGATTATTTTTAGAATTTTTATTGTATGATGTTTTAACATTCTCTACCTCTCAGAAATATTGTTAAGTAAGCATATTTAATGATAAAATATGTTTTATTATTATCAGTAGTTAATTTTTACTGACATTACTTATTAATAACTGCAAAAACTTATAGTCGTTTCAAATATTAGTAAATAATAGATACACATACAATTTTAACGAAATAATGTATTTTATATTACATATGTTTGACAAATGATAAAAAATAACAATACCTATAAAATAAGGTTAACACTTTAAAGTCAAATCTTGGAAAAATAAAATATACAATATTTAATACACTATGCTTTTATGAGAATAAGATTGATAAAAATATAATGAAATAGTAAGGACTGAGGAATGAAGACCCTTCATTAAGTCAATAATTTCTAATAAAATAACACCTCAATTATTAGAGAAATCATGGTTTTAGATTAAAAAAAATCAGATGAAGTCCAACAACTTACTTAGAAAAATGTTTTCCATATTTATTTAAAGACATTATTAAAAGTTTTTCAGATTTTAAATGAAAAAATTAGATACTTAATGAATGAATGGTAGTTTCCAGATTTTGAAACCTTCAGATCGTAACATGGTATAGAATAACTTTTTTTGATGAAAAACTTATATTAAAATAAATATATCCTTTTTTTATGTAAATATTTATCAATTAATACAAAGAAACATTAATATTAGTAATAGTTCAGTATAATTTTTAAATATATATAATTTATGATGTTTATTTTCTAATTCATTGTTTAAAGTAAATGAGCTTTTAGACATTTTTATTAATAATAAAAATAAAAAAAATATGACCCCTTAACACATATGTATACAGTGGCGGCGCGAAATTGTGGAGGCTTTGAAGCATATTGTATATTTTAAATATTTTTACCACCACCCTTAATAAGTAGCAGTGGCCAAAGAGCTTTCAAACATGAAGCAATTGCTTCAAATAATCCTATATCCCGCCGCCACTGTATGTATACTAGCAATTACAAAAAAACTAATAATAATTGTATTTATATTTTATAGGTATACCTATAATTTATTCATATTATGACGACAGATAGACTTAAAACCATACAGGTTAGATTAAATAATTTACATGACATAATAAGATGATGATAAAACGAAATAGAGTATAATATATTATACTATGTTTTATTAAGTAATATAATATTTAATGTTACTTTCTTTCAGTTTCTATTAATTGGGATGAATGAAAAGCCTATTAAAGAGTAATAAATAAAAACTTGATGCATAATAAATTTAAATTATACATACTTACACATTCAAGGCTACAAAATTACAACCAAACTACTTAGTACTTATCTTCTTCTTCTTCTTATCTTTCTTATAATATAAAACCAAAACGAGCTTCCTGGGTTTTTTCGCCAGAGTGCTCTGGTTTAGTGTACTGGCTAATCGAAAAATTAAAATTTTTTCTTATCGTCTTTCTTATCTGATATCTCTCGCGCGCCGTTATCGTTATCGTTATCTCCCGCCACCGTTGTTATTATTTGTTTTTGTTATATCGTTTTTCCGCTTTTCCGGCCTTCGGAGACCTCTTTTCGTCGCGTTCTCGACGCCGTAGCCCAGAACGGGTCTTTTTCGTCCCGTCCGCGCGCGTTTTTCGTTCGGATTCGGTCCTCGGCCGCGGCCGCTCGCCGACGGACGTCGCCCGTTTTTCTCTTCGCCCCGAATCGGTTTTTCCTTTTTCGCGTCCGTGCGTTTTCCGATCGCGCGGAACGCGTCTCTCGCGAGCCCCGCGTCCCCGAATTCCGTTTGCGGCCGGAAAACGCGTACTCGCGGTGCGTTCTCCGGTCGGTTATCGTATCGTCGCGCGTGTACTACTGTTTTTTTTTTACGATACGATAAATCGTTTATCCGTATCGAATACGCGTTTTTTTGTTTTCGGTGTCTCCGCCCTCGGACGCTTCCGAGACGTCATCTTCTCGATAGCGTATAAAATACGATTATGTGTATAAAAAAGAAACGTGCGTACTGTCGATGACGTACGTCAGACATGACCAGATCCTTATGTGTATTATACAAAAACATCGCAAAATCGTTGCTCTTCGGTCGTTGTAATGCCTTTGATCGCGTACGTTTGGGGTGATATCGATGTGTATGTGATAATAAACTAGGTACGTCGTTAAGACGTACACGATTAAATAATGTGATGAATACGTCAGAAACACTCTAAACGACAATTAATATGCGATTTATGGTTTCGTGACACGCGAATCGTAAAAATCGTATCGCTTAAACGACGTCTACTATAGTATTCGTCGCATCTCTAAAACGGTTTAAGTGCTCGAAATTCGGTTGCGGTTTTCAACTCAAACAGTAGTCGATAGGTGTTAGGATAGGTTCCCCGACGTTAGGTAGGCAGGTTCGAATCCCGTTCCAACGAAAGTTGGGTGGCTCCATAAGAAACTGCTCATATCGGATATTTTGCATTTTTTTTCTCATTTAATTCGATCGTTATTAATTGCTGTTTTCGTTTTGATATCCTGTCTTACACTACTACTCATAAAATATTTTTCAAATTTTTTTTTTCTCACACATTTAATTTTATATTGCTCGATTGATGATGTCAAAATACTATATTGTAATTATATTACAATATACTTTACACGAACATTAAATTACACAATAGTATTCAATTAAACCAATTATAGTTATTGGCTATTGCTAACAGTCTGCACAATTCAAATGTACATATGTGATATGCAATTTATATTATAGCCTGAGAACAATCTATTGATGACAATACAGTTGTTTCACTCAGTTTTGACCGTGAATTCACTATTTTATATGTTTAGCCTTTCAGTTGTTTACATTTGAAAGATACAGGTGAAAAATAGTAGTACATTAAATATTTTGTCATCACAGAAAGTGCATAATATTTCTTTTTGATATCTAACCATCTATAAAATATCAAAAAAAATATTAACTATGTATAGTTTTTTGATTTTCAACTCATCAACTCGCTAACGTTTGACATGCATTTTCCAAAATACGTTTAACATCTCTCCTTTACGCCCATATCGTCCGCGATCCGACGCAGTCGGATCGCCTACCTGGGAGGTTCAAACGCGTTTAACTGGATTTTCAATGGTGATCGCTTGAAAAATCGAGCGCTCGATTCGACTTAAACTTTTTTGCGTACTAAACGGCACAACGCCTCCGACGTCAGGAGGTATGATTCCCTGTCAGGAATCGATATTCACTGGACGATGACTGATAACTAGACACTTAATTACCTTTTCGGAATGTATTTATTTATTTTCCATGCACAAAAGCACAGAGCAAGCTACGGGACAATGTGTATTAAACCTGTACATTTAATGAAATAACCCACCACTAAACGTTCGAATTGGACTTTTATATACTTTTATTATATTATGAGATTATTATTTACGCGTTTAAAACGACACCGCCAAAGTGTAGAGCCACCAAATCAAAGGTGCCAACATCTCAAACGTTGTTACTGGTTACTGTAACTGGTTTTGCCTGCTAGACTTTTCTAACTGCTGTATTCTAAAGTTCTGTTTCCGACCAAGGAAATTCACTTCAAACGATTTTCAGCTACCTAGGGTATTCACATACAGCGAGTTTTACCGACCTTGGGTATTCACTTACAACGAGTTTCACCATTGTTAGTAAAATTGATTAAATTATGACGAATACAAAAGTATATGTTTTACATAGAATTTATTCAATTTTTAATTTTTTTTAAATGTTTTTTCTATATAATTTAAAAAAAATTTTCTAAAATTTTTCTTTTTCTGGGTTTATAGAATATAATATAATATTGCTGTCTGAATTAATCCGAAAATAACCAGTTGGGACTATTCGATTATGAAGAAAATAGGAATTAAAACACATGATGTAATTATGGAAACTTCATAGTCTTCTATAATAAGGATCACGTCTTCATCACATCTCATTTCCTGTGTATTAAATCATTAACTTATTTTATATATACCGTAACAATAATAATAATAATTATTATTATTATCATAATTATTTTCAGACGATTACCTATTATGTTAAATATTATATCCAATCCAGCAATCACTCACATCGTTTTGGCGACTTTCTGTCATGTACCATCCAGCTACAGCACCAGCTATTAAAAATAAAGCGCAAGTGAACTTGGTTTTGTCGAGAAACATAATTTAGTATTAATTAATTAAATATATTTTATTAGTTTATGTTAATTTTTGTATCGTTACTAGTTTGTGTTACAATATTACATACCAACCAAATAAAATACATATTATGAAAATAATAAATTGATAAAAAATAAACAACAGCTATTAAATTCCAAAAGAAAATTATCGACATGCAAGTTTTACATCCTTTCAATATAATTTATTAAATTAAAATACAATCATACATTTTAATCTATAATATTTAATAAAAATATAGCTTTTGTAATAGTTTTATTTTATTTCATAGCTGTATAAATAGGTGTATACAAAATAGCTTGATAGTATAGATAGGTAGGAAGTCTAATAGAAAAAAAAATCAACACGAATAATTTGAAAAAAAAATCAGTGAGGTAAATGTTAGTGACTGATTTAATTTATGAATTAAATTTGTATATGTTTGCAAATGATTAATCTACCTATTATTATACCAATCGGGCAGTCAATAGTCATCACCTATAATAAAATGAAACATTTTTTAATTGCTCAACACGTAATTTTAAAGTAAAACTGATAAGTAGGTATATACTAGTTGTAATACTAAGGTGGATCGTTAGAGTAACTACATTTTATTTTTTTGAAACGAAACAATAAAAAATTCATATAATTTATTTATATCTAGTCTATTTATTCGTTATTATTTCTATAAAGTAAAATGTATACATTTTTTACAATAACATTATTAAATGATTCAAAACTGGACTATATGTTTTTAACATTAACATAAACTGTGTCAATATGTTAAAAAATTGATATATATATATATATATATATGCTTATATAATATGATACAAAAATTATAAATTTCAAAGTAAACACCCCTACTTTAAGGCTTTAAATAACGTACCTATAGAAATATCTGAGTTTCATAGAAATATATATTGATGATGAAGCAATTTATTTTTATACCTATACCTATATCATTAAAAAATAATAATACGAAATTACAAATAACAACTTAAACGCTGAATAGCGAACTGCAGGTAAAGATCAAAACAATTAAGAAAAAAAAATAGAATACATATTATGTCTAATCAAAATTGATATAACTTAGCTGTATTCGTATTATTGAAATAAAATTAAAGTGTACAAATTACACATCCTTAATCATATTAGTAAATATACATAAACAATTAAGTTTATTTTATTTATTTTATATATAGTTATATATAAGTTTTAATAAACTTTCAAACCATTACCATTTATAGAGATGATTCCTTGACACCAAATTACGTTAATCGCATAATATTTGGACATTACCATGTGAAAAGTGTATCCAATTAATCCGAAAATAACCAGTTGGGACGTCCATCCGATTAGTATTATTCTGAGTACCTACTTATCCAACAAGAGTTAAAACATTCATTATAAATAGGACAAATCGATTGCATATTATAATTATAGATGGGTTATCTTCAGTCACGTCTAACCTAGCGCCTAAGGAGAGGTGGCGCCCCAGGAGGGTTTCCCGGATAAACATCCGGGTCTCCCGCCCCGAAGAGATAACCATGCAATTACATAAAGGGGTAGAGTGTTTCCGGGGCAATCCGGAAGAACTGGTTGGACCTCGCAACACACGGAAAGATGTCCTTTTGAATAAATAATTATAATTGTTTATTTTTGTATCGTTATCAGTTTGTGCTATAATATTATATACCAACCAAATAGGATACATATTATTAAAATAATAAATAAATAAAAAAATAACCAACATATATTAAATCCCAAAAAAAAAGGAATTATCGACAAGGTACTCTTTGTACTTTTATCATACCTATTGTTTGAAGATTCTAAGGAAAATTAATTTTGGACATTTCAAATTATATCTATTCGTATTAATAACACTGCAGTATAAATAGTATAGGTAAATAGGTTATCACGCGAATATGATGAATTCAAAATTGACGAGTCTGGTAATCTAAAAATTTCAACTCATCGTATTAACTGTAAATATGTTTTCGAGACTAACTTATTTTTATAAAATTAATTAAAATAGTTTATAAGATAAAGTAATGTTATAAGGTTTTAAATTGTTTTCAGTGCTGTTAATAACATGATGTATTAAGTATTTATATATTAACCCTATAAGAAATAGCAGCCTGACTTGTTTATGAATTTCTTAAATTCTAAAATTTACATAAATAATTAGAAATCAGTACAGATTACTGACACATTGTAATTAAAAACACATGATATCAATTATTTTGGTCATAACAATCATATATAGTTTATTAAATGCCTAAATATTTCTCTTTTTATAAATTATAATACAAAACGATATTTTAAGCTAAATTTTTAAATCTTGAACTATAGTTAGAAAGTTAAATAAGGAACAAACTTTACACTTTTTAAAATTTTTGATAAAAAAAATTATAAACACTTATTGCCTATAATAAGTTTAAAACAAAATATCAAAAAACTATTTATAATCAATGCTATTGCTAATTAAATAAATAGCATTTTACCATCACTAACTCAGAACTGTTTGAAATTTCAAAGTTTTGATACTTGATAGTGCTATCATATTTATAGTAGCAGTGAAGTCACTTTACACATTTTTAAATGTATATGCAGTTTGACATCAATCATAAAAGGATACCTGTGCGGCCGCGTACATTTTTTTTATTAAGTACAGAATCAAGAGTAAAGGTTTTTTAAAAATATTGTTGTATTGGAAATTATACTATAAGATAGACTAATGTTCAGTGCGATGGTCTATAATTAAAAAATAATTGTGTTTTCATTATTAAATATAGGTACAAATGGTACAATACACTTTCATAAGTAGGCCCAATGACTACTATCTATAGGAACAGTAGGTTGTAGGTACACAAAGTAAATAATTGGTTTGCAAAATAGAACAATATTAATAGTAAGTACATAAACATACATAGTATTATGTAAGGTTATAATGGTAAACATTTTTTTTGAAACATAAGTGGTTATAATTATTATAATGAACGATAGGTAATAAATTATAATTTATAACATGGGTATAAACGTAACATACTTAACTTTGTTGTACTTAATATTCTTGTAATTGTTATAATTTATAATAAAAATTATTTATTAATCAATATCTAACATTAACTGATGTACCTACCTAAATTATTATTATTTTAAATCGACGACTAGGTTATAAATTAATAAATAATAATGTTAGTATATGTTATTATTATGGGTGTTTTAAGATTAATAAGAATAAAAATAATTTTCTCTGCGTACTCACAGAGGCGTATATTCAGTTTTCTAATAGGGGGAGGATTTAATTTTATACATCTTATGTTTATCAAAGTATTTTACGTTTCACCCAATGCTTTAAGGCCTTTAAGTTCATTCAAAGACCATAGTTAAAATATTCCAAGTTCACGCAATTATATTTGTAATAATAGGTATTTTTATTAGAGAATTGAAAACAAGTTTTATACACTACATTTTATTATTAGCCTGTACGCAGCTACAAAAATAGACACATATGGACAACAAACCACAACACAATGACAATTATTTACTAATACTTAATAGTGATAAACAATACTTAAATCTACACAGTATTTATTTGAATAACAAATATCTATTTTTATACCTCCTTGAACGAAAATTCATTGTTTTTGTAATCATGATTCATAATAATTGACAAATACTACATTTTATACATACGTTAAAGTTTTCATGACGTATATATTTTTCATTCTAAAAATTTCAAATAGTATTTCTTTTGTCCTTGCAGGGGGGGGGGGAGAGGTTATACTGAAATCCCCTCTATTTTTACTCCACAGCATACTCATAATTTAATATTCCTAATTTTTTTATAATTTCACATAAAATATTAACTATGTTAGATAGATTAACTTTATTATTCTGAACACGGTATTTATACAACTATCTATGTAAAGAAAATGACGATTTTATAGACTATCTTGAAAATAACTAACTTTATACATACTTACATAGATTTAATTACATATTTTATTTTATGATTTTAAATCGAATAAAAAAATTATGATATATTCATTAAAGTATTTTGTGTAATTACATTTAATTATTTTCTACGGAATACTTGGTACAAAGCATCACACACCCCTAAAGTATTTTCCAAGAGCTTGAGGTGAAATACCTTAAGTATACTTTAAGGCCTCGTAACTTATTTCAGTTGCAAGGAATCATAAAGTAACTGCTAATCTCTCATGCGGAATAATATTTTTTTGTATTATGTTGTCGAAGTATCTTGTTTTTGAATTGAAAGGCACAACCATTGATAATAGTTTACGATAAGTTTCCTCATTTATTCGTAAATAATTTTTTATATCCAGTAGTTCGAATCTCAATTAATTTAATGAATTGAATGTGTAAGGCTACATTATAGATCTCCATATATTCTGAACTGAATCCGATTCAATTAAAGTATGTAATAATCGCCAAATTTAATATTTATCTCCCGAACTTAATTCAAACATATTATGTTAAAAAAGTATACCCAACTGCTAATCAACCAGATATTAGCGTGTATACTTGTAAGATATAATGGCTTTAGATACTTCTCTTTTGACATTTATTATCTACCTATTTGTTATTTCAAAGCAGGTTTCATTTATATACTGAAAGATCAGAGAAAGATAAGTATTTTGTAGGTAATCTAAATATTGGAGTTTCCTGTTTTCATTAAAAATCTGCAAGCCCACCTCGCAGTATCCTCAACTGGGGAGTACATTTTAGAAATCATGAAAAAACTATAACAAGATTATACGTAAAATTAGTATTGTAGGAAAATTCCTGAGTTTTATATAAATTATTTACAAAAAAAAAAATCGAATTATTAAAAGGAATAAAATTGTATGCGAACTTGGCAGTTTCATATATATCAAAAAAAAATTATCAATACATAAATTGGTTTCATAATAATTTTTAGAGACAAAAGAATAAATAATATAGTAATTATAAAAATATATATATTATTACTATACCTACTGATTATTAATAATTATTAATACTGTTTATAGAATAGGTACCTAATAATAGAAATTTAGTAAAAAGAAAAAATTAAAGTAAGTATGAGTTCTTTTTTAAAATTTTTATTTAATAAACTTAAGTTGTAGCCAATTGTAGGTATAATTTATTAAAACCGTGTAGTAATTATACGTAACCAAGCAAAATAGAGTCCTCATCTTATTACTATAAACTTGAAAATATTATTTAGAATTCATACATTTTAATCACACAATATTATTAATGTAAAACTTATTCTAAAGTAGGTACTAAATATTACTGAAAACAATAATTTTATTAAATAAATAAATTCAAATAATAAAAAGAACTTAAAACGAAAATATCA